GTTATCATTATTCTTGATGTTCTTATAAGACCAGAGACCTCACCGAATATTTATGGCGTATCGGACAGCATGGATAACAAACCCACCGCAAGCGAATTCTCCGGTCTTGCGGTGACACCTATTGCCTCCCTTCTCCCCGACATCGGTTCCCCCGGAGAGCGATACCTCCACGCGGTGGTGATTCTTCTTTGGCCCTTTTCATCTGCTACCAAGCAATTTGGCTTACTCCTTTCAGAACCGGATCCCCGTTTACGCGGTGGAAAAGGGCAGATAAAGGCAATATTTCGTGATAGTGCTGCCGAAGCTGTTGCGAAGTCCAGTATCGGAATCGGTGATACGGTTTATCTAAGCTTACAGGGAGCTAAATGGAAAAGCAGTAGCCATGCCGACTCGGGACAGTTGGAGTATTCACAGTGGGACTTAATATTCAGCGATAGAGTCCTCCTGGAGGTAGGCGTAGTTCGTCTGTGGAAAGGAGTTTCAGTTACTAATATTTAAACAGGCACAACGTAACTCTATACCGTTGAGTATAGTCAATATAAAACTCAGCCAACATGAAGGAGCAAATGAAGGGCTTACCGAGCTACCGGTCACACCAAAAAAGCTATCCATTGGCTTTTCGAGCCCTATATCTACAATAAATCAAAGCTGGGCGTCGCCTGCTTTCTCCAGAGGATCGAACACGCTATTTAGCTCGCCATTACTCGATGGCCAAGTGGAGGAAGATGGATATATACCAGGAAAGGGGAGAAAGAGAACAAGGTTCAGCCGTCCGAGCAGCGAGTGGGTGTTCGTGGATTCTGCACCCAGCCCTACGAAAGACGGGGATATATGGGATGATGAGAACTTAGAGGCAGAAATTAATAGCCCAGATCAGGCATCGGGCGAACAAGGTATCGAAAACCGGCAGCCTTCGCCATCTCTGCCCTCTGAAAACTTCCTACCTACCAAGGAGAGCATAGAAGTCCACGAAACTGATGCCCAAAATTCAGTGGAAATCCAAAGGTTCCAACCCGCTGTTAATAGTGAATCCCTGGTTCCAGAAGTTTCAAATCATCTAAGCATAACTCAAGCTATAGAGCATGGCACAGCCTTGCAGCCGGCCGCAGAAAACCCAGCTACTGTCATGTATAAGCCACCCTTACCTCCTGATACTCTGGATACACAGACTCCTCTACTCCATCCGACTGCTTCTTCAGATACTCCGGCTCTACGCAAGCCTGGGGCGGTAGCTGAGACCTCAGGACACAATTACATGGCACCTGTCGACTCCGCAGACCAAGAATTTCCTCCCGACAATGAGGGTGCGAGTCTACAGGAAACCGTGGAGACACACTTATCTCCGGAGGACCACCAAAACGAGGCTTTTGATCGCAATACAGAGGCAGAGTTGCCCCATGATGCGTCCAAGAGAGAACAACAGGTGCCATCTGATCGTCCTTCAGATCTACTAGCCGATTCCCATTTATGCACTGGACATTTGGATAATTCCACTTCTACTGATAATCGCAGATCCCCAGAGAATGTGACAGAAGATGCGATACCTCACCATGAAAATACGGAGCTACTCTCCACCTACAGTGACTCTTCGTCCATTGTTTCAGTAGAGGACAAAAGGGGCACGACGAGACCATCTCAAGATGGACTTGGGGTATACAAGAGTAGCCGGAGCCCCGACAATAGCTCTACCCCAGATGCTGAGCATTTGGAGAGTTCTCCATCGCCAGAATCTTACACTCAACATCCTGCCTCTTCAGATGGCAATGTTTCAAGTGATGTCGGAAACGACAACGTTTCGCCGGCCCATCCAGCAACGGAACCGAATAAACAAGAGATCTTCGTTATATCTGATGATGAATCAGAAGCCCTTGATTCGGAAGGCGAAGGTACAGCTGAAGTACAGGCTAGCAAAAGCGCCAGCTCCTCTGTTTCCAGTGGTAGAGAATCTTCCTCGCGTTCTGCAACACCCTCTAGTGAGAAATCCGCATTGAATGAACGTGTGGAAGATACTACCTGTAAAGATGTGTTAGAATCCCAAATTCCTAGCACCACAGCCGACACCAACTCTAACCAACACTCCTCTTTTCCAACTTGGGAACATGACAACGGTGCGGTGAACCATGCGGTACACCCGTATATGGGAGATCAAGAAATGTCTGTATCATTTTCGCCGATTGCTGCTGGTATTCCCCCTACAACTGAATCTGATTTCTCGCACCACGACCTTCGCAATTACCTATCTGGTGCAATGTGCCACCCCAGAGCTTCTCATATTCCTACGGAACTTGCGATTTCTGCAGACCATCCGGGAAACCTACACGGGGAAGAACTAATGTCACATTTCCTATCACCACAGCCCACTGACTTCCGCACACCTGAAAATACCCATGTCTCTTGGGCCCAGTTAGATCCTAGTCTACGCATCCCGCATTTCCCAGTCCAGATGGATCCTAATTTACCTACGCCAGAAAATTCCCAGTCCACGGAACACATACAACTTTCTATTCCCGGTCTTGATGGTCAAGCTGGTATTTCGAATGACTCCCACTCTTACGTTCTTCCAGAGCACCCAAGCGTACCTCTGCCCGATCCAGTGCAAGCTGGGGAAGCAAGGGCTACCCAGGTTCAAGTTCAGGTGACGGAAGTAAGCGATCATCGGTCTGGCGACGGCCCTGAAATTACGCATCAGATCCCCTCTGATGACCACATTTCTATTGAGCCCGCAAGTGAACCAACTATGAACCTAGAAATTTCCGGACTACGCACCCGACTTTCATACTTTTGTCCACTCTCGCGCCTAGTCGAGAACTTTAACCAATTGATCGATTGCATCGCCATAGTTGTTGATATCACCTCCGTCAGTCGTGCAGTCAAAGGTGCTAAAGACTATCACATCAGCCTTAAACTAACCGACAAATCATCTGGAGGATCCACGACGACTGCACAAATATTCCACCGGGAGAAAGACGCACTCCCAGCTCCTGCAGAAGGAGACGCAATTCTTTTACGGAATTTCCGGGTTCAGAGTTTAAATCATATGATGATACTGAACAATATGGAAACCAGTGCATGGGCATTTTTTCCCCAGGGCGGCGAGGTAGATGTCCAAGTTGATGGTACGCCAGTTGAATTTGGCACTGAAGAACAAGATTTTGCTACAAATCTTAGGGAATGGTACAGACAAGAGGGCGCTGAGCTAGTAATAAGGAATGCCTCTCGCAATAGCCATCGCGAAAGCATTAGTGTTAGTGTCAGCAGCAGGTCTGCTAGCGAGACTGGTAGCCATCTAAGGAATGCTATCAGAAAACGCCGACGGGAATCACGAATTACATACCATGAGTTACGAGACGGAAAGCGGTATGCAGACGTTGGATCTCCTTCAGACAATGAGACCATCCACGAGCTCCGGAACGGGACTTTGTATGCGCATCCTAGCTAACTTACAAATCTTGGATGATTATTGGCAGCCGTTAGTTTCTTGATTCCTAGATACCCACCGCAACCTTTTAAGTAGCTGCAGGTTGACTGAAGCATTGTTTTTTCGTCGAGACACCGAATTTGGACTTTTTTGCAGAATTACAAGTAGGCAAGATAATACCAGTATTGGATATGAATAAAGTGATATTGCGAGTAAAAGACGTTGTATTAAGATGATACAGCTCGTCAAAATGGATCAATACTGGATGTTGTACTAGTAAATGGTACCATCTACCCATATGTTGGCCCAAGAATAACTGACCCTTGAAGGACTGTTCAAGCCTCTCTTCCTCACCTGTTAGTTGACAAGTGCGGCGCCGCTGGTCACAGTGGTTCCTCTCGAAATCGCCAGTTCACTGATGAGAAGAAATACAGTCTGAAATGCCCATAACAGTTGCCAGAGTAGCGAAAGCCCAAGTGTCAGGCAATATTACTTGGCTCCGTTCTAATGGCGATGTCCGCTTACCCTTTCTCCATTAATTCTTGCGACTTCTGGCTCTGTCACATCTGACGAGGAAGCCGTGTCTCAGATCAGCAAATGCTCGATGTGTATATATCTTGACAAGGACATATACATATTTCTTATATCACAGTCTATTCAGCAAAAATCTAAATTCGCAGTGGACGTCCGTTAGCTATCTTGAACATAGCAGACATATCGTCGCTGGCGCCACGGTGAGCATGCATGTCAGACTTTGCCATTTGATCTCCAAGCTCCTCCAGCAACGTAGATCATTGATCCACGAGTGTAAATGCAGCTGAGCATATCAGATTACCAGAGCTGTCTAATATATATCATCATATCATGCAGTGCTCGCATCCGAGGCACCAAGTGGGTGGAAGAAAAGAGACTTATGTTGCTTACAAAAATAATAGTACCAATTGAGCTTCCTTGGGATAGGGAGAACAGAAATCTAGCAGAAAAATAAGAATGAATTATCCCTATTGTGCTATTATAGATATAATTCATAGACATGAGTCCCAGACGCGTTCATCTGGTTGTCCCTACTAGAAGGTCATCAACGGGTCATGGAAGCTCCAGAGAGCCCTCGTGCTGATGGTTTTATAAGCGGGCTTTGCATCGATCTGGACGCACACATCGGAATCGCCAAAGCAGTTAAGATAAACAGAAAGTGTTGCTGCAACTAGCGATGATTTGAGTTGGTGGTCGTTGAATATGGAGGAAGGAAGGAAGAAAAATTGAAGACGAAGAAAAAAAGTTGAAATATCAAATCTCACTAACAAATTACATAAGCCAGTGCAACAGTGCAAAATAGCCGTTTTGGGTGAGCGGATAAATATTAGTTACATAAGCGTCGTTACGAAAATTTACCGCCTTGGCGCGGGAAGAAGCATCTCGTTAGCTCATCTTGACGTCCATTACTATTAGCCGTTAAAAAGGATATCTAGGTACATATTTGAATAAAAATATCCCTGCCCTGTCGAGGGATGAAATGAATCAAAGGGCCATCAATACGTCACGTCATCAAAAATGCTATTCATCAAAAATCATAAAAGATGACTCATCTCAGTCCCAATCCCAAAGCAAGTTCGATGCGGGTTAGGGCTTCATGCAACTGATTTGGTTCAATGGAGAAGGACATCCGTACCCATCCTTTCTCCTTAAAGGTCTTATGAAAACTTCCTCCAGCATTGTTGACCACGACACCTGCGTTTTTCAGGTGCTGTACGATCTCCATTTCCTCGTCCCGCGACCTTGCGTTGGGTGCAAGACGGGCGAATATGCTTAGGCCTGCATTAACGGGGATATATTTGATACCATGTCGCACAAAGAAAGAGGTGATGAGCATATAGCATTCGGCTAGGCCGGCAGAGTTGAGAGCAATCAAGATGGGTAGCCTGGGGCTGGAGAGGAGAGAGGTTGCAAACGCCAATGATGCTGGTGTTATTCGGGAATCTGGTGTGTTGATAAGCCCACGGATAAGTTCTTTGTTGCCTTGTGATACCGTACAGCCCTGTTGGTTCGGGTGCCATTAGCCTTTGATTCTCTTCTTTTGTTCGGAGTAAAATTCTGCTTTCTTTGAAGGGCTGACATACCACTTGAACACCGGTTGCTCCAAAATCCTTACTAATACTCCATATAGTGTGAATCCTCGATAGATCACACCCCAAAGCCCGCGCATTTAAAGCTAAAGCTGAGACAAACGGAACGGGGTCCGATATTTCTGCACAAGAGAAAGATGTGAGGGCATAGACTTCGTCGGAGATGAAGTGGATGCGCCTCTGTTGGCAGAACTTAAGGGCAACTTCAAGAAACTCTTGCGGGTAACATTCGCCAAATGAGCTGCTCATATTCCTTAAAACCAATGCCTTGACTTTGCAAGGCGCACTGTCGATGGCGTCGTTCAAAACTCTGAGAAAATGGTGGGCTGTTCCGCAGGTGTTGGTGTTCACCGTTACTGTCTTAACACCGGGATAAGAATAATTCATCTCGATATCCGAGTCACCTAAGCGATGAGTGTCCTGGTTAGCATTGGCCTATTTATGTTTCACATGTATCAGGTCCATATGACTTACCCCATTGGGGTCCGGGTATAAGAACACCATCACCGGCATTACAAATATTATACAGAAGTGCATCGAGGCAGCCAGCTGCGCCCGGAGCAGTAGCAATATGTGATCGACTGACTGGAATACAAGGGTTGAAGTAATTGTTGAAGAGCCTTGCCAAACACTCCAACAACAGCCTTGAATCTCCAACGTCATCGTGTGAGGAAAAATGATGCTATCTCAATGTTAGCAACAACGAAGTTTAAAGCACTGATGCATCCATCGAATATATATATGCACAAAAGATATACCTGAGAATCATGTGTTTTGGCAGTCTTGACAATGTCCGCAAGCTCATCCCGTAAAAGAAAGTTCTCCGTTCTAGACAGGTCGATGATGCTGGGTCTCATATAACCATTGCAAACGTCTGTTGAAGAGGGTATAAACGGCATTTTCGAGGAAATTTTAACTCTAGCACAGGTTCCTGGAGATAATGCTGATGTTGGTGAAGATGAAGACAGTGGTTTCGAATTATTCTCAAACATCATCTCAAAAGTTCCTTCTTGCCCGCTCTTAAATAAATGGATATGCTCCTCAACTTGGTATGAGGACCGCTCAGGCACTAGTACTTAGCTGCGATGACGATGACACGGCTCAAATCGAGGATTGAGTATGAGCGAAGGGGAAAAAAAAAAAGAAGGACTGGAAATGGCAAACAAGTTGAGTTATACAGTTGCAATGACCGCTTTGGTGCCTTGAATTATTATTATGTCTGAATTTAAGTGAGTAGAAGGTTGGGAAGAACCGGTATGTATGGCGCCCTTTCTAAGCTAGACAGCGAATGCGTCTCATTCGGTACGGTGCTGCCTGCTTAGCGGATAGCCCTTTGCGGTACTCGGCCTCCTTGGTGTGTTATATATATGTGGGCAGCGCATTGTTATGGTATGGAGCCGCAGTCCGCACTCCGGGTTTCGTTTGACGAGAGCTTATACGCTGAGATTAGATGCAAAAATAAAAAAAAAAAAAAAAAAAAAAGGAAAAGCAGAGTAAATAATTAGTTAATGATTTGAAAAAAAAAGGCACAGCAACAAAATACAGCGTGCATGACGCATGGAGAGGGACAGACACATCGCCGAGCAGAGGAACAGGCGCTGACTTGCAAGGTGCAAGATGCAAGGCCGCGAGGGATATTGCTTTTTCGACTACCATGCGACAGGAGCTCTTGGTCATCAAACTAGCCGGAAAAGGGCGCTAAGACAAAGCTGTCTATCCAACCACCTACTTTTTTGGGGAAACAGCCAGCCCGCCGTTATCTCCGCCACCAGGAAGAGGCCTGGTGGTCACTCCTTTGTGCGCGGCAGTCTGGTGCGCAAGACTGGTCTGCTGCTGTCCTTGATTTGCGTACTTGCATGAAACCGTTTCCTTATCTCGTCATATATATAGCTAGGCAGATGGCAGTGGTTGCATGATAGTTGGCTGACTGCCAGGCCATTATATAAGTGACTATCACTATCCGGCCTTGGTGAAGTAGCCAAACGAGTCCATATTTGTATACTCCGTACGGAGTAAGCTGATGCTGGACACGTCGATTGCGAGCCCTGCCAATCGTGTCTTCCAGAAACAGATGGCTATTCGGACCATTAATATAGAGTGGGCGGGAGTAGCTACGGCTCATCCGAGTTGTTCCCACACCATGGTTTGATGGCCGCTCATCAAGTCCAAGAGCCAGGTAGCCGGCATGAACTAGTCAAGTCTAATAATGGCGCCAACACCACTTTAACCGTCGATTTCGCTTATTCGCAATAGTGGGAGGGTCAGCGGCCCCCTCCCGATGGGGACTTCTCCGGATCCTGTCTTCGCTGTCGCCGATTCTCTTGTCACGGCTGTGTCTCTGTATCCCAGTGTCTCTGTGTCTCTGTGTCTCTGTATCTCTGTATCTCTGTATCTCTGTATCTTGTACCCGTCTGGGCGTTACCCGGCGCAAACAGCGAAAAAGAAACGCGCCAGAGGGCGGCAAGCCATCCGCTTTCCCTTTTGAGCTGTGGGTCCCTGCCGCGCTCTCACCGCCAAGCGGGGGCAGAAAAAGCAAAGAGCGAATAACACAAAACCCCTTGCGAACTTCCGCATTGGGTAGTCAGATATCGCTCTGCGCCAGTAAGAAAGCAGCGTCTGCTCGCCTTTTCTTCCCTCCAGCTAGTCATGTACCTCGCTGCGTAAGTAGAGTGCAGGCATGCCACCGATGAGGCTGTTCGACCAGGCGGGTTGCTGCCGCTCGACGCGGAAGGCCAGGGTGCAGAGGACGGAGTACAACACAGGCATGCCTGGCTGCAGAGTATCCATGTACAACGCATCCAGAGTAGGCGTATGAGACCAGACTGTGCATTGCGCCCCTCTCATTTTCCCCCGCCTTTCTATCCCCTCACGTAGTTACCCTCGGATCAGATGGGAAAGCAACAGAGAGGGGAAAAAAAAAAAAAAAAAAAAAAAAAAAAACGTTGACAGTCGTTAATTATCTCGATCTGGTCTTGATGCCACGCGGCGGCTTTCAAGGTCCCATCCCGCCTCCCGTAGCTGGCTCCGTTCCGCAGATTTTCTGCAGGTTCTCCATATTGGGAGAATGCAAAGCGTACTCAGTAGTATCCGTACTCTGTACCTCTAACTAACCGGCCTGATTAACCGGCTATACCTCAAATTGTTAAGTCCGAGTGTTTGATGTTTGACGCTGCTAGTATGAGGTGTGCCGAGAAACACACGGCAATATATGCCGCTATAGCTACAGAATATCTGTGGTCTTGTTGGTTCCGGACTTTTGAAGAGGACGGACGTTAACGGGCTTCGTCATTTCGGCATCTGGATTTATGCGGGATGGTGTTTGAGCCAATGCACCGTTAATCACCAGGCATAGTCGCTTGACAGCAGAGACGGTGAGGTACATGAGGCTTATGTAGAGGCGCCAACCTTTGTCCAGATTCGTACAATGCTCAACGTCCTTCTCCTTCTCGGTGTCTGGTTGTCAGACGACCATTGGTTCCCGGATGTTGGGGAAGGGGGAACAGGGTAGGCTCCGCTATCACTTCGTCGTGTCTGGAGATCCCATCAAATTCCACTGGTCTCTGGAACTCTCGGGGATGCAGAAGGGAGGGAGCTAGCTTTACGAGCTGTCCATTCTGCCCGATGGGATGGTTGACATGTATATGAAATCCCACCAGCCAATGACAGAAGAGCCATTTTGCTTGCTTGGCCCTGTGAACAACCTAACTGGATACACTTTTGGAGTATTCAAACTTGCCTGGGGGTTGGAATAAGCCAACTCACTGTTATATAGATCAAGTATGACGTGCGCTGCCACTTGTATACTTCCTTGACACTTTTATCTCTAACTACCGGTAACCAACAACACTTCCCAGGCACGGACGATATGTCTGTCCTGTGCAAGGCCCAAAGCCCGTCTAGACAAAACCACTAGACAGGATCCCGCACCCAGCCTATCCTCCTATGGTTATTGACCGTCATTGAGCATCACTGGGCATGGGATTCTCAGTGGAATGGCCGTTTGAGGCTGCGTGACGCCATCATCAAATGATGCAAACAATCATCTCTTCGCGGCCGCAAGGAAAGCCGCGTGGAAAATGGAATGAAATAAACGCCTGACACGTGATGTGCTAACCATATTAGGCCTAACTTTTGAAGTAAACGCGCGTGTAAAATTGAGATGCGGCAAAAGCTTGATTCGTTCAACTTTCTCCGCCATCTTTTTCTCTCTCTTGTATCAGGCAAACTTCTAGCTCAAGCACATTATTCATTTCTACGATTCACGCCCGTCCCAGCTGCTCGCCCTATCACCTGCCCTACGCTCTGCTGATATCTACGCTTCTTATCCCGGTCGCCGCCCGCACATCATCTCGACACACTCTTCGCTTCATCACAATCGTCGCGCAAAAAACGAGCCTAGGAATTTTTTTATCCTCCCATCGACTTCTTGCGCGGCCACTCCTGCTCGCCCTGCATACTTAACTTATCATATCCTTGACTAAGTAAGCCAATGGAGAACGCTAATTTATGGACTCGAAGATCTAAGTAAGTGTCTCATCCTGCTGCCCTCCTCGCACAAATTGGACAAGCCCCAGTCCCGTCTGTTGGATTTCTGCATCGTCATATATTCCAGTGTGGGGAGAACAAGTATTAATCTTTCTTTTCTTTTTCTCCTTTTTACTATCTGTAGCTCTGCAAAACTCTCCTTATCGACGTCCGGCTCTGATAGTAAAGACGGTGCTGGAAAGTCGGATTCATCTCGTGGTCGCTCCGCAGGCCGCTTCGACGGCTCGCACCCTCGCTCAAACCCATTCAACGCCATATCGCCTCTCTCTTCTACGGTCTCTTCCCCCTCCGTGGCCGCATCATCTGCCTTTGGGCTGGGCTCAGGTGCCTTCGCTTCATTCGGATCGACGGCGAAGTCGTCTAAGACCGCCAACTCCCCTGACGCTATCGCCGGTAAACAACAAGGTGATAAGCGAGATATACAAGCTGACCAGGAAGGCGGGGCTTGGAAACCAGTCAAGTCAAAGGCGTCTTCGTCTTCTCTTGACAAGTCCGCGTCTTCGTCCAACAAGGATAACGGAGTAAGGGAGCTTCCGCTCAAGTCTACGTGGATCGTCTGGTACCGTCCTCCGACACCCAAGTACTCTGATTACGAGAAATCCACTATCCCTCTCGCCTCCATATCTTCCGTGGAGAGCTTTTGGACCGTTTATTCACACCTTAAACGACCTTCCTTGCTACCGACTGTATCGGACTACCATATATTCAAGAAAAACATTCGTCCTGTATGGGAGGATGAGGCCAATAAAAAGGGCGGCAAGTGGATTATCAGACTGAAGAAGGGAGTTGCGGATCGATATTGGGAAGATCTGCTCCTGGCAATGATTGGGGATCAGTTTGCTGAGGCAAGCGATGAGGTCTGCGGCGCGGTCCTCAGTGTCAGGAGTGGGGAGGACGTTCTGAGTATATGGACCAAGATCGATGGTGGCCGCAACATCAAGATCAGGTATGCTACATTTAATTCCGCTTCTTGTTTTGGCCGTAGAATATGATGGCTGACATCGATGCACAGGGAAACCATTAAGCGGCTTCTTGCCTTCCCCCCAGATACAAACATTATCTGGAAAAGCCATGATGACAGCATAGCACAGAGATCAGCTATAGACCAAGCGCGCCTGGATAAATCCAGCGGCAATTCCGGTCACCACCACCATCATCACCACAATCAAGGTGCTGACCGCCGCCGCATCGCCAACCAGGAAGATTCCACTGGCGAAAGGGGTAAGAATACCGCGAATTCTTAATCAGGAACTCTTTTTAGTTGCTCCAGCAGGCCCGATGTACACTACTTTTGTTTAAGTGCTAAATTCTATTCACCGGCATACCCCCTATATGTCTAGCCTATTGTTATCCTTCCTCCTACCTTCTACTCGTTCTTTGACTTGTTCTTATCTCTCTTCCGCCTATGTTTCTTCTCTTGTTTTATCATGATTGATTAATGCCTATTTCGAAAACCACATCGAGATATGGTAACGCTTTCTTCTGGGTTCCTGGGTTCAATTATTTCAGCATCACGGGTGTACTGTCTTTTTGCAGAAATGGTCAAAGCCAACTGTTTCCACGGCTTACCTCCATCTTTTCCTCGTAGTCACTATAATAATGTGCATCTGTAGCAACGTACACACCGGTAGCCCTTCTGCAGGTCTTTATCTCTGGCATTTGTTCATGTTTTCATCTTTGTTCAGGAAGAAGAGAGCAGCAAGCTATGCGCTTATTGGTGGCGGATGTTGGTCTATCAAACCCTAAAAACTGTCATGCCTCTGGTCAGTTATCGATAACTCAGTTTAAGACAAACAACCTCTCTTTATATTCACTCCCTTCTCTACCACCACATTCATTGTCCAGATATTCCCTCTGCCTATAATTCGAGTGGTTTCCCATTGTTCATTCACAGGAATAATGCTACTCGAAATTCACTGACCTTAAATAATTATAACAGTGAAAGGCTGGGTGATGGTTTCTGGAGCTTCGCTACACAGTCACTGCACCCCAGCTCATGATAAAAAGCGAACACTTATGCCTCGGGAGAGGGCAATCATCGTCATAAGAGAGAGTCAGGAACCGTGTTGAACCCTTGTGACACCGTACTAGTTATAGGAAGGGTTAGTTTTATCTCTCCGGTTCCCTTTGCATAGCCCGCTCGTTCGCTACTGAAGTCTCCCTTTTTTTCCCCTAGTAGTTACATGGGCTAATCATTTACTATCTGTTATCAGGATGCCAGAAGTCCTGTCGAATATTACCTCCATATTTGGGCACAAGAAGAAAGATACAGGGTAAACGAAGCTGGTTACCAACCTTTTGAGTGGTTGGAAGTGAAAGCTGATAGATGGGGGTTTCCAGTCGCAAACTGAGCAAGGATGAAAGAAAAAGCTATAGGGACGAGCAGCGACTGCTACAAGGTAGCCAGTACGTTATGTGGTTCCATTTTTGTTTATTCGGAGAACGTGATTATAACGATTTGCTAACTCTCCATTCCAGACCTACAAGGGACCGCCGTGCAATTCCTATCCTGCCAGGCTCGATCGCGAAGAAACATGAGACGTTTAAGCCCACAAATACCACCGGAGTCAAGCCAGGAACGCGGGTAAATCAGTCTTCGTCGGTGCCGAGTCTTCCTTTCTCCAGACCCAAACCTTTGGAACTGGATAGTTCTACGGTTATACCTGATTCAGATGAAGAGTTTACTCCACCAAGAAAGCGATTGAAACGAGAATCCCCTGAAATAATTGATCTTGAAGAGAATGAGCCACCGTTGACCATTCCAGAAACCTCCGATACCAATATCATAGCTGAAAAGTCTCCTTCACAAACCCCAGTTCAACCACAGAAAAGCATACCCCAAACAACTTCAAAATACGGGTGCATCACGAATCCGCGCCGAGAATCCCCAGCTCCTGTGACTCCGAAGAGTAAACCATGGACTGGTCGCAGAGCAGATGCATTCACTGATTCAGAAGACGAGAAACCTAAAAAGCGATCAAAACAAGAGCAAACAGATGCCACCGGTATTGGCTTCAAGGATACGTCTACCGCTCATAATACACCCCGTGACCGAACAGTCCCTGCGGTAGTGGTGGAAGTTCCAGATCCTGCAATGATACAGTATTACCCAAAGGAAATAGAGAAGAGAGTGAATTGCCGTTCCTCCCAAAGCAATGATCGGCACATTGATGATCTAAGGGAGAGCCCGGATGAACTTCAAGGAAACAAGACCGTTCCGGATACTTGGAAAGAGCACAGTAGCCTCAAAAGAGAAGTTTCACCAAGCAACATTCGTCACACTAGGTTTACAGGCACCGCAGACCGGAAAGCCTCTCAGCAGCCAATAGAGAAGAAATCGAAAGGGAAGCAATCACTAGTAACCTTTGACATCAGTGTGTTTCGTTATGGCGACTTCTCGGCAGAACCGGTGTCCCGATTAGCTTACAATACAGAGACTTCCAAGTTTCTTGTGATTCCTGCTAGTGTTAATGTAGGCTCTTCGAAGGCTCGGTCATTCGACATATTGAGGGCGAACAAAATGGATTATAGCGAAGTCAATTGTGGCAAAATTCGACTCTCTTTTCCAAGGTCGCAGAAACCAGGCACCGAATCTGCTTATATTGAGTTTCCCAGTGATCAAGAGAGAGAAAGATTTTGGAGATTTCTTCAAAAAAGATCACCTTCTCTTAAGCGGCACTCAAGGAAAAGGTATATATTAACCCTACGTGCGGGCTCCCTAGTAGAAAATATGTAACTAATCAAGCATTAGGGAGCATATGGAGAAGCTCTTTCTGGAGTCCGAACAGTTACAGAAGAATGTAATAACGATGGATAAACAAAATCCCCAGAAATACAGGACGACAGATACTGAAAGCGAGAAGAATACACAAAGTGTTTGGCCGAAACGATTGAAACTGAGTGATAACCTTAGAAATGGTGACCAACCTCCTTCTAACCGCTCGATTGAAAAGTTAAGCCACGCTCACCCATCTCCGAGCCGTGCGGAATCCTCTACATCTATTCCTATTAAGACATACCAAACTCCAACTCCTTTTCGAAAAACACGATCATTTTCGCGGAAACAAAATGTTGAAATCGAAAGGTATGTTATATGCCCTCTATCCTATCACTTAAAAGGAGTAGTTGCTGAGTGGTACGTATATTTTTAGTGACAATGAAGACGAAACAAATACGGGTGCTTCTATCCTTGACATGCCGGGTAAAAGGTGGCAGAAGTAGGTAATTCCCCAATATATAGTATGTGGAATTCGAACTTACCATAAATTAGTCCTCTTGTATACCCAGCAATTGGTAAGAAGAAGGCTGAGGTGGGAGAACACGACTTAGACAGACTCAGACCGCATGAATTCTTAAACGACAATCTCATTGGGTTATACATTCGATTTCTCGAGCATCATCTGGAACGCCAGCGCCCTGATTTAGCGAGACGAATATATTTCTTCAACTCCTATTTTTTTGCGACCTTAACGAATACCTCTAAAGGCCAGAGAGGAATTAATTATCAGGGTGTTGAAAAATGGACAAGGTCCTTTGACATATTCGCTTTTGATTATCTGGTTGTACCAATAAATGAGAATGCCCATTGGTACGTGGCAATTATCTGCAATTTGCCAACCTTGCTTTTACCAAAGGTGGATAATCGCTCTGGTTCAGAAAGTAGCGGAAAAGGCGAGATGCCAAAAATACCGGGCGCTACGGAAACAAACGTTCTTGAAGTACCATCTGAAGTTGGAAGATCAAAGCCGGATGTTGACCACTCACCTTCCGATGCTACTAAGGAAAACCAGGTCCGAGAATCATTCACTTCTATGACCCTGAAAGATGATTCAGAGCCTCATTTTTCTGGCGATGATAAGGAAGTTGAGCATCCAGAAATCGAAGAATGGCCGGACGAGGATGAGAACCAAGTCTCCTACTTCCCTTACAAAAAGGAAGCAACATTATTGCTGGAGAAAGCTATTGAGCCTGTAGCAGATTCTCTCAAACCTTCGAGTGTGCCTGAACCAGAAGCTGCTTCCAAAACATCCAAGGCCGCAAAGAAGCGTGGTAAAAAAGGTCGGAACCCGGGCGTTCGATACGACGAAAGCCAGCCAGCCATTATTGTTTTTGATTCGTTAAACTGCCCACGGCGCCCTACTATTGGGATCCTCCGGGATTATCTTGAGGAGGAAGCCAAAACAAAACGCTCATTGACCATTGACTCCAAAGGAATAGTCGGATTGAATGCAAAACAGATACCGCATCAGCCGAACTTCTCTGACTGTGGGTTATATCTACTCGCATATCTTGAGAAATTCGTGCGGGATCCAGACCATTTCGTGAGATCTGTGCTTCGCAAGGAAATGAACAAAAATAAGGATTGGCCGGCCATGAAACCAGGTTTATTTCGGTCTCGCTTACGCAAGTTTCTCTGTCAGCTTTATGAGGAGCAACAGGCACTGAAGGATGGAAAGCTGGGAGAAAACCAACCGCTTATGGCTGATGCAAAGTCTTTGAATATTCTCCTGGTCAATACCCCGGTAGAAGGTAGCCTTGCTACTAATGAGGATCGAAACGAGTCTGATGTACCCAAAGCCTCCCCAAAGCCAGCAGCCAAACACGCTGGTTTAAACCTTCCGGTGACACCTACTCGTTCATCACCTCGCCGCCTCAGAAGCGAGAAAGCATCCCCTATATCTAACTCTCTGAAGACCCCGAAGACACCAGTAGCTAGCACTGTTCCTTCATCCAGTGATCTTATGCTCCTAAGTTTGTCTGATGCTACCGCCAAGCAGGACAAGCTTGATGAAACCGAAAAACCTAGCGAGGAAACCATTCAAGTCCCTATGACACCGCCTCCAAGGAAGCCAAATGCTGCGGTTTCCAGTTCGACCTTTCCGTGATAGGCCCCTGTCTTCACTATAACTAACCAGACTTCATCGCCTCACTCCCTCGATATCTTTTATTGTTTTCGTTATTGATTTTCTGTTACTATGTTCCCCTTGCGTGACATGCAGATCTCTTCTTTCCCTTCCTTCCTCTCTTTCGTTATTGTCCTTTATTATATTGTCCAGAGTTTTCCCCTTTCGAATGATGCTTTCCATGGCATACTAGGGACTGCATTCGAGGCGTTCGTCCGGGTTTGAGGCCTTTTTCACTTCCCGCAGGAGCAATGGGAGGCGAAGATTATTGTATTAGCGATGTAACGAGTTCTACCTCCTGCGTATTATTGTTATTTTAAGTCAACATCTTACTGTCTCCCGTCTCTTTCCAGTCTATATATCATGGAAACCGCTCCAGGGCTGAAATTCAATCACGTGACACGAATTAATATGGACCGAGCGCCTAGCTAGTATAGCCCCAGGTTGTCAATCTTATCTGGCCTCATCTGGAGCTTTGAAGAACAGCCATAGCCACGAAGCTATTCACGGCTCAGTGGATGTAAGGACGGTTGTCCCAAGCTGCCGCAATGCATTCAGTTTCCACCCGCTTTCAGAGTGTGTTTGGATTTCTGACCACGGTTGCTCTTGTGTTGGGCGCAATTATTGCCGCTTCAGATTTCCTCCATCCAGCTGAGCCTACCACCAGCATAAAGGTGTCGAACGTACAAGTGTATGTCAAGCCAATGGTCTATCCTACCAGAGGAATTCCATCGGTCATACCCTAATAGCTAATATACTAAATGCTGTGCTAATGTTTGTAAATAGAGTCAAGGGAAGGCCTCACTACTATGCCTCGAGACGAGAAGAATATGCGCAAGTCAAGTTTGATTTAGACGCTGGTACGTTTATGAATATGATTCAAACCAGATTGTTCTGAGCCTGATGACTGATACATTCTCCTTCAGACTTGACCTCTCTCTTCCACTTCAACACAAAGCAAGTTTTCGTCTACGTTCTAGCCTCATACCCTTCTGCCTCAAACCAGTCGCAAACGACCGAAGCGGTAATATGGGATAAAATCATTCCAGCCTCTGTATCACCTTACTCTCTCGAATCCCTGAAGTCCCGATTTTTCCCAGACGCAAAGGCATTGAAGTCGAAACGCAATAACTCCAAAAGCAAGACCAAAGCTAACACCGAGAAAACTGTCGTACCTGGGAAACTAAAGCTCCGGAACCAGAAACCAAAATATCAGATAACTGATATTTCGGGATCGATAGCAGAGAAGGAAGGGGTGAAACTGATTGTTGGATGGAACGTGCAGCCCTGGATAGGCTCGTTGCGCTGGAGCTCGAATACAAACATGGAAAAGAATGTCGGCGGGCTTTTTGGAAAATTGTTTCTTCAGAACGCTGGCTCTAAAGGCACACTTAGTGGGAGGAGCAAACCGTTTAATTTCCCAGCTTTGAAGAAGCCAGCTACTTCTTGATTTCCCGGGTATCTTGCGCGGGTAAACCTCTACAGGGTATATTTAATACAATAGTTACAGTATATTCTCCATTATACCCTTCTTTCTACCGTCATCCTAGCTGTTAAGGGCAGAACCTCCAGACGGGTATCTTCCGACCACATTAGCCAATGGATAAACTTCTATTTTGACATCCTTGGTCAGGCATTTAACAAGAACAGAAATAGAGGATTTATACCATTGAATTGCCAATAGAGAAACGGACTAACAACAAAGGCTGTTTATAGAGATATTAATAGTGGTACACGCCGCCCAAGCCAAGCGGGAAAGAATAACAATGGTTTCTACTACCCCAACTCCTATCTGTCTCTCATCCAGAAGTCATCGACACACACTCCAGAGGCGTATACATTAGGTTCAAGTCCTCTTCGATATTTATTATGCCGGTTGTCGGCCACCGTTAGTAGCAGGAGCTTGAGTGGTACTTGTACCATATCCTTGCTGCATGGGAGATTCTTGATCAGAGAAATGGTATCTTTCGCCGCCATTCAAAATCCTCTTTGAAAAGATACCCGGTGGCTTCCTTGCTCTCTGTCTACCTTCATGACCCCTGCTTTTGGCCTCATAATACACCCATAGCGTGTAGAAAGCATGGATATGGCCGGGGAAATATCTATTCGAGGGCAAAATAATCAGCCAGTATTCAGCGGCGTTTCTGGGAAGAGTTGATTTACCCAAGTATAGTCAAGAGGACGTTGATAAAGAGGTCCGGGGAGCAGCCGCCGATGAAGAAGACCCCAGCCGGCGGGACTGAGATAAACTATGTTAGCGCTTCTGTATATGCATACGGATGGGAGATAGGGTATCACAGGGCGAGTCCTACAGAGGAGAGTCACTAGAACAATGATAACACCTGCACAGGTCTCAGACATCTTAGCGCTGATGCGAATTCAGGAAATAACAGCTTGATGGAGCTTATGGCTGCTGAGACGTAAGATAACGGGCTAAGTCAAAATAATCAACTTCTAGCTTCCGAGTTCTTAAGCACGATATTGCCTATAGAATATAACCATGGACTTATTCATGGAGGGATGTGAGCGAAACCGCTCCATTGTTTCTTCAGGAGAGACTGTTTACTATCTCGCGCTTGTTGACTTTAACGTAAAATCGGCAAGCGCATCCTGCGTCTATTTAGATCGATATGATGTCATCAGAGGAAGCCGAATCACGTGGTAAATTTTTTTGGTTGGTAGCACGAGATCGTGTCTTTGTACAATTCTATGGGCATGGCGTACAAAGATCGATGCACAAGTAATTGTATTTGCCTATTAATTGGATAAAAATGGAGAGCAATAGCCAGTCGATCATGTTAATCCGCCAAGTAAGAACAGAGGAGAGAGGTAAGAGGAAGAAGTGGTGTTTGGGTATCGGGATGTTTGTGTCCACCTGTGGCAATGTAGTTTATATATGGGGAGGTTTTTATAGGGTAGGAGTGAAATATGGGGCTGTATAATTCGGTGTGTGACGGAAGATAGTTTATACAGCATCGATAGCCGCTCGCTTCGACACTTGCTCGTTCTGGTTCCCCAGCCTAGAAATCTGTAGGAAAGCATCGACACCATATCCCTCGAGGCTATGGAGCTCGAGTGTTCCAGCCCAGTACTCTGCATAGACACGACTCATCGGGAGGCCCATTCCGAGCCTTAGATTAGGCGGACGCGAACTGAGAGAGTCTAGGGAGTTTTCCTTTATTCCTCTGGGTACTTTTGACGAGTCTTGATGTGAAACATTCAGTTCCTGCATAGTTGCGGCCATGGCGTGAATCTGGCCAAGGTTCTCCAATCGAGTTTTCGAACGAGGGCCCTTGGAGAATGACCAGAGATAGGGGAGGATATCGCGAGGAATGCCGCCGCCCTGGTCTGAGACACGGATAATGACATGTTGTGGAGCCTCGCAGATGAGCACCTCTATCGGCGGTGGTGGGCTATTGCTGTCTTTGTATTTCTCGATAACTGCCTGCATGGAATTGCGGAGCAGCTCTCCAACTATATACTCCAGGTGGCTTAGAATGTAAGGGAATGTAGCACCAAGATGACCCTGAATGGATATTTTGGGAATTCTTGCGTCCGGACCGAGAGTTTGTCGCAGTAGGTGACGGGCTAGCTTTCCGCAGCGCTCTACAACGTCCTTTGCGTTACATTTGAGGAAAACTTCACCGACGAAATCTGCACCCATATCGCGTTCGGACGAATCTGGGAAATGCCATGGTGAATTGAATGTCTCTGTAAGAGCCAGGTGTTGCTCTGCTATCACCCGTCGTGATATTCTCTATACCAGCATGTTAGTTTCGCCTCAGTAAAGCCACTATAAAGATAATATGGTGCGATCATACCGCTCGCAGGAGAGTATTCATAAACCGGTCCATAACGTCAGGCTTGACTAAGTCCTGGCACTCCAATACACCCATTGCAAGGTTGGGAATAACGGTAAGATGCTCCTTGAGAGCATGGCGTAAAATGTCACAGTATCTATCATTATCTTCTATTGTTTTGATCTCGGGAACTGTCCGGAAGCGCTCAAAGGCCTTGTAGTATAGTTCGTAGACATAGGAGAGATGAGGATTCGTCACAACAACATACGGCAGCTTCTGCATATCACGTAGACGGTGGGCGATCCTGTATTTATTTTTATTTTCGTCAGCACTCAAACCTGGAAAATGTTAAGTAAATTGGTTATATGGCGGCATGGTGTACCTAGTGGGGAGCTCCGTCCGGACGTAGTTCGCAGAGCTGATGAGTCTGCTCTCAGTGAGCGTACGACCAAAAAAGGTCAACTGGCGCAGGCTGATCGGCCGAACGTCTCTCTCTACCCAGCTGCCGTCGTATACTCGTCGTCAGTCAAGGTGTAAACAACTCATCCGTCATGCGCAAGGTGCGGTCCATACTCATCGAGAACGGAGCCAGGCCGCCACGGAGGAGGCCTCTGGCTGTCTGCGGAGAGACAGCGGACCTGCCGACAGCATCTCCAGCGAGCGCTCTGCCGGCACCGACTCGACTGGCTTAGCAGCATGCCGGCGGTGCCATTCATTCACGAGTTGGTGCAGCTCAGGCCTTGCGGGAGGTGACTGGGCCAGGCTGGAGGACACAGGATGCCGCAACGGACTTTACAAGTCATGGCTCACAGTCGAGACATGGCTTCTCAGCAGCATAGAAGAGCAGCACGGGTTCATCGAGGGCCGAATAGCCGGTGGGATAGGGAAGAGGAAGGGAGAGAAGAAGGTGTAGCTAGAAGTTGACTTTTTGCTTGTGTTGACTCTTGCTGCTTGCCGGTGTCGGAGGCTGAAACTGATCCTCGGCTGGCGCGATACGAAGCGGGAAACAAACAAATCGACGTCGACGGCGGCATCGACGGCTACGGGATCTCCCTATGCATGGATCTACTGTGTAGGCATGTATCTTTGCGCGGTAACTGGCGAGCTGGCTGCGAGAGTCACTGTTGTCTGCTTTTTCCCCAGCATCTTGGTGGGCACTGAACGGCCTCCTGCATGCCCTGCTGGGTGAACAATGAGCTAGTTACATGCATGGAAGAGCAGCTTTCACTGCCCACTCTAAGAATAAACGCAGTCAAAGAAGAATCATACATCTAAAGGTGATTGTGCTTGACCAGAGAGGCCTGGCACTGCCATCCTTTTTAAAAAGCAGCCTTTTTTTTTTTTTCTTCTTCTTCTCTTCCTCTTCTAACATCGACAAGAAAAGCGAAAAAGAAAACCTCACCAAAAAAAAAATAAAATAAAAAAAACGACCATCCTACGCGGAGCTGCCAACTTCACCCGCAGATAACAGCCTCACGCAACACTGTTTAATAGCGGTTACTACGTCGATAGCATCTGGCTGTCTAACTGAAGACTGCTTTACTGTCTCTGCCTCGCCTCGGAGCGCCGGTCAGCCACGATAAGAGCTCTTTTGCTGCCTTGGTTGGATATACCGAGCTCATGGACCATGTAGGCCGCCGCCCTCACCACCCTCACTCCTCACCCTCACCTCTCTCCCGGCCTTGATTCTACACGCCGGAAACGAAGATCCAGGCTGACGAGCGTGCCTTGATACTGCAGGTTAATGATGCTGATACCATGGTGCCTGACTACGACCAGTTCGAGAACAATGACCGGACAGACGTGGTTGTCGTGTCGCCTGCCGGCTCAACCTCGAACGATGTAGACATGGAGAAGCCACTCGCCAATGATTGTATGTGCTCCCCCAGCTGCTGTTATTTTTGCCTGGCAGAGACCGCTCGCGCCTCTCTGTCTGCTCCTCTGAGCTCTGCCGCACGCCTGGCCCCTCCCCCTCGTCCTGTCGAGTGCCTAACCAGCAGTGCTCCGGCTGCCAAGAGCATGGTCGTTATTCTTTGCCGGTAGCTTACCCAGGCTAACTCTTCTGTTTGCTTGATAGATGAGACGATGATGTCGAGAGTCCTACCAGTAGACCCGGATCTGGAAACCGAAGGAGAAACATATCACACATGGCACATAAAGAATTGGACAAAGTTGCCGCGGAGAGAGCATGGGCCCAAGTTTGAATGTGCCGGCGCACCATGGTACATCCCCCTCACAAGACGAGAGCAGTCTAGACAACAAGCGGAAATAATCTCTCTAACGGGTGTTTTAGGAGAATATTGTTTTTCCCCTACGGTAACCAGGTAGAACATGCCTCCTTTTACCTGGAGCATGGGTGGGAGGAGAACGTGCCGGAGAACTGGTACGCTTGCGTGCAATTTGCCCTGGTCCTATGGAATCCGAACCACCCAGACATATATATCTCAAACAGTAAAACCTCCCCTGGACCATTTTCAACTCGAGACGTGGGCTAATTTGGGCGTAGGAGCGACACATAGATTCAACGCAGAAGAATCGGATTGGGGTTTCACGCGGTTCTGTGAACTACGGAAACTGTTTCAACATGTCCATGATGACAGAGGTGTGCCACTCGTAGACAATCAAGAGGCCTGCCTCACTGCATATGTGCGAGTGGTGAAAGATCCTACTGGTGTTCTATGGCATAACTTCCAAAAGTATGTTTGCTCCCCGATATCTTGGGAACTATCTATATAGCTAACATACTCCAGCTATAACTCCAAGAAAGAGACTGGCATGGTTGGTCTCAGAAACCAGGGCGCAACCTGCTACCTTAACTCACTCCTCCAATCGTTATTTTTCACCAACGCGTTCCGAAAGGTATGCCAAAACCTACCTCCAAACACACTGCGTTTGTTGTGCTAAATGATAAATAGGCTGTATACCAAATTCCCACAGAAGATGAAGCAAATAAAAAGAACTCTGCCTGGACCCTTCAACGTTTATTCTACTCACTCCAAACATGTGAAACTCCTGTTTCAACCTCAGAACTCACTGAGTCCTTTGGATGGAAGTCAAGGGTAATCTTTGAACAGCAGGATGTCCAGGAACTCTCTCGGTTACTCATGGAGAAGCTCGAGGTGCAAATGAAAGGCACACCGGCTGAATTAGCACTCCCGAACCTCTTTGTGGGCAAAGCCAAAACTTACATTTCTTGTATCAACGTTGATTATGAATCGTCGCGGATAGAGGACTTCTGGGATATACAGCTGAGTGTCAAAGGAAACAAGACCCTGGATGACAGCTTCAAATCTTACATCAACGTTGAGATCATGGATGGAGAGAACAAATATGACGCAGGATCTTCCCATGGTTTGCAAGACGCCCGAAAAGGTGTTATTTTCGAAAGCTTCCCACCTGTCTTGCATCTTCACCTACAAAGATACGAATACGATTTCAACCGCGATGCAATGATGAAAATCAACGACCGGCATGAATTCCCAGAGGAGTTCGATGCATCGCCTTACTTATCCGCAGATGCAGACAGGTCTGAACCCTGGGAATATAAGCTCTTCGGCGTACTTGTTCATAGTGGCGACCTTAATGCTGGACACTACTACGCCTTTTTGCGCCCAACCAAAGATGGCCACTTCTACAAATTCGATGATGACAAGGTGATCAGAGCAACAAACAAGGAAACGTTAGAGGAGAACTTTGGTGGAGAGTATGCAAATGGAGCCGGGATGCGCCAACCTTATACCCGGAATTACTCAACAAAACGCTCGATGAACGCATACATGTTGGTTTATATCCGGAAGTCCAGAATCGACGACGTCCTTGTCAACGTTGGAAACGAGGATGTGCCTGCCCATCTTGGTAAGTTCCTGGCTTACTTTTATTCCCATTCATACTTCTTGGAAGACTTACTAACCGGGAACAGCGAAACAAGTCGATGAAGAGCGCTCTGAGGCGATCCGTAGGAAAAAGGAGCGTGAAGAGCAACATCTCTACATGAATATTGCAGTTGTATCCGATGACTCGTTTAGGGAACATCACGGCTTTGACTTGATGAGTACTGATTTGGATCCCGGTGATCCAGCCCTCCCAACTACCTACCGAGTCCGTCGTACCATGAAGGTGGGCGAGTTTACGCAACTTGTGGCAGAAGATAAGGGCCTTGACGTGGAACGAGTCCGCCTATGGGCTATGGTTAATCGTCAAAACAAAACTGTCCGGCCTGACCAGCCTCTACGGGACCCAGAAGACACTGTCGAAACAGCTGCTTTCAAGCTTTCGTCAAGAGCCGCGCCTTTCAAGGTATATGCTGAAGTGAGAGAACCTGGAAGTGATGGAAAAGTTGTTTGGCCTGAAACGCAAGGGCCGAATGCGTCTGTTCTCGTCATTTTGAAGCATTTTGATCCTGTGACACAAACTCTCTCCGGTGTTGGCCATGTTTTCGTTAAGAAGCAATCCAAGGTTTCAGAACTTGCTGGGCCCATTCTCCAGATGATGAATTGGCCTGCCGGTACATCCTTTTCGCTATATGAGGTACGTATTCAGTAAATACTTCTAGCTTTTGGTAGATTATCATCTAACCGTTCATGCTAGGAAATCAAACCTTCCATGATTGACCAGCTGAAGCCAAAGCAGACCTTCCAAGCTTCGGAGATTCAAGATGGAGATATAATATGTTTCCAGCGGACCCAGAGTGAATCAGAGTACGTTATTTTCCGCCGAACACATTCAAACTGTTACTGACCCCATTACACCTAGACTTGGACCCAACGTTCTCTACAAGGATGCAAGACAATACTACGACTATCTTCTCAACCGCGTCATGATAAAATTTGCCCCAGTGAAGCCAGAATCCGATGACTCAACTTTTACACTTGCTCTTAGCCGCAAGATGAGCTACGATCAATTTTCAGCTAAAGTTGGCGAGTACTTAAAAGTTGACCCGACACACCTTCGGTTTGCTCCTGTTGCAACTACTACTGGCAATCCCAAACCATTTATTCGGCGGAACGTTGCCCACAACCTTTCCCAGATCCTGACTACGCAGTACTCTGCTTACGGTAACTCAGGGCAGAGAAACGATGCATTATATTATGAGATTCTGGAGACTAGCTTAAGTGAATATGAAACTAAGAAGCTAATAAAAATCACCTGGCTACCCGAGGGAATCATCAAAGAGGTATATTTCTGCCCTGGTTTACTCTTTATACTTCCTTTTTATTTTGTCTTGGGGTGTGCGCTAATATATATTATTTCATACAGCAACCGTTCGAGTTACTTGTGCCTAAACAAGGAAATGTCACTGATATTCTACAAGGCCTTCAACAAAAAGCTAATCTGGATAATGAGGTTATGCAAAATGTCCGTGTTTTTGAAGCACATTACAGCAAAATGCAAAAAGAACTAACAGACAAGTTTGGCGTTGCTGGAATAATGGACACAATTTCCCTTTATGCGGAGCCTATTCCAGAAGATGAACAAAACATGAAGGAAGGTGATTTTAGGATAAATGCTTTCAATTTTGATAAGGAGCCAAATAGAGAGCATGGCATACCTTTCAAATTTGTTGTTAAACCAGTACGTCTACCATTACTTTCCTAACTGCTCTCACGGTGCTGACATATCTATAGGGAGAGAAATTCATCGATACCAAAGAGCGCTTGTCCAAAAGAACAGGCATCCGAGGTAAACAATTTGAGAAGATAAAATTTGCAGTTGTGTCTCGAGCCATGTACTCAAATCCAACATATCTTGAAGATGGTACTCCATACCCCTTACTAAAACGTACCTCTCAAAAGAAACAGCTAACACTATCTAGATGACATCCTTTCCGAACTCGTCGGCGACTCTGACAGCCAGCTTGGCCTGAACCATGTAAATAAGAATCGCAATTTCCTCTCCAAGAGCGACAATATCTTCATTCGATAGATACCCAATGGATATATTCGATTCCTTGCCAGCTAGCGCAGCACTTGACTCTATGCGAACACAATGATCCCTTCAATGGCTGTATCACCACAGTTATCTTGATATTAAAATAATGATATCTTCAGCTTCAACCAAAGACAACACAAATCAGTTTCATTATGCGGGGGAAAGAAGAGTGGGAAACGGGGAAACGGGGTTTCAAGTTCTTTTTCAGGCTTTGAATATTTATCCTACAAATTTTCCCCACCGTTTTGATCAGTTACAATTGCTTGTATTTCCCTCATTTCGATTTCATGGCTTGATTTCTCTTTCTTAATGTTTCTTTTTCTCGTCCAGTTCTATATCTATTATCCATCGATCATCTTTCTAAACGGGCGGTGTTCTGATGGCGGCAAATGATGCTTTTTCTGACTCCGGGTGTATTGCTTGCATCTTCCCATAACTATAATACCTAACCATAGTGACTAAAGGGGCCAGTCGTAAGCTATTGGGAAAGCCCATGTCCTTATTTAGATGATTCCCTTTTTAATGAAATATCCATGTATTTGAATTCAAGGTACCCCTTTTTATATGTTGTGTTGTTGCTGGTTGAGCGTTTCTATTGGGAGTTTGGCTCGTTAGTGCAAACAATGCAAACAACACACCAAAAAAGTGTCAACATCTTACGCATCGCATTTTCCTGTTGGAACGTCGACCGACTACAACCAGACCTCGACAACAGCTCGCTCTCGGGGATTCCACGGTATACTCTCGCCTTTCCTGGTTGTAAGGCATCATGCGGTTTCAAGCTATTGCCGTATGGCTCTTCGCCTTTGCGGTTTCTTCGGTTTACGGCACCGCCTTGACCTACAAGCTCGATGCCGCTGAGAAGGCCTGCTTCTACTCCTGGATCGATAAACCCCCCGCGAAAGTCGCCTTTTACTTCGCTGTATGCCTTCAGCTTGCCTTCCCTATGATGTGTTTGCGTCAATATCCTGTTGAATCTGTTTACTGACTCGTGACCATGTGTGCGTGTGTAGGTGCAATCTGGCGGTTCATTTGACATCGATTTCTCCGTTTATGGCCCCGGTGAGAAGCTAGTTATGGACGGAACTAAGGAGAGACAGGGCGATTTTGTTTTTACCGCTCAGTCCGTGGGTGAATACCGCTTCTGCTTCAATAACGAGATGTCCACTTTTGCGGAGAAGACGGTTGACTTTGAGATTGCGGTTAGTCTTCATTATCTCCCGATTGTGTTTCTTAATTTTGGACAATTTTGTCCCAGTTGCATAATATCATGGAGAACAATTGGGTTTGCGTAAGTCCTCGTGTTCGACATAATGCTAAAGAACCTTTTGCAGGTCGAGAATGAGGAACGAACTCAGCTGCCATCAAAGCCTGGAACTTCCCCTGAACAGACGTCAGCGGTTGAAGAGACAATCCTCCGACTAGGAGGTCACCTATCAACCATCAGCCGAAATCAGAAGTATTTCCGAACACGAGAAAACCGTAACTTCAGCACCGTGCGGAGCACTGAGAAGAGAATATTCAATTTCAGCATTATCGAAAGCTTGATGATGATTTCAATGGCCGGCCTCCAGGTGTTTATTGTCAGGTTCTTTTTCCAGGGTGCCAGGAAAGGTATAGATGAACGGATGGGTCCGGCCTTGGGCGCACTGATCGCCCATGCAGCCCTTCCTCCCCCATCCCACCTACCCCCCCCTCACTCCCCTCTTCCCCTTACACCACCTTTTCGAGCTACCAGCATACTAACTATGTTTATTAGGCTATGTATAATCGAATAATGACGACAATTCTCATATTATGGCTGAATTGTGTTTTCTTTAAAATATATGGTCCTTTTTCACTATGACTTTTGCCTCGATTCTTAGATACTGATGACCATAACGGCATCCAATCTTAAACAGAGATTATTAGTTTACAACCATTGGTTCAACCATCAACACAGAGCTCTATCTTATGACAACAGATTTGAATTGGCAGCATCCATGAGAGAGCCTAACATCTGAGACCTGAAATTTAGCCCGCACTATCCTTGTGGATAGGGTATCATATCTCGAATTTCGGTGACGACACCGTGCAGCTGCTGAATAGGGGCAGGTCAAGGGAGGACCAGATGACACACCTTTCTCGGTTCCAATAGACAACACGGCCTCGTACTTCCTCGTTCAGCTGAGGAGCTGATATCCCGTAGCTGAGTATACACCAGTTTTGCTGTTTACTTGATGTCAATTAATTTATTCCGTTTTTCCACGTGCAACCAAAGCCAGGAACGTCATTGTTCTCCAGAGTGCTTTGCCAGCCGTCAGTCAATCTTGAATTATCTGATACTTGATGCTCATCACTAACGAGGTTTTTGTTGCCAGCCACATACATCCATTTTTATTAGTCTTTCTTATGGGAAAGCAGATCATGCAGGATGCAAAAGTTGGTCACGAAAATCCACAAGTGGTCCGACGTTGTACCGACATAAGCCCGAGACCCGCCCGGGTACCCAGTTCGTTTCTCGAGATAACATGTCATACTCACTCCTCTCCACCTTGAACGAGCATCCTCTGCGTTGTACTCCATGTTATCCTGGGCCGTCTCGTTCAAGAGCTGCAACTCGAATCCAGGCGGGGAACCAGCTGGAGCTCTTCCTCGCTAAATGCGAATAATAATAACATCGTCTTTGCGGACGGAGGTCGCCACCTAGTCGGGAGTCCAAACCGCTGCGGGTTACGATCTTCAACGCGATCTCGATCCAGCTGGGGGGCCCTGTCTGTTCATTCCTCACTCTCACCCTCTTGCCAGAAGTACCTTTAGAGTTTGTCCAGCGGACGCTAGCTCGCCAGCGCTGGCGCCTAAGGGGAACGATTCGAAAACTTGGCTCAGACGACCCGATGCTCCATGCGATGTGACGACATAGTTCTCCCAAGACTCTATATCCATACGCCTCCTACGGAGTAAGGACCATCAGATTCCTGTCCTACGGTGCATAACGAGAGCTTGTCCCGCATGATTTTCCACTCTCGATCTCCATTAATTAGGGATCCGGCTTTCGACCGCCACTCTGACCCCTTTATCGAGCCAGAAGCAGTCTGGAGCCACAGGCCAAAACGGCGGCAGCGTTCTTATTGTTCCTTGCTCTCCATGACTCTGGGCTCGTCCAGCCACACAAACCGCAACGGACTGAGACTTCCACTGATAACTGTCCCCGTATGACGCAATATGGCCCCCCAACCCTGTGTCAGATTTGACGATGCACCTCAAGGTGATATGAAATTTTCATGAGTTCCCATAATAAGTATGAGGGGCAGTCTATAAAAACTTGACCCTATACCATATATTAAACACGCATACATCCCATACTTCATTCTCTTTCTTCGAGATACCCTTTTCCTATCTGTGTCATCACCCTTATCGCTTTCCGCCGATAGACGTATAATAGGCCATATACAACTGTGGCTGGAGGTCTGCTGCCAATTGGTATATGTGGACACGCACCTCCATTCTTCCTCTTTTCCCTCCATTTCTGATATGTCTGTCTGATTGTTCATTCTATCAGAGATAATACTGTAAGAGTCAAGTTTAACGCCTTGAAAGAGCATACTACAATCCCTTGATTCTCTCGACACTTAGACTGGCCACTCATAAGTTATATGAACACATGTCTCACATCATTCACTCCTCCGTTAGGCCAAGATCATACTTATACTGTTAAGCGAAATGGACGATACACTTGCTCCGATCAAGATCTCCAGCCCTTCGGGGGACCGCCAACATACATTGTCCTCGTATACTCAAGTTATGTACGAGCACACACAGAGACAGATGGAAGAGCTTCGGGCTTCGGAGTCACCACCAGCACCTGGTGAACCAAAAAAGGCAGAACATCACGATCGCATGAAACGTCACAATCACCAGGAGAACGGTTTGCCGCCATCCATAAAGAAGCACGATTACGCTCTGGATAATGCAAAGACCAGCCACCCGGAGAGACGGTCCGGTGGTTGACTTATGACACACTCGTCAATGGTATGCTACGGTGCAGAATGGGATATCCACCGCTGGTGAATGCGCATAAAGAAAAGACATAAGAGGCTAATGAGACTTATGTCGCTTTCTCTTGAAGATGAAGAGATGGTGGTGCTATCTGCTGTCCTCTTCAAGTCGAGACGCCTAGACATGATACCTCGAACGTACTTTGTTCAGGGATATCGGAATCCTCAACAAGGTGCTCTCGTATGAACCGACTACGCCATTACGACAACTTTTTTCTTCTCGCAAAAAAGAAAAGCCATTTTCTTTTTTGACTAGTTATTTCTGGTCAATTTACTTCTCGACTTCCGAGATAGCTCTCCTCTCCCCGTTCAGTTTTTGGTTTCTTACTACACCTCGAACCCTCGTTCTTCATTATATGACGCCTAGCGCTTCAGCCTTGCTTTCCTCGAGGTATTTTATTCTTGACCTTTGCCTGGATAGGACTATATCTCCACATACTGGTATGCTGGGAATGCCTCTTGCTGTTTACAAAATATATGACCTTTGTCTCATTTTTCCATTTCACGCGGGTCTGTGATATATAGAAAGGGCCTTCATATGACGAGATATACGACGTATATTTTTCTTTTTTTTTTCCCCCCCAAATTAAGGAAGGCCAAAAAATTACGAAAATTGTCCGCTTGCTGCATACTATGCATGATTCATGACTCTCCTAGAATCCTCTAGATCATATGGTTATTAGGGTATTTAAAGTATTAAGGTAAAACGTAAAATTCATCCACGCGCTGTGACGTAACGTAACTCATCATGACCATCCGCCTTGGTTCCATCTGCCCATCCCATTGGGGCCCGAGCTTGAGTTTCTTGCGTATATCTGTCCGTGCTGACCCTGTTGGTTTTGCTGGCTCTGCTCGCCTTGCTGGCCCTGCTGCTGCTGGTGGGGATGTGGTGGACTGAAAGCGAAGTTTGCTCCTGGCTGGTGCGGCGGAGGTATGAACTGTTGTCCGCCCATAGACCCACCCATGGTCGACGGTGGGAAGTTTTGAGGAAAGGCTGGCAGGTTCATATTCATACCCATGTTCATGGCCATGTTTATATTCATGGCCGGAGGGAACAGACCCCCTTCTGGTGCAGATATGCCTGGTGGAGGCGGAGGAGGCGGGGGTGGCCACGGCCCATGATAGTTTGGTGGTCGAACTGGAGGAGGAAACATTACTGACTGCGCAGGGTTCATGGCTAGCATGCTCAACTGCTGCGCGCCGATAAAAGGGAATTGAGGGTTGACGTAAGATGCTTGGGTTTGATTTGCTGGTTGTGAAGAAGTAAGTGGAGGAGGTGGTGGTGAGACTCCCCGAAGAGCAGACGGTTTAGGCGAATATGACGCCGATCTGGATGCTGAACGGCCGGCCCTAGGTCGACGGCGAGGGGATCGGGAGCGGGACACTGAGGCTCGCCGTCGACGCCCACGAGATATTGATGAGCTCGAGGACAGTGAACGGCCTCTCCCGTCTTCGCTCATGCTATCACTGTACCGTCGTCTTTTACTGGCTGACCGCCGCGAGCTAATGCTTTGACTTGCGCTTCGACTTCTGCTGCGAGCTTTTCCATTCCTGCGTTGTTTCATATTTTGGCAAAATTCCCGCGACCAGCCGTAGTATGTGCCACTGTCCAGTGATTCCCCCGTCATATCGTTGTGTGTTGTGGTTTGTCCCAGCTCATCCACATCTACTATAGTAAGCTCCGGAGACTCGTTTTTATTGGTATCATAAATCCTGTCCACTTCTGCAAGGAGGGATTTCACAGCTTTGATAAGAGTCTCATCAGCAGGGCCAGCGGCAAATTGGAGAGGTTTTAATGACTGGGTTCGGATTGCAGCAGAGGAATCTGGGATTATGTGCGGTAGCATGTTTCCTGCAGGTAATTCGTAATATGGCGCATTGGGATCACCATGAGTCGCCGGCATCACATATGGAATATTTCGCGTTTCAGCCTTTTTCTGTTCAGCATGTGCTTCTCCATCTATAGCAGCCTTTTCCTCAGTAGCTTCGAAATTTTCAACCGCATCCCTCAATTTCTTCATATATTCCGCACTGTAATATGCATTGTTTTCCCATATCTTGATAAGATCTTCAACCCGCTTGCGATACTTCGCGCTATTGTCACGGCAATAGCTCCCAGCACGGCCAAAAAGAGTGGTCAAGTATGGGCGTAATGACTCGGCCACCGTTGAAAACGCTGAAGTGGACGTCGGGCCATGGTATTTCGTATGGTGAAGTAAATCATTTAGTAGGTAGAGAATATGCAACGTCTTTCTCCTCGAAGATGCGCCGTGCTTTCTATCACCTCCGTTTTGAGCTTCTCGCTTATCCGTTGGTTTCTGTTGCAAGTACTCTGCCAGCGCAATGAAGTATTTGCCTAATCCCCCTACCCGGACGGACGAAGGGGCAACATTTTTTAGAAGCCATGATTTGCATATCTGGTGTGAAAAACCCCAAGGCGTAACAGTTTAGTAAACTTGGATATTGCCGCTGCGACGATGCAAGGAGCTTCAAATAGTCCAAACCTGGATATGTGCTGGGGAGCAATGCGACATCATCGTGTCGAGCTCTTTGTGAAAGCGTGATATCTCATCTCCAGAGACTGGCTGAGGGTCAGGCCGTAAAAGGCCGGCGGAGAACGAAGCCTTCGCTACAGCGATCTGGTGGGAGCTCATTGTGAAACCGCTGTATAGCCTCCCAGGCGCTCACTCGGAGGTAAACAATACTGCCCCGACGCTGCTTGTCTGTTGTTGACGTTCTGCGGTTTTCATGCTGGTGTTCCTCATGGAGGCTTTTTCACGCCAAGACCAACGAATTAACCTACCTAGTAATGCCCCGGTCAGGCACAGTGAGTATCACGTGACTACAATCTCTCGTAAGCGGACCGAATGGTCCAATCTTAGGTTGTCCTCCATGGCACGTGATCAAGATATTCTTAGCCAATAAAAATGTCAAATTAATAGTTAATTAGTAACCCGCGGCTCATAGGCTTTATCAGCATTGGTCCCACTACTTCACCCAATAATATTGGGATCAGCGGCTATATGGCGGCTTTTAGCATCATGAGCCTGATAAGCCACCCAATCAGAATACATCCAACTTTCAGCCTTGTTAATGACGACTTCCTCCGTCCCTGCGGTTTAATACCAACTGAGTGCACGCCACCAGTCAATGCCGTCATAATGAAGAAGGCATGAAGGTCTTCGCCGCCTGGGTGACTCACATAAATACTCACTAGAGCGCTCCCTTTCCATTGTTCTTGTTCTAAAACTCATCATCACATTTATATACACACCAAGATTTCGGCTATTTAATAGGACGTCGTAAACGTATGGATAGCCAACGAATTTTTCGGCGGATAGGTGCTGGATTTTGTGGCACAGTGTGGGCTTTAATGCCCAGTAATAATATGCTGGAAGACGACGCTTTCAAGCGAGAAGATGGAGGTCCTGGAAGGTCTCTCCAGAAGGAATTTAAAATGCACGGGATCATACAGAATGCTATAGAGCAATACAACAAAGCCACTCCTATCTCTATACCCAGATGCCATCAGTTTATTGATCCCGACGACGCTTGGTGGGGGGCTGGAAATTTGGAGAAATTTCCTGACGGATATTCCCCTTGCAATATCATTCGGTCCGACCGCATTCCGCCTGTTGGACAACCCACTCGGGAGTTACTGATCGAGAAATTCTGCCCTCCACCTTTGATATCAGAATTAAAGGCTAGTGAGGTCAACAAGGACTGCCTCATCCGCCCATATCTCGGGAGATGCCGATTTAGCTCACGACCGAAATCGAACTTCGTGGCCTTTTCTCTTCGGAACTTCCCGCTGCACCTCGACCAGATGTATGAACTCGAGGTACCTCCAACCGACCTCCTCAACTATGCTGTACTGATGGCAGAAACCCTGGCAATACTTCATTGGCTAGGTAAGACAGACGCGAACGATATCGAGTTCGTCTTAGCTCCACCACGCAATGACCAGAAGTCAGCAATAATATCAAATTGTCTTGGAGAACACACGATATGGATCCTGGACTTCGACTGCTGTAATTTTATCTCTCTCGATATGGAAGGGGTCGACCAAGCGGTTAGGGCTTTTATAAAGAATGACCCATTCTATCCACGCCCAACCTCCAGCCCTGACCTGTGGGTGGCATTTCGACGCAAGTACATTGAAACTAGCAACGAAGTGCTAAAGGGAGCAGGTGATATGGCTCTCCGTCAGCTTCCAATCCATTTTATCAATGGTGTTGAAGCTGCTTTACAGGTTTCTTCGGCCTAAGTTTATACGATGGTTTTTAGTTGTATAATAGGCGTGTGAAGCAACACACAAGGATCACACGAAGCAACACACCAAGCAACACACAAAGCAACATGGAAATATTTGTCATTGCCCTTGACATATAAAATATATCCGCATAACTCGCTCTCAGGTTTCCCTCAAGTTTGACCCTTCAATCATTACAGCATGTCGGATAATATTGGTGACGAGATTTCTTCACGATCAATCCGCCAATATGACACCTCGGAAGACTCAAATACCCCAAGGCTGGATAGGATGTTCAGCAAATTGCAACTTGAAAGAACCAGCACCTCGAGCACAACAGGCCCGGATACCAAGAACACTCTAAAAAGGCTTCTATCAAACCAGTCTGGGATATCCACTGCATCCTCCTATGCCGAATTCCAGAGTGCTTCAGCAGGCCAGGCGAGACCCTTCAGAGAGATCGGAAGGGGGTCAATTGGAAAAATTTACGAGCAACCAGGAACAACATGGGCATTTAAACTTCTGCTCATCGATCGAAGTGATAAATTGTGGAACAACTATGTCATGCATCTTCGGGTTCAAAACAGCTTTGACCAGCTCGGCAGCATCGGTGGACGTGTGGAGCTACCGCGTGTTGCATGGTTTGCAAATAAGACATCAGAATTTTGGAACGACAATCTTCATTTGTTCCCAGACGAGCCGACTTTCAGGCGTGAACCTCGCGATGTTCTCTGCATGGAACGAATTCTCCCATTACCAGAACCAGTTCAAAGCGCCATGATTGGAGCTTACTGCCCACCCCATAACATCGAGAACGCGAAAAGAGACCCAAAAAAACAAAGACTGCCTTATCATGGTTTTCTTGGGAAGAAATAGGTTTGGAACATCTCGGCCCAGTGGCACTACCTTTTTTTCGCTTCGCAACTATAAGCTACATCTAGATCAAATAAGAGACCTTGGTTTAGATGTCGAAGAGCTGTGTGAGAGCATGGAAGATACCATGGCCGTTCTACACTGGCATGCAAAAGTGGACGGAAACGACATTGAGTTTGTTTTTGGCAGCTCCCCAGAAGATAGAAAAGCGATCCGTCGAGAGAATGGCTCCAGGATCAAGCACATATGAACGGATTACCAACATTCATCCAAACTTCAAGAAGCGACTTCTCAGCTTATGGATTCTCGACTTTGACGCATGCAAACCCATATCAATGGATGAAAATGGAGTGCGACTGGCGGTGAAAGCCTTTTTGGAGACCGATCCTTACTGCCCCCGGCCGTCAACTGAATGTTATTTTGCTAAGGAGCTCTGGAAATTATTCTGCACCCGATACATGCATACTGCTGCGAGACTCGTGAGAGGCACAAACTACCATCACCTGCCAATGAAGTTTATTCAAGGAATTTCGAATGAATATAGGCTAGGTGAGGAAAATCGAAGGGAGACTCAGGTTGCACCTCCCACAGTTGTTAGAGGAAGAGGAGCTGCGGGCATAAGGAGAGCTAGAAGCAGCGGCAACATGATGGGGCGTGGTAGAGGCACTTGGTCGAACCAGCCGGGGCCACAACCAGGAGAACCAGAGCAATCAGAGCGACAGAGGCAATTGGAGCAAGCAAAGGCAAAGAAGGGGCTTTCGAGGGAGGAATATTGGTCACAGGCATTGATAGAACGTGTACGGAGTAAGGCAACGAGATAAACGTTGGCCCAAGGATATGTAATTAAGCAGTTAATATGATTTTGCTGGAAAAAAATTTGAGATCTTTTAACGCCTAACTAATTGCTGAAATGCCACCATGTCCCCCCTGCCTAACGGTACAGAGTAAAGTATTCTTAGGGCAAATTTCTCTATTCTATCAATGTACTCCTAAGCTATACCCTTCTTTACTTACTTTATACCTATCTTCTAACTCATTACTTTCTTATATAGAATTCTCATACCTTTAACCCCCTAGCATTTCCTAACCCCAACCCTTACCCTAAGTGCAACTAGATATTATCCAGGAATTATACTATACAGTAGAAGCAGAAGAGTGTGGTTTAGGATACACGGTTAAAGCAGAGAATTTTACCCTAGGAATAGTGCTTAATTCTGTACCGTTAGGCCGGTGGATAGTTATGGTGGCATTTCAGCAATTAGGTGGTTCCATTACATTCGGCACTGTTTGATAACTAATACTCATACAGTATCTGAAGGATAGGAACTGGCAGTTGTATGGTTCAAGCAAAGCAGTACTCCGTACAGCGAATATCTAATGCTTGTCTCCGCCTAGTTAGGCACTCTAGACAACGACGCCCTCGAATAAAATGCTACAAACTGTACAGAGTAAGAAGGCCCTAGTTACTTGCAGTCCAGCTGGGCGCAAGCTGCATCATGACATGGACTGCGTATCTCGGGAAAAGGTTCGGCGTGGTGGTGTCACTTTTGAGTACGGGAGTACGAATATAGCCACCATTATAGAACCCTCCTTCAAGGGCATTATACAAGAAGAACCAAGGCCATCTGAGCATTCCGGGTGGTTCCTAGAAAGCAGACCGCTGCCTCATAGAGCAAATCTTGTTTCCGGATAACATGACTGTCTCTGTATTCCATGTGTACGCCAGTGTGGAATCTGAGCAAATATCCGGCGCTTCCAACAGGGCTGTTTCGAAGCGCTACCTTGTTGACGGGCGAACCCTTCGCCGGGAGCCGTGTTATTACTGGAGCAGAGCCAGCGCGAGACTTCCGGGGAAGGCTTCGGGAAAGCAACTCGAGGAGAGCAACGAGCAGGCGCCGGCCACGGACAGGCGTGGGAGGCGTGGGAGGCGCCGAGTGAGCCCACCAGGAAGCCCACGGATTCCATCCCCGTCACGCGATTGTCATCTGGCCATGCCATCTTTGCGTCATGCATGATCCCTGGAGGTTCGGCGATGCGGAAGAGCCGTGGAGCTAGCGCCCGCCGCCCAAACTCCCGACTGGCGTGCCTGAACCGCCGAAGGACACGAAGCTCGAGACACCACGAGGTTACGGATGTCGCTGGAGGGAGGGGGTTGGGCCCTGGCTGGTTAACTAGGTGTTATTTAAGGCTGCGTCTGATCCTCTTGGGACGGTGTTCTTCCCGCCAAAACAAACCACCGTCGCTCTGTCTGGCCGCCGGGATATCTATTCGAACAAGAAACAGGCGATTCCTAGCCACGAGAATACCTACCTGGGTGACGAGTTAGCTCACCAGCCGACCCCCTCGTCGCCGCCTACCATGAACCAGCCAACCATCATACTTCGACACTCGCTTCGGCGGTTCTCTGCCCAAGCCCCGAAGCCAGAGAGCAGGGCCCAGCGGTATCTGGCGGCGTCGTGCATCGTCTCCGGCGTCCTGCTGCCGTTTATCCCGCCGGCGCTGGAGAGCTCGAGGGGGAGAAAGCTGGAGCAGCCACCGGCAAATAAGTGAGCCTCCCCTCCCGCTAACTGGTTATTATCATTCCCTTGCCCCGAAGAAGATCAGTTTGTCCTGACATATATATATATATATATATATATACAGCTATCCTCCTCTATGTTTCCATTCTCGCTAAGCATACTTCACTTCGTCGGCTTTCCTTATCTCTTTTACGTCTACGGGCCACAGGTTGGCTATGATTGTCATGAAACGGCGTTCGGCATCATAATGGAGCACGAAAATCCATTTCATTAGGAATTCGGACATGGAGTTATAACGATGATTATTATTATGCCTGTTTCTATTCTATGAGATACTTTAGCGTCTTCTAATGGCTAAAAATAGTTCCAAATCAGTGTTTCTTTCTCCCTGTTCATCTTTATTGCAACTTCCTCTATAATCTTCAATAGACACCCCCAAGGATTCGTCTGGAAGGGTCCTTGGCATCACAAGACGATACAAGCCCTGGTATTCCGTATAGTATGATTTTAGAGAAGAGTAGCAGAAATGATGGTTAAAATAATATACAGATATCTCCTCGTCTCTCCTTTTATAGCATAATATATGCAAGAGCAGACTAAGCAAATATATTGCCTAGCCACCGTGGTAACATACCTAACCGAATGTATGTATAAGTATCCAGCATCAATCAGCTGAAACGATCACCCTTCCTCGATCTAAATACTTCGGCGGCTTCGTATTTCCCTTTCTCGGCCAGACGCTGTGCATCGGTGTCCGGTTCGTGTCTTGTAGGAGCTGGATCGTGTCCTAATTCTTCACTCGGGCTATATGCGTCATCCTTCTGTGACCCACTATTCAATTTCCCTGCCCGGGCAACTGCCGCCTTTGACTGTTCAGCTGCCGCCTTCAGCCAGTACCAAATGCCGGTTAGTGAAGCCCTAGAGTCAATCTTATCTCGTCGTGGAGGGGAAGAATTTGTGTTCGTACCCTTGCCGAAGCTTCAGCTTTGGCCATTTCATCTTTACGTTTCTGAGTAGCGTCAAATCTGGTCAATCTGTCGGCGTTGATAGAGCGTTTGGCGAAATAGTATGCGCCACCACCAGCTGGTCACAAAACGGCATTAGTTATCCTGCTCCTTTGAGTATAAAAGAACAGCCGGGGTATTGCATAATAGTCGTACCGACACAAAGCGCTCCCCATCCGATCCTAGGCAGATTGATTATGTTTAGTTCTCTCTTAATCCTCCCAATTGTGATCGATCAAAGCAATGGGTTGTCGGTACCAGGTTGATTTAATCTAAACACCGCCACGCAGTTAGTGATACCAGTCCCAGTAAAGAGCAAGAACCACGGCCAATGCTTACTTACAGTATTCATTTTTGAATCCAAAAGAGAAACAATGGAACCGAATCTGTCAGTCTCTCGGCGTCTTTGATCTCTATCCCGGCTGGCAAAACTCGGCCGGCTCCAAATTTCCTGCTTGAAGTCATTTTAAAGTCGGCTGTGGCTAGATTTGGCTTAGTCATTGTCATGTGACACTATCTTGATAAGGCTCTTTTTGGATGCTGTAACTAATAAGAAGCCGAGATCGTCATCGACAACGACTTGTCTCTGACTTCTTCTCCCCTTTCTCATTGCTTCTTATCGCTTGCAAGTCGGCACCACTGGCCTGGTGCTGTGACAAGTCCAGGGTAAGATACCATAAAAGATCGAGATAATGTTCTAGGAGCACCGGATCAGAGACAGGATTTCTGGGGGATTCTTGATCTCTCAGGCCGCAGCAGTCAAGCAGAAACATGCCTCCGAAGAGGAAGGCGGTCGAAGGTATATAATCTCAGTGAATAGGGCACCCAACCCGCATGAAATATATAAACTGACAATGGGCTTATTTGGGTACGTAGGCGCAAAAGGGCGAGCCTCAAAGCGTGCAACTCCGAATCCTACTTCAACACCTCAGAGTGTAAGTAGCGATGAGTATGTCGAGCCTGAGGGCAGTGATGGTGAAGAGGATAACTTGAAAGGCATGCTCCGTTTGGATACTACTTTGCATTTTACCGGAAAAAGTACTAACGGTAGTATCTTGAACCAGACGTTGTGGAGAAATTTACGCTGCAATCCTACAGCCAAAAATCACAGGCCGTAAAACAGGATCCGCATTTTGGATACAAAGATTTCTCTTCCCTTGCATTGAAACCCGATCATGCAAACCGCCCACTTTGGATAGAGCCCCTAAAGGGGACCATTACACTGGAGAGCTTTTCTCCGTTAGCATCACAAGCGCAAGATTTTCTGACAACTATCGCTGAACCCTTGTCACGGCCCACGCATCTCCATGAATATCGGCTCACAGGCAACAGTCTTTATGCTGCTGTGTCCGTCGGACTTCTTCCTACAGATATCATCAATTTTCTTGATAGGTTATCGAAAACTCCTCTGCCTGAAACTCTAAAATCGTTCATTATCAATTTCACGAAATCATATGGAAAAATAAAGCTGGTGCTGAAACATAACCGGTTCTTTGTGGAAAGCTCAGATACAGCTACTTTGCAGATGCTTCTGAAAGATGAAGTTATTGGGCCGCAGAGAATAGAGTCATCCGAAATTACACAACAGGCAGCCCCGAAAATGGGTGGATTGGTAATTCCAGGAACAAAGGATGCGGCTATGATGAAGCAAGCGCCAGACCAACGCGCGACTCAGGTGTCAGAGAGGCCTGCCCAATCAAACGAGGATGACATTCTAGTGAACTTACGAGAGGAAGATGACGACGAAGAACAAGCGCAGGTTCACAGCTTTGAAATTCCAAATACAGCAGTGGAATCAGTGAAGGCTAGATGCCAATCCATGGGCTGTCCAGCACTTGAGGAATACGATTTCCGCAATGATGAGATCAACCCAACTTTGGACATTGACCTCAAACCCATTGCTCAGATTCGAAGCTACCAAGAAAAGAGTTTGAGTAAGATGTTTGGTAACGGACGAGCAAAGAGTGGGATTATCGTCCTTCCCTGTGGTGCTGGTAAAACGCTGGTCGGTATTACCGCAGCATGCACTATCAAAAAGGGTACTATCGTCCTCTGCACTAGTTCCATGTCCGTTGTCCAGTGGCGGAATGAATTTATTCGATGGTCAAATATTGACCCGAGTGATATTGCCATCTTCACATCGGACAACAAGGAGAAGTTCCGACGGAGTACAGGAGTTATTGTATCTACATACTCTATGGTTTCACAAACCCGAGCTAGATCTCATGACGCCGAAAAGATGATGGAGTGGCTGCAGTCTCGGGAGTGGGGGTTGATGCTGTTGGACGAAGTCCATGTCGTGCCCGCCTTCATGTTCCGAACAGTCACATCCGCTATAGCTACACAAACCAAGCTCGGATTGACAGCCACGCTTCTCCGAGAGGACGATAAAATCAAAGATTTAAATTTTCTTATTGGGCCCAAGCTCTACGAAGCGAACTGGATGGAGCTTGCAGAGCAAGGTCATATTGCCAAAGTTCAATGCGCAGAAGTGTGGTGTCCCATGACTACCGAGTTTTATACCGAGTATATGCGTGAAAAGTCCAGGAAAGCCGCTCTTTTATATATCATGAACCCCAGAAAATTCCAGGCCTGTCAATTCTTAATTGATTACCACGAAAAACGAGGCGATAAGATCATTGTCTTTTCAGACAATGTCTTTGCACTCGAACGTTATGCTTTGAAGCTGAAGAAAGCTTACATTTATGGTGGAACACCGCAAAACGAACGTCTGCGGATTCTTGAAAACTTTCAACATAACGAACAAGTGAACACAATATTTCTCTCTAAGATTGGTGACACATCTCTCGACCTACCAGAGGCGACCTGTTTGATTCAAATATCATCTCACTACGGGTCTCGTCGGCAGGAAGCTCAGCGGCTGGGGCGTATCCTTCGAGCTAAGCGTCGTAATGATGAAGGTTTCAACGCTTTCTTTTACTCCCTTGTGTCAAAGGATACCGATGAGATGTTTTACTCTTCCAAACGTCAAGCTTTCCTGGTCGATCAAGGCTACGCGTTCAAGGTGATCACCCATCTGCAGGGTATTGAAAATCTCGAGGGTCTTGCGTATGCTACAGCCGAAGAGCGCCTGGCACTCTTAGCTGACGTAACACTTCAGAATGAAACTTCTGCTGCGGTTGAGGAAAATGCTGATGATCTGTTCAATGATCGGTCGGCTGGAGGGAAATCTCGTGGTAATAAGAAGGCTGTGCGTAGGAACGCTGCAACCCTCAGCGGACTTGCTGGAGGAGAAGATATGGCTTATATCGAACATAACAAGAGTCGAAATAAGCAGTTGAAAGAACGGAGCTCTTTCTTCAAGAAAATTGATCGAGATCGGGCGAAGCGGAAGAAGATGCTAGAGCAATAGAACGATGATGTACAATCTGAGGTACAAAAAGGAATAATTCCCATTTCTTCCTTGGATTACAACTTGATATTTGACTGTAACCGAAAATTCCTTTCCATGTACAACTTCTTATAAATATAACCAGTAAAAATTTAATAATACAAACTGCCTAAGTACGATCAAACCATATCAAACATTTATTCTCAAGTAAAATAAATAATAAACAAATAAACAAAGTAAATCGCACATTAATAAAGGAGAGTAGGGTCAAAAATAAAAAGATGTACAACAAAAATCTCCAAAATGCAAACACAGGCAACCAGTTACAATATTAGTATGTAGCAGAAAAGAAGGAATCAAGCAAAGGCATATTAAACGGGTATCTAATTATTAGGTCACACTAAAATGTTAAATGCCAACTGGTCACGATAATCCCCGTAATATATCGGGAGTCGGCTACTAATTCAAGAACTATGGCAACATTAAGAATCAAACATCAATCCTCCTTTAGTTAACAAAGCAGGAGGGGGCTCATAAGAAGCTCAGGAAGACCTGAATTAGACTGAAATTGGCCATTCCGGAAGGGTATCAATTCAAAAATAAAGAAAGGTATCAATTCATAGGTAAAGAATGAAGCGCCTAGAATGCGATGCGATGCAGTTACTCCTCGGAAATTGAAGATACGAATTTTGACACTTGTTTTTTCGTAATAATTTTTCCAAGTTTGGATCTTGAGTCGCTCCGCCGTAGTTCGCGGGGCTGGGAAGATGGAAGTGTTTTATCATTATTGACTGAGGATGTACCTGTAGATGGTCGATAAACTGCACTGGTGAGCAGCTGTTTATCTGAAAGCGTGGACTGTGAGGGAAATGCTCTCAACATGCTGCCTTGTCCATTGGCGTTTTGCCTGCTGGACGGCCCTGAAGCTAGGTCCTGTCGCACGAGTAATTTTTCGGTATCTGATCCAGATGTGGTCGATGATGGAGACGACGCCCCAGAGCCAATGGTCTTCTCGCTTTCTTTCGACTCGGTGGAAATTCGGTTAACACTCGCTGTGGCTTCAAGAGCGACAAGCTCACAGCGAGTGCAGGCCGACGCAGCGAGTTCAAGCATGCGAACCTGCTTCTCGAGCCTTGATCGAGCGAGCTTCACATCTTGAGACTCAGCTGCAATATCTTCGATCTCATCATCAGACATCTGAACGAATTTGGACGGAGTGATCATATCCTCCAAACCATCTATAAGGCAACCTTCGACAGCCAGGCTTACAATATTGTTGATGAAGTTGTTGAGAGATACTGAATAATACGCCAGCATACAGTCCAATATCTCGGAGTACAGTGAGCAAGTACTGAGAGCTTTGATACCACTATTGGCTGCCCTCCGTATTTGAGAGATTTTTATATTTAGGTCCGGATCGACGATTGTCGGGATAACCCTTTTGAATGGAGCCACGAGTTCGTCAATTTTTTCTTGCAGTTTCTGCAATTTCTTTTCCATTTCGATATTGAATATTTTGTGGATCAAGGCTTCGCCAAAGCTGGCATCCGCAATATGATGAAGGACGTCACTAAGATATTGCTTAATTTTGGCCCACATCTGGAAAACATGAGCCTTAGCAATTTCCTTCCACCGTAGGGAGTATCGAATGAATAATTCACCAACAACCTGGGCATTCATTAGGCCTGATATTTCACGACCTTTGCTCTGCTTCACGAACTCTTCAAGGCCACTCATAAATTCTCTCTTTGTCACAGGTTGAGGTCCATCCTTCGTTCGTGGAGGCAATTCTTTTTGTTCAGTATCATCATAAATGTCGTAACTGTGGCCACGCCTTCTCATATCTTGGGAGAACTCTTCTGTCCAGTTGCTGATCGTAGCACGCAGTCGCCGTATCGAATGAGTCGGACGATATCTGAAATATGGGTCATGATATTCCCCATGAATGGCGTCTTTCGTAAGGGACTGGAACCTTTCTCCTATCCTAGCCAGATACACGCGGCGTTCCACCGTAGTGGTAGTTGAAGAACCAAGTTTCTCGTATAGAGAACGATGGGTATCAAGATCGATATTGATGTCTGATTTGAGAACAGAAAGGTGACGCTTGACCTCTGACAACAAGGTTTTACGGATCCTACTCCGAAGAGCACCCACGCCAAGAAAGTGAAGAGGCAGAGTCCTCCACGGTGTCGCAGTAGCAAAGAAAAGTTCCTCAATATCGTCACGGCTAACTCTTTGGGGGCGTTCAGTTCCTTCGCTATCCGTATTCCGTAATAAATGCCATCCTAGCTGTAATGATTGATGTTGTTGCTTGACCCGGTCATACACCTTGGCGATGGTAGAGGCGTCAGGGTCCAGACGGTCGAGTTTGGTAACAATCCCCATTGTTCGGGCCGCAAAACTCTTTGTCATAGGGAGTACCATTTGCTCTGAGAGTTGGCGTTCTGCAGAGATAACAGCAAGGATGATGCTTCGTGGGTTCTGTAGGTATGTTAGGGTGAGGCTCTTGGCGACTGCGATATCTGCAGTAGTTTGATTATCACGGGGTAGGTACATCAAACCCGGCAGGTCAACTACCGTGAGATTGGGTAGTGTCGGGCCGGATATCTCTAGATGTAGGACGTCCTCAGAGTAGCTTCCCTCGCGGGTAAGGCCCATGATTAGGCGAGCCTCCGAGAACAGCCTGGGTATATCCGATAGCCAGTCGTGCGAGCGAGAAAAAACTCCAAGTTTTTGTTTATGATCTGGTGAAGCATTTGGCCCCGGACGGATCTTAACTTGCGTGCCGACACTTGTTGATCTTCGAAGAGCCACTTCGACGACAAATCGGGTTGAGACGCCATTGTTGACAGGCAAAGGGACGCCGGTAATGGCTTCGAATACCGCGGACTTGCCGCAGTTTTGGTCGCCGCAAATAACGAGTGTGTGGGAGAAGACTTGGTGATGCAGTCCTATTCGACGTAATTCATCAAGGCGTTCGAGAAGGAGAGACTGGTCGTCTGACTGCAAAAGATTAATCGGTAAAGTATCGTACTTCATGGCGTTTTGGCCCATTGTTGGCAGCGTAGACGGGACAACAAGACCGCCAGATTGAAAGAGCTTCTGTGTTCTTTCGAAGAAGACAAGAACGAAGCTGCGGACGAAGGGAGAGCCATCTAAATATCAGTAGGCCCAACCTAACACTGGATATCCTGTTTTGCCTCGAGCTACCGGTTATGCGGAAAGCTCACCCCTCAAAGTAAAAGTCTAGGCTTGCCTCGCTTCGATGGTATATATGAAACCAAGTGTGTATGCAGGGTGGCAATTCGGGAATAGTACTGAGATATTTCTGCTATCAAAGCGAAGACTATGAACCAATTGATCTCGTTCTTGCAGCTAAGCAATTCTTGCAGGCACCTAGTCGTTGATTTTTTTCCAGAATAGACATGGTGGAAACGGAGCATCTAACGCAGTCTGGTTTTTTCGACATCGAAGCAACTGGGGACACCCCTTCGCCGTTTGGAGCGCCTTAACCGAAACAGTGCAATGGCCCGAGATATGCCGACTCCGCACCATCTTATGTACAAGATAGGCCTAGGCGTTACCAGTGCATGGGACGCTAACGCAGGGCAGACCCATCCTGCCTAGCTGCGAGCCTATGGGTTTGTGCAATGATCTGAGGCTTTCAGGGGTTGATCCTCGCACGGCATCGCTGCCTCAACGTTGAACTCCGCACCCAGGGGATCGGCGAGTGAATTATGCTGATGAGAAAAGACAACGCCCGGCATGCCGGAGAGTCCGAAAACAGGTCTTGCCGGCCAATTTAAAATCAAGTTCGACCTTGGAGGAAACTCTGCCTGTATTGCTCTTGTTCTTCTACTACTTCTTCTTCCTCTTTCCGCCCTTCTTCTTCTCCCTCCTCCCTCTCTTCTTGTCGCGCGTCTTCTGTCTTGCGACGTTGATCGTTCGCCCGTCGTTGGATTTTGCCTGTTTCGGACGTGCGCTAACTGCTGACTAACCAAGCGGCGCTTAATGCGGCTGCGGCTTAAGTCACCTGACATGACCTCTCTTCCGTTTTCTAGATTACTTAATTAAGCTCGGCATGTATGCACATGACGTCACGTGGAATATCAACGTCACCCGCCAGACGTTGGGAGCTCAACGACTTGTTCTGATAGTCTATCAGACAACTTCTTGAGCAGCAGCACGAGAGCGGTAACCAACAAGCAGCTTGCAGCAAGATCGGCACCCTAGACCGAATCTCAGCCTGGACAAGGAGTCTCTGCAAAGTTTGCCGCTAACGATGCCATCGGATTCGGGACGTGATCGCAGCCAGACCTGCCCTCACAGCGGCGGCCGCAGTGGCGCCGGAGACGAGGAAGAGAACCCGTTTATAGCTTTTCGCCGTTACGCTGATAAACAGCTCTCAACCCTTCTTCGATCAGTTGTTGGGCTTCCCTCCGCTGTTCTTCCCCCCGCAAAGGACTGGCTTGGCCTAAATGATGAAGCGTTGAGCCAGACACTAAGAGCTCGCCGAGACAGCACATCAAATAACGATTATTGTCAACACCACAAATGCCGCGATTGCAATCCAAGTGATGGCTACCCCTCGTCCCGTGGAGAATATGATGAGCAGTTCTTTGGGGCCAATCCCTCGATAACGGAACAGCATCGAAGATACGCGAGTCAATCCATCCCAGCGTCAGCATTCGACGCATTGTTCGACAGTGCCTGGCCCACTGACCCTTCTCTTCTATTCCGGGATCTGGCTCACTTTCACAGGCCATTTATTTTTGACTTCATGTCCCCCTCAACTTCTGCAGGATGGCCAATCTCGTACCTCATGTTCTCCCCTTACTCACCCCTCCAGTTAGAAAGACAACGGCAATTATGCCCACGATATCAGGAGCATGCTTCTTCCTCTTGGTTTGGCTCCTTGGCTCCATCCCATGAGCACAGAGATCTCAGAGAACCTCAGTGGCGCGAAGCATTCGAAGATTTACTCCGGATTGAAAATGGGAAAGCTATGCTTGATAGGCATCCCCAGGCGGAACGTACGAACGAATCTGGAAAGTCTTGGCTCGCAGGCTTAATCCAGCGTGGCAGCCTGGGTGACGGCTGGTCTCACGTCAGTCAACCTGACGGTGAAGGGGAATACTTCAAATTCCAATGTATAACCTCCAATGATGCCTCTCCAAACCATGAGGGGATGTCACAGGAAAAAGTGCCAAGTGAGGAAGGCAAGCAGTTCTCGGAACTTGACCTATACGATAACTTCCTCCATAAAGTTAGCCATGGTGCTGCTGTCTCACACACAAGTCCATTGTTAAGAGCAATACTTGAAGAGCGAAAACAACAACGCCAGGAGCTCGAAGAGCTGCAGTTACAATGGCGAGAGATGTTCCGTGAGAAAGAGATGGAGCGTGCAGAAGATCACCAAGCCATCGCCGATTCTGCTCGATTTAGGGGCACAGCATCACAATCCCAGATATCATCCCAGACTAATGAAGATCTATCTCCACCGATAGTTTCTAGTGTCACCACTACACAGCGTCGGATGCAGCCTGATGGCTCCATAAAGACTAAAACCATTGTCAACAAACGTTTTGCCGATGGGCGAGAAGAAAACACTGAAACCGAAGAAATTACAAATAATAACCGCCTAGCTGTTGACGACGGTAATCAGGCAGTGGCTACTCAGGATGAGAATAAAAGAGGCACCCCAAATGGATGTGATAAGAAGGGCGGCTGGTTCTGGCAGGAGTAACATGATATCAGCTAGTCTGTATCTGACCCAATGATGTTCTCTCCCCTCAACTCCTAGCTACCTCAGCCGACTTCTCTCCTGGACAAAAAGGTGATATATTTCCCATGCCCTCTCGTGACTCGAGTGTCTTTAAAATTCAGTCACTACACTCCTTTTTTTTCACTTTCGGCTGCTGAGGTCTTATTGACTTCGATTGTTTATGTTGATGTTTCTTTTAGCGATTGTCAAATCTAACTGTCAGCTGGACCTGTACATTTATTTTGGGCGTTCTGAGCATTTTACATGAACATTAACCAGTCATTCCAGTCAATCCAACTCTTTTTTGGCTCCAGCTTTTTCCTCAGTAAGTTGAAAACACATGATTACTAATACTCAGTGACCAAGTTTGTTTGGATGGATCGAGGTTCCTCGTACCTGGGCTCACGAGAACAGCATTATTATTAGATACGAGACCTTGGTTTCGACTAATTAACTCTAACCATTGGATACTCACATATATCAAGCCGCTTTCGTTTCCCATTTTTCTTCATTCCCCCCCACTGAGCCCGACCTTTCAATCTGTTCGTCTAAGTTGACCATTTCCTTTCACCATGTCTAAAGACGTCATGCCGAATCCGGCGCATGTTGGCGTTGATACTTTGCTATCTAGGAAATTTGGCAAGGAGACGGTCAATTATTTTTCTAGTTAGGAGACCAACTATATTCTGTCGATATACGTTCAATTCCACTAACACGGATTCTATCACACAGGTTCCCCTTTAAATCGGGTATCATTCCTTCGGTCCGACAATCTGTTCTTATCAAATGCCCTCAAGCACCCCTCCGCCAGGTTTCTGCTATTCAATGAGCTTGCGCCGCTATCTCGAAACTCTACAGAGCTACATTACGCATCATATCAAGAAGTTGAGTCGATTATACCTCTGGATTTATTCGACAAGTCCGAAAAGGAGATCATTGAAAGCTATGACTCGGGCAAGACGGTTCCTCTGGTCGTATTTCTGGGATTGCATGAATCCCAAACAGAAAGTGGAGGATTCGTATATAGAACCTACAAGGGAGCTCCGTATTTTGCCCTTGATGTCACCCCTCGTGGGTTACTAGAGGAATCGGCCAAGAAGATAATCGAGTCTATGGAGTCGAAGGGTCTTACGTTTATCAAAGCTAGGGCAATTACTTCGTTGCCCTCGGATGATGGTAAGACAACCAGCCCCTTTCCCAACAATATATAATGAGGGTATTAATTGGCTTTGTAAGCTGCCATATATGCCCAAGCTAGACACACAATAGACTGGAATGCCCGCAACGCCTTCTGTGGAGCATGTGGGCAACCGACTATTTCAACAAATGCAGGCTCAAAGCGAGCCTGCCCTCCAACTGACCTTGGGTTATCTGCAGAGAAATCTCGTCCTCCCTGTCATACTCGCAACACAATTTCAAACCTCTCCTTTCCACGGACAGACCCAACAGTCATTGCAGCAATAGTTTCTCATGATGGGAAAAAAGTGCTACTTGGGCGCCAAAAGAGATACCCACCATGCTGGTACTCAACTTTAGCTGGTTTCATTGAACCAGGAGAATCCGTTGAAGATGCTGTCCGCCGCGAAGTCTGGGAGGAGTCCGGAGTTATAGTCTCTCGTGTTATCATTCACAGTACCCAGCCATGGCCGTATCCGGCTAACCTTATGATTGGGGCCATCGGCCAGACTGCAAAGCCCGAAGATGAAACCATATGTCTCAGCCATGACCCTGAGCTAGAGAAGGCAAAATGGTTTGATATTTCTGAAGTTCAGGAGGCTCTTAAATCCGGGGTATCCTCCCTAGGAGCGCCACCACCACCTGGGTATACGGAAGGTGGCCTGCGGTTAGCACCTAGCACCGCAATTGCGTATTTCCTCATTGAAGCTACTGCCAACGCTGAGCTTCTGGGAAATCAATATGTGCCTAGGATATAGTATTGATTTTCGGCTGCCAGTGTAATAGAATATACAGGGAGTTGGATAGATTAGATGGTTACTTGATATTGATCTCTTCTATAGATTGGAAACGTTCAAGTATTAAGGTTAATGTCATTTACGCTCTGCAACAAAGCCAGGCAAAAGGGTAAAAACAAAGCTTCAGTTGATTACAAAAGAGATAACGGCGGGTAGTCATATTGCAATCCCTCCAACGCCAGAGCAAGTCACAAGTTTATCATCCACGTATCCGCAGGGGGTACACTAGGACGATCGAATGATACATTTTCTTTCCGTCTCAAACTTTGCGCCGAAACAATAAAAAAAGGTGTAAATACTAACACAGGTGGTTGGAAAGATGGTAACAAAGAGGACATGAGCAAACAATATACCTTATGTAGGTCGATGAGGTTTAGTTCTCTGTCTCTGCACCCTGCGAGGTTGGTGCACTGTCGTCGAGCCTTGTGCGTTTGGATTCCCTATCCTCACTTAGTTCGGTAGAGCCGGCTATTTTCCGCTTTTCTCTTTCTCGTTGTTCTGCACGGCGAGCTTCTTTATCCTTCTCTTTCCGGTGGGCTTTGGATTCGAACTCATGCCAATCGCCTTCTACGTCTGCGAGTCTAGAGAAATAATCGTATTAGTACAATTGATACAGTCTATGGTCCTAGAAACCTGACTTACTCCATAGCTTGCTGTGGCCTGGGTTCCTCGGACACAAAGTAAGGATGGGCAAGAATTTCCTCTGCAGACGGTCGTTTACTAGCATCATACTGAAATATGCTAGCAACAAGGTCAAGGGCTGCGGGAGATAAAGAATCCCGATATAAATCCTCAAACGCCCTCTTCTTTCTCTCAGCGGGCCGCATGAGTTCAAACCAGGGCATGTCGATAATATCTGGCCAGTCGGCTCTTGTAGGGGTTCCAAGGGAGTTGTAAAGTTTATCTATTTGATTGAGCTCACTGCCATCTCCAGGGAAAATGGCCTTCTTGGTAAACATCTCCATGTAAACGCACGCAGCACTCCAAATGTCGACCGCGGGGCCGTATCGAGTCTCTCCGAGGAGGAGCTCTGGAGGCCTATACCATATTGTGATAACTCGGTTGGTATAGTCGAGTTGCCGTGACTTGGAAAAGAACCTAGCAAGTCCAAAATCTGCAAATTTGAGTTGGCCTTGATTGCTGATGAGAATGTTTGCTGCCTTGATATCTCGATGAAGTACTCCACGGTGGTGTAGGTAGTTCAATCCTTCAAACATTTGTTTCGCAAGATGTTTCTTGTGTGCTGCTGAAAGTACGAAGGTAGGGTGGTTGATGAGACCAGTAAGGTCGTGGGAAAGATATTCGAACACCATAAAGCACTCGTTTTTTTCCACCATTACCTCCTGCAGGCTTACCACATTCTGATGATGCAGATGTTGGAGAAGCCTTATTTCTCGAACGGCAGTGATAGGAAATCCATCCTTCTCTCCCTCCATGCGTATTCGTTTCAAGGCAACCATGTTCTTTGTAAAAACATGTACGGCCTTGAAAACTTTGCCGTAAGTACCAGCTCCCACCACAGACTCGTTTCCAGGTTTGCGGTAATATACAGAGTCTGCACGGGAAAACTCTTCAGACAGAGTTGGTCTGGGTTTCATACGAGTGAGTATCTTCTTCTTAGGCTTTGAGCGCTCAGTCGTACGGTCTTTTCGTTTTTCAGGCCGAGACTCTCGTCGGTCGTCTCGTCGCTCCCGCCGCCTTTCATCCCAAGCGTCAAACCGACGCTCTGCACGACGGGGGTCACGACGGTCATCCCGACGATCAGAGCGGGTTTCGTGTTTCAATTTAGAGGTCACGGACTGGGGCTTTGTTTTTGGGAGCTCCAAAGGCCGAGGAGGTTCACGCATTTTATGCGTTAGGTCAGGAATCGGTTTTGGAGCTTGAGAAGGGGTAGGTTTTGTTTTGAATGCAAAGCTGAATTTCCCAGATTCCTTTGGCTGTGAAGTGGTGCTGGCCGGCTGACGTTTAGGAGGAGGTTCCGGGCGTTCTAGATCACCTGCCGCCCCTTGATCCTCCACCTGAAGTTCTTTCGACGGCCGAAAAGGGTTATCCTCTTCATCGGTATCGAGAGACATCTGCTCTTCAGAGGGTATTTGCATTGGAAGAGGCGGCGGGTGCTGGTGGGAGGTGCCACGGCCACGACTAGTCCATTGTACAGCATCCAAATGCGAACCCCTAGTGCGTGAGCCTAGAGATTTGTCAGAAGGTTGACACTTTGTGAGAAAATTTTTAAGCTGGAAGAAAGTATGAAACCCTTACCACGATATGACGAGCTACTTCCTCTATAGGCCTGAGCGGAATAGCCGGGTGGAAGATGCCCTGAGCTGGGTGGTTGACCTTGATAATATTGGCTCGGTGGTGCACTTTGAGGCGGATAGCTGGATTGTCTATATGGTGGGGAGTAGCCGTGCATTTGCCTGACAAAAGAGTAAGTAAAATTAAATCAGGCAGCGTAAACGTAGAGGTTCAGCTCACCTCGACTGTCCATGGTAGGGCTGTGATTGTTGCTGTGCGGACAACGAGCCGCGCCCACCACCACTATAAGGGGAGGCAGACTGCGGAGATTCGTGCCTGGAGCTGGTGGGAGTTACATACTGTGGTGATGTGGTGTATGTCTGACGAGTATCAACAGACGGATGTGACGGCCGCCGTGAAGACCGGGCTTCTGCCGGCCTTACACCATGTACAGGATATGTGTCACGCATGTGTTCGTCGTTATTGGTTCTCTGTCTGCTGCTGTCTTTACACACGCTTGCGATCGGTAAAGGAGAATAACCGGGCTTTGAATGGTCGCTCGAAACGGGTTCTAGGGGGCGAAAGGATGAGGCAGAAGGGGAACGGTAATGCGAGGCTCTAGAAGTAAGCGGGTACCGCGACGCTGGTCGGGAATGGGGATCTATATTGCGAGGGAATGGGGGAGCAAAAGGTCTTGGGGAAGCGGTAAGGTGACTCTGCTCGTCGGACGGGGGATGCGATCTAGAGCTCGTCCCAGCAAAATCTTCAATAAAATCGTTAGCGTGTCGATTCCCCTTGTCTGAAAGGTGATTTCTCTTTGGAAAATTGCTGTGCTCTCGAAATTTCCCATGCTTCCGGGCATAGTCATCACTACCACCACGGGCTTGTCGTCTGCTAACGGAAGAGTGGCGGCGACGCGAAAAGGGTGGTGAAGCACTCCTCAGTCGCTTGTATTCCTCCAACTGTGAATGTGAATGTGCCTCTTCATCTTGTCGGACCCTTACCTGTTGCTCTGGGCAAGACTTGCGCTGTTCTTGAGCAGCAGAATCGTCGTGTGGGGATGGGGACGCGGTTCTTCTCCCTCCACCTCGTCCCTGATCGGTTCGATGGAGCGAAGAACGTCGACGATAGGAATCAGCACGGCCTCTATCCGATCTATCCTGCTCCTTGCGACGTAGCGGATGTCTGGATTTCTGGTGATAGGCGCCTCTTTTGCTCGTCTTTTGCTCTATCGTTTCGTATTCGTCGTGCCCGTCTCTCCTCTGTTCTCTCATCGATAGATGTCTATCGTATCCGGCCATGTACCCCAAGCCACATCTGCTTTTGTAAATAGACAATTTGATCGACTGAAAATGGCCGTAGCAATGCCAGGTTGCGCCAAAGGTATCGCCCGTCGTATCGGTCGTCGTCTGGCTTGCGTCTTGTTGTGTTGCCAAAATAATGTTAAGAAGGCGGTTTTTTTTTTCCTTTGGTTGATAAAAAGTGGCTCCCGGAACAACGGCGGGCGAGAAACACCACTTCCGCACCCCTGCCTTGCTCTCGTCTTTGTATTTCGTCCAGCGCAAGTCTTCTGAAACGAGGTCGATTCGCCAGGAGTCGATGTATGCTGCATGAAGATTGTTGCATGGGAGATTAGAAAGTCGTTAGCCGGGGTAGACATTGGTATATCTACTCTTTTGTTTTTTCCCCGTTTCGTATGTAGTGAAGCTCGGGATTCAGCTGCAAGTAGAGTATACCAGGACGGCGAGGATTTGATATTACTCAGTCTCCCGCCATTGAACAACCGACAATAATCGCCGTCAGGTTCGTCTGTTCGGGCCGATTCAGGTTGTGTAAATCGTCCGAATTTCACTCCTGTCATGGCATCTACGAAAGGGAATGGCGGGCTCCATGGCCAGGCTGTAAAATGACCAAGGCCAACATGGGGCGCTGGTCCGACAGAGGCGCTGGCAGCGCCCCTATCCCAGGGTGCTTCTCCGGCATTCAAATATCTGCAAAGATTCCGCCTAAGTTCACCGCACAATTCCTTTGGTGTCACCAACTGCCGGAGCCAACGTCCATGGCATACCGCCACCTGTCTATCTACGGTATAAAATTTCTCGAACTCGAGGTCATCAATCATGGAGGAGGGCCAGCACATTGTCAGGTTAAGCTCCTCAGAAGCCGCATATGTCGTGATAACTTCATGGTAAGCGGTTCAGTTGTATCAAATTTGTGATATGCGCGGCAGAATATTCCTCAGTTGACTCGATGAAAAAGCTGCTTGCAATATTCCTATACATAGTCAGCATGTAGCCAGCCAGCTTTTCCAATGCCCTTTCTATCGGGGCGTGGTCATATGGTGAGGATTTTGTTGGCACAGTATAGCTCGGCGATAGACAGGCTTAGTGTTGTCAACCTTCATGCTATCTTGACCGAACCATGTGGGCATTTACTCAAGGAAATAACTTGCGGTGTGACGCCCGAATAGCCACACCAGCTTGCCGATGATCCTCCCGGACCCTAACAGAGGTAGGGATCCAGTAACCCAAGTTTACCAAGATAAGTAATAATATATAAACCATAGACACCTCCACCAAGGACACGGCCAGTGATGAGAAGGATCTCATCCTAGCAGCCGAATGATTGGTACCCCATAGCTAAACTGTGATTGTCTGTCAATATTAAGATGTAAAGGAAGTCACAAGCTGAAAGGTATATGAACTTAGCGCATACCTAGTTAACCTGGGAGACAGAGGGTAAGCGAATGCCTATATTCCAAGTATTCACCATTTTATAAGGCAAATATTGAACATTGACGTCAACTATATGCAAGTACTAACTGGTCATCACCAATCGTTCACCTAGCAGAACCGCTCGGGCACTCCAGAGGTAATAAGTGACTGAACGATCTGGCAATGGAAATAAAATATCCGGTTTCAATAGTATATAAAGCATAGATGCAGAGGGTAGACCTATAAAGGACGCAAAATGTTATTCAAGTCCGCTCTAGCATCCGGTTTGCCCCTCTCGCTTTGCTTTGTTGGAGTGGAGATTGCGCATCATTTAGCGCATTAATAACACAGGAAACATACCTTCGACACGAGGAGCAATCCTCAAGCTATCCCCAGGGCCACGCAGCACCGTAACTGTGTTCCTGGCCTTTCTTCCTCGAGAACGAGATGCCCCATGTTCATCTGAAGCTAAAAAACTTGGGTGAAATTTGAGGTCAGTCCTGTCACGTGATATAACTTGGACCTTCGATGACTAAGACAGTTGCAACAAACATCGAGATTGCATTCTATTAAAGTAATCCTGCCGACGTGCACTTGCAATTATACAGGAAATATATATATATATATATATAAAAGAGCCCATTCTGGTACTATAAACGACACTCGGAGCCATATTGCCTAGCATAAGCTACTGTCGAGCTGGAATTTCCTCCCATGCCTCCTCAAACCCGGCAGATCTTACCCAGTTGGGTCCTGGCGCATGGATAGAATCAACCACTAAATGGATAATTCGCTCCGTTAGTTACCTTGGTACTGCAATTGCAAGGATGGCGTTACTTACGCATATTTCCCAGCTTCAGCCACATGTCACCCTTAATACGGAAACCGTTCTTTTCTTCATACGGCTTGCAAACCTTCTCTCCATAGGCGATATGCCGGACAAATTTGGCAGCATGTCCGTCATCCTGCTTAAGTGCCACGGTCTCCTTGAACACTCCTTTCCAGTCTAATTTGGCAGGGTAACTTGTGATATCCTCCAGGTACGGCTCCGTGCACCCGCGAGAGACGTAGGTAAGGAGATCGTTACGAGCTTTCCATTCAAGAAGACGCACCTTATTCTCCTTGGTCATCCAAGGCTGGGCAAAGAAAGCAGGAAGGAATATGTTGGAGTTCAACGCATGAATGTAGAAGAAATCAAACCTGATTGCCTTCTTGGGATTTTGGGCCGTTCCGGTGAAATACACTAAAATCATCAAATTAGCCTACACCCTTCTAACACAATGACTGGAGGAAACATACCCGTTGAGTTAATCAATTCAGCAAGCTTCTCGTCGAATTGGTTGGGGTCGACGTTGAACTGGCTGGCATATTTAATCATCTTTTCCGGGCATCGATGCATCACACCGTCAAAAAATTTACTCGAGTCAGCCCACTCAACTGATCGTTTGATATCTGCATCGTTCCGTAGCTCATCTTGGAGTTGCACCAATGTTTTGTTGCTGGGTTTCCCGGCATCGCGTGCCATCTTCTCTGCGGGCTGGAAGAAGGTCTCCAGCTGTTTATCATGCGTGGCGGTTTGAGCAAGTCCCTGGGCAATGATAGAGGGCTGGTTGAATTCAATGCCAAATCCCAGATGGATCAGCGGATGTATAAGTCCTATCAATATCTATCAGTAAAGCTTGTACGGAATTGACGCAATATTCTTACATGTGAGAATTGTTTCAAGCCAAAGAACAGAAGAGGGGGGGATGGGGATATTTCAAGCACCTCCAAAAAGTCGCGCCAGCATTTCGTCGGCAAATTCTCCTCCCGCAAAGAGATACTTTTGTACAACAGAGTCGACGCCCTTGGACTCGAGCTCCTGTTTGAAAAAATGCAGGAAATTTGGGTAATGCTCCCTCTTTCCAGCTAGTTTCCTAAATTCATCTTCATTGCTTAGACGCTTGACAACGTCCTCGTCTACTGGGAGAGCAGGCCGTTGATAGCTGGAACCGCTGGCATAGGCATGCTCTACGTCTTCTGGGGAGGCCCCAAGAGCGTAGATGGATAGTACATGGTGATCAATGTGGTCTGCGATGGGCAATTAGTCTATTAGGAATGGACCTTTGTTGAGAGTTTACCTTGTTGGTGCACGAAATGAATGGAAAGTACGGACTGTGGAATCCCATGTCATTGAAGTAGATATTATGCTCTTGCTCATCTTTCTGCAACAACTCGCTTGCCTTCTCAGCCGTTTCTACCTTCGGGTTGAAGCTAAAAACGGGTGCATCTGTAACGGACAGTTTGATATTATTTGGGGACGCCATGGTTATCTGTCTTCTTTGCACGCGAGGTGAAGTGGTACGGAGCCCTTCTGCTGGCTTTATGGGCAAAAGGAGAGATGGAGTAGCCGCAGGTATCTGTCTTGACGATAGAGGAGACCTAGCAAGGAATCCTGATGCAGACAGGATATTTCTCGTAAAGATTCTGCAACTCATAGACCCCAAACACTAAAAAAGGACACCGTTGCACCGAATACTTTGTAAGACAGGCCTTGTACAGACAGGCCTACTTATAAACAGTAGGGAGCAACAGTAGCTTGGCTAAGTAATAGCTCCAAGCAAGCCCAATAGTTGATACGTATTACCAATCTACATGCCAAACCTGTCCCGGCTGCGTCAACATACGGAATCTAGAACGGCTTTTTATTCAGCTGCAAGCTCCGTCTCGTGTCGAGCAAAGAAGTAAAACACGCCGCGGTGGCATTCTTGCTACGTCCTTTGCTTGCATACGTCATAGATTATTAATAGGCAGCAAGGTCGGGCACGGTGGGCCGAGAGGCCGATGCTCCCGTCGAAGCTTAACTCGACATACAAACAACAACAACACGGAGAATGGACGGAGTTAGCAGCTAAACGAGGGCCTGGAGGAGGTGATCAAGGTAGCGCTTTGAAATACTTCCTCCCTGGATGCTTGCCTAGCTTGCTAGCTCGTTAACTAGTTGATCTAATTCCAGCCAAACCCAGGCCTCCCACTCTTTCTCTCCGTCGGCCCTTTTCCAACCTCTCCCAGATGGTGACCCTAAGATATACAGAATGCGAAACCCGTTGTGCCAAATCACCTATCAAATACTTGCAGTCACCGATTTTACCAGTCATCTTTTTTTACACTTTGCATCTCGCATGGGCCACATGTTACCAGAGAAACGGAACGCAGCCCCTTGCCCTGACAAAATGTCCACTTTTGCAGTCTAACCTGTAATCAAGCCCGTGGAGGAAAGGCTACCAGGGCGAATCTTGACCTTGCACGCTCTTCTCTCGACATCAATATCTCCTCCATTCCCTCTAATCTCTCTAGGGTGCGGGGAGGTATTTCGGTCGCAGTATTAGCCCTCGTTCTTGGATTGACATAACCCCAAAGAAACATGTCTGTGTAATGGAGCTGTAGATTCAACCCTCGACGAATCGACTCCCTTATGATCAGTTCATCTGGACGCAATAATATACGTCGGCTCCCTGTTTTCCCCCAGGCCTCATATTGCATCCTTCCAATCTCATCTGGCGGAATACCGAAAATTGTTTGGCCGCGTTCAGAGTGTGGAGGGTGATACTTCCAGCGGACGTAAAGCTTCATGACGTCCAATTTGCTGACTAGAGCTGTGCGTCCTAAAGCTCTCCATAACATTGTAAGACTTGGCTGTGCCAGGAGCAAACGACGCATACCATCTTTTCCATTGCCCGTAACAGGATCAGTGAACCGCATATCGATCTTGATAAAGATCATCATGGCGAAAAAAATGTCAAGGTCACTGAAAATAGATGCCTGCCGAACCAGTGCAATACGTCGCTTGTTGTCCGGAATATCCAGCAGAAGCCATATTTTCTTCAGTACAGAGGTGCAACTATCAGGAACAGGCAAACCGTCTTCTGCCATGATGGTGACTATCTGGTGACATACCATTTCCCGGTAGCATATCATTAACAACCATCGGAAAGAAGGAACCTGACGAATTTCTCCTGCCTCTGCTCTCTCTGGGACTTGATGTGGCAGCTTATTGGGATCAGTAAAGCAAAGCTTACCAAAGCAACGGAAGGGGAAGATCTGAGCCGATTCCATGGCTCGACGCTGCGCCTGGGAAATGATGATTCCAGTAATACGATTGCGAACAACATGATGAAACGGTCTGGACATGTAATTGAGAATCAGCAGCTCTTGGACCCGAAGATACTTTGCCATGATAATAACTAGCTCGGGATGCCTAACCAAGTGCTGAAATATGTTGAATTCGGGCCTGAATTCTTCGCGCTGAAGAACTGACATATCCTTGAATTCGGGGATATCTCCAGCCTTCAGTATTGAGAAATTCTCAAGAGAGACCGAGTCAAAGTCCAACTGAGCAAGGTCACCAAAGCTCCGGTAACCATTACTGTGGCCGCGGTTGGTGATACGGCATTTGCTGATAGTCCTGGAAGTCCAGTCCGGATATTCAGGTCTAGGGACCCCTGTCGCGTGCCATTCGCGGTCTTTCCAGGTGCTAATGAGATGGTTTGCAAGGAACCCACGGCTCAGGGGTGGTAAGCTTTCCACAAGTGAAGACACCGTCTTCCTTATTTCTGGAAGGACAATAGATCCGTCCTCTTTCTTGTCCCATAACAGTTTCAGAACAACCCCGTTTAACCTTGGTAATTTGACAGTTGGAACGGCAATGCTGTTTGGCTTGAGCCTTTTTTGATAAGCATGTACCTTGGCCAAGCGTACAAGTTCAGCTCCAGAGGGACTTGTATCTCGACTTGACTCGCCCTCGCCGGTGAAAAATCGTATTCCTTGATTCTCAGGACCATGACCGTCTTTTCCGTCTTTTGGCAGCATAGCTGTCAGTGCTGGATTAGGCAACAGAGGCCCATCATACCCAGCAGCAATAGCCCAGCTGTAACCTTGTACGTTTGCTGGATGTATTTGTTCTAGTTCAGAGCTCCTGAGTACGCGTGTTGAAGGTGGAACCCGTCTATTACCCGGAAATGGTTTATTCTTATTAAAATTAACATCATCCATTGGATGATCTTTGGGAATAGCCCTAATTGGGCCAAATGCGCCTGGAACCGGCTTGTTCCCAGGAAAGTACCCCGGATCAGATACCTGTGGGAAATAAGCCGACCCAGGTACAAATGCGTGAGCAACTTCGCCAGCTTGTTGCTGATCAGGCTCTCCATGGTCTCGGAATGGCAGAGAGTGCTGTCTCTGTTTCCCTTTTTGGATTCTTGCTCTACCATTACTTTGGGGGTGGCGTGCTCTTGAGGATCCTTTTCGAGTGTCTTGACCAGCCATGACTGAGTCAACTTGCAAGATAAAGAAAGTTGGCTTTCAGTATGTTTCCTATAACACCGAGGTGTATATCCAGTGAAAAATTAGCAATGTTTTCCATAAGAGGCCAAAGAAGATAGAGTGGGGGAATGCAAAGCTTTCTTGGTGCATTCCATGCAGCACCACCCAATATCAGGGGGTATATACCACTTGTTTAGGGACAAACCGCGCTGCTTTTTCTCCTTGTGAGCTATTACGCGTAAGTTTGTAAGTATGAACTTGATTAAAGCTACAGCAAATGCAGAAATATTGAGCAAGCCGTTGCGAGAGATATAGGAAGAGAAAGGAAAAGAAAGACAGTTAATTTGTGAAAAGGTCGTACCTCTTAACGCCTTATAAAGGCCAGCTTCCGGAAGACGGGAAGTCCCGATACTTAAGAACGTGATATTGTGCTCTGGTTTGGAACACTCTTTGATAGCCCTTATAGACTATATGATACCTACCCCTAGAATAATAACAAGATGCCAGGAAGAAGGTTTTTGTGATAAGAAGGTCTTTTAAAAAGTAAGAAACTTGTTTTAAGTCACGTTAGTTTTGCTGTTTGGTGTATTATAGAGTTGTTACCACAGTGATGACCGCCTCTTATGCCCCCCCTACAACCATCTTCACTGAGCATAAGTAGTGAGGCAGCAAGTTTAGATAAACCTCAAGTGAATAAACAATAGCAAAGCACCATATCTACTGTGCTGAAAAGCCTGAGGTGTGAAGACAGTAAAAGCCAGCTCTTGAATGAATATGGGCAAACAGGGTGTTGAGGGGTGATTTACGAGTCGAAGCCAGTGTATACAGAAGAAGTAGCATGCGGAAGACAAGGGACGATACCCAGGTTAATTTGCCAGGTAGTACATAGAGTTGAAATTCAGCCAAGTTCTTTGCTATAATTTTCATCTATCATTCCTAAGAATAAACTGCCTGGTGCATTGGTAGAGGTTCATAATGCAGTAACCCGCGGATGCGGATATACTTCATGCTCCTAATCCTTCGAGCGAGTGCAGTTATTAGTGCGTTGAGCAGCATGAAATCTCATCTATCATAACCTTCGTCACCAAGGGGTTGTTGAAATACGCAATAAAGTGAAATGGGGTATGGTCGGTGGATAGAAACACAGTAAGGGGCAAAAAGTACAACGTGCTAGAAGGTAATCAAAGAATAAATAACGCCAGATATTATCTTGTTGAAAGGCGGAGTGGAGGAAGACCTTAGGTCTTGTCTCGAGGCCATGCTGATGAGATGCAGAAAAGGAAATAATACACTTTATGCGCATGATTTGGGAGGTTCCATAAGGATACGTTGAAGCTCTTGAGCTGGTGCTGGGATGGTTGAGGATGACTGTATCACATCCATGGTTACCTGTCTGTATACTTGTATTTTTCACTTGTTTTCAGGGTATGATTCTCCAGGGGTAATCTGGCGTTTTTATCTCCTGTTCAACAGGCTGAGGAACTCTTCCTTGGTCTTTGCGCTCGACCTCATGCAACCAAGCATGCAGCTGGTGGTGGTAGTACTGCCCGTCTTTTGGACACCACGCATGACCATGCAGAGATGGCTTGATTCCATGACTACGGCAACGCCTTGAGGCTTGAGGACCTCAACAATGGCGAGAGCGACTTGCTTTGTTAGTCGTTCTTGAACCTGAAGCCGACGAGAGAACATTTCCGCAAGACGAGCCAGTTTCGAAAGACCGAGAACTCGGCGGTCTGGAATGTAGCCAATGTGCATCTACATCGAAGGAAATGGTATCAGCCTTAGCTCTGAAAAGTGAAAAGGGGAGTTTGGAATGCCTACCTTTCCAGAGAAAGGAACCATATGGTGCTCGCACAAGGAGAACACCTCGATGTCCTTGACAATCACAAGCTCATCGTGATCCTCATGGAATACTGCACCGTTGACCAGATCTCGTACATTTTCTTCGTACCCCTTGGTGAAAAACATCAGAGCTTTGGCATATCGCTCTGGCGTCTCGAGCAGGCCTTCCCGCTCCGGATCTTCTCCAATGCACTCAAGGATAGTCCTCACGGCGCCCGCGAGCTTCTGAATCCGCTGCTCGGTTTGTTCAGGCGTCGACTCCAACCGCTCTCTTGTTCCCAGACCTCGAAAATGAAGGCGCAGTTAGCTTTTCAATCCTAATAGCCCGACATGCGGAGTTTAAAGTGAATTGCGACATACTAGGCCAGCTGAGTCCGTCAAAGTCGATCGGTGGATTCAACGTATATGGACTGGCAGGGCGACTGACGGCAGTCGACGGAGGCGATATCTGGTCTCTAGAATGATTGCTCACGCTGCGTTTCTGCTGCGGCTGCGGCTGCGCGGCCACATCTGTCACCATCTTCAGCCCGTTGGGCTTCGTCTCCTCGCCATTGACCTGGTTCTCGTCAGTGCTGGAAGCCGCCGCGTTTGTATTCGACGCAGCATCCCCTATCGCAGCCGCGTCTCTGAGCTCGTCCGGCCCCAGGGCGTGTTTCCGTTCAAACGACGACTTGATCGAGTGGTTCAGGCTCTCTCGCTCCCGACTGCTGCTCGGCATGCGCACCGAAGAAGTCCCGTTCAGCAGGTACGACGGCACCGCAGACTTCGGCTTGGGATGCAGCGTCTGTGAGTCGCCTGGAGCCATTGCGAGTATGCTCGATTACTGTCTGGAAGGGTAAATAATGGACGCTGAGCAGAGAATTCTGGGAGAGGCGGAGGACGGGGGGTATTTGGTCGCGGCTGTTTCTTGATGGCGGGATAACTTTTTTTTTCTCTCTTCCTTGTCCGTTTTCCCGGTGACGTCTTTCTCGCCCTGCAATGCAAGCTTAGGTAGTCGACCAGCACAGTTACTTCAGTTCAATGCAAGTAGAACAGCGATGCCGAAACCGTCAGCGGCATTCATTTTCTCATTTTGACCCAGAGTCGGAGAGGAGAAGGGAGAAAAAAACGGGCGATGACTCCATCGCTGCCACTGTCTTTCTTCCCGCCGAAAATTTTCCCCATCGCAGCCAATCAGCCTTTTCCCGCAGCTCGTATGGGATTCGGAGAATTGTTTAAGAACACCCACGGGGCTGGCTGTGCTATTTCCACCGACGGTTTGGCTAATGCCAGGACGGGGTGGTCGTTTTTCCGGGAGGACGATGAGGACGAAGGGGTGTTTGTGTGTGAGCAATGGTAAAACGATAGAAGCCGAAGGGAGCTGCTGGGAGGACAGGGTGCAGATGGAACATGTTGGCATTCGGGCTGGGGCGTTCTGGCCTAAAAGGCAGCACAAAAGGGCCGCCACAGGGACGATCTACAGTGAGGAGAGACGAGACGCCGGGCCCTGGTAGTTCTGCAGGGTGTTCTGTAGTCGTCTGCACAGCTGGCTACGGATACATAGTGTGGCGATGTGATGTGGTGATGCACAGCGTTCGTTGGTGGTAAGGGGAATACGTTGGTTATAGTTACAGGGCAGTACTCCGTACAGAATCTATCATGACTCCAGCTCTTCAGTAGGAACATCCTCCATGTCCTTGCCAACAATTGCATCCGCGACCTTCCATACTTGCAGCAGGTTGTCTTCAGCAGCTGAGCAAAGCACCCAGGGGTCGTTAAGGTTCCAGCTGAAGTCGGATATGCGGTTTGTATGTCCGCCATGCACAAACAATCTAAATGGTTAAGAAAGTCGGGGTTAGCAAGCGAGAGCTGAAAGGTGCGGCAGAGCATAGAAAGAGTACTTACAGCTCTGGAGGCCCGTCCTGGGCGTCTTCCTGGGTCTGTTCTTCTCCTGCGCGGCTGAGGTCCCAGAACATGATCCGTCTGTCGTAACTTGCGCTCGCCAACACGGACTCTTCGAAGGGGTGCCACGATAGCGAGGTGACTGAGTCCTGGTGGCACTCTAGCGCATGGAGCTTTGACTTGAGGTTTCGTAGGTCCCATAGACCAATAGTCTTGTCAGCAGAGCCAGTAGCTACTACTGTTTCCGCGGCAGGGTTGAAGGCCACAGCGTTGATGGCATCTTTGTGCTGTCCCTTTGCAGAAGCGGCAGACCGCGTTGTGTCTGATTCACGGATATCGAGGATTTGGAGGGTGATGTCGTCGGAGACGGTACCAACAAGAGATGAGTGGAGTGGGTGATATTGGACATCATTAACGATAGAAGAGTGGTGTGTATATGTTCTCACTGGTTTCAAGGCCTTGTTGCCTTTCGTGTAAGTGTTAAGATCCCTGCTCCGAGGTTAGCAAATTGCTATAGGCTGTCTCTCAAAGGCTACAACATACCATAACCGGACAGTTTTGTCTTCGCTTCCAGTGGCCACTTCTCCTGCCGTATGCGGGTTCCAGCTTAAGCCAAAGCCTTCGCTAGTATGGCCTAACAACTCCAATTGTGGGTTGACTGTGCCCTGAGGAAGGCTAGGATGCTTTGACCGATCCCATATCATAACCCGTCCATCGGTACACATTGTTGCAATAATATTAGGGTTCTGCGGCTGGTACCGTGCCTTGTTCACCTCTCCCTTGTGATCAATCTTTTGGACGATATTAAACTTCACCTCCATCGACGTCTTGTTGGACCCGCCATAGCCTCCGATCTCACCTCTCTCTTCATCGTAATCTTCGGCTTCTGGGTTCTTAGGGTTTGGTAGCTGCACCTGAGCTATTTGAAGGTAGTTTTGCGCCTCGCTTGATGTGTGAGTGCCTAGCAAAAGGCGATGTGTAGAGTAAGATTTGTCAGGGTCCCTAGAACAGTTGGTCAGACTTAGTAGAAAGGCAAATACAGAATATATCCAGCAGCAGACTCACTCCTGCTTGTCTGGAAGCCATTGCGCCGTCAGAGTTGGCCATTCTAAGGCGGTGCTCAGGATCATATCGTATAGAAAAGGCGCATTCTTCTTCCACGTTTTGTATTCTGCAGAGCTCAGTCAGGGCTCAGCGCAAAGTCATATCCTCTCGGAAGCTCCACCATACCTTCATTGATAATCTTCTCCTCTGCTATCTCCTCCTCATGGTCCTCTTCCAAGCCTGCCATTCTATATGTTAACACCCAATCTCCCTCTATGTGATATAGAAGGTCCATCTACTTACTTGGGGAAAAGCGGTCCATCTCGCCGCGTTCCTAAACTGACGTAAATAATAAAAAAAACGACAGGCACCTTCAGCTAAGCAGTCTCTGGATATCGGCAGCAGAAGAGCGCACAACAGCAGTTTCTATCAGCATGCAAGAGGAAGAAGGGAAAAAGACGGCCGCTTGTTCCTCGTTTTGCTTCAAAATACGCGATCCGCGCGCGTTAATTGACGCCCAGAAAGCTTCACATCACGTGAACGTAACATCATTAATCCGGCGGCTGGAACACGTGACTAAACGGGCGCCCGGCGTTTAGTGACCGCTGCGACTTCGAAATTCACTTCAGCTTTGGGCGATAACAATGATATTCAATTTCGACATTCTTCTCTTCTGATACCTCCCTATCCCTCTTTTCCTTCCTTTTATCTTTTTTCTATTCCTGTTATTCACTGTACAGTATCCGCTATCGCCAGGGTCGCAACAAGGTAGTCCTAACAAGACTACCGCCATACTCGTCTTGAATATTAGCTACACCACCAACAGACCAAAACAGCAGCTTGCTAGACACAGCCATGGGTGTCCCAAAATTCTTCAGATGGCTCTCGGAGCGATACCCTGCGATATCACAGCTTATTGCGGAGAATCGGATTCCAGAGTTTGACTGCCTCTACCTCGATATGAACGGAATCATTCATAATTGCACTCACAAGGACTCGGACTCGCCGACCTTTCGAATGACAGAAGATAAGATGTTTATCGCCATCTTCAACTATATTGAACATCTCTTTGGAAAAATCAAGCCAAAACGACTATTCTTCATGGCAATCGACGGTGTTGCCCCCCGTGCCAAAATGAACCAGCAGCGTGCTCGACGATTCCGTACCGCCCTTGATGCCGAACTTGCGAAGGAGAAGGCCATAAAAGAAGGCGTAGAGATGCCTAAGGAAGATGCGTTCGACAGTAACTGCATCACTCCGGGAACCGAGTTCATGGCCAAACTTACGAAACAATTGAAGTATTTTATCAACAAGAAAGTGTCGGAAGATGCCGAGTGGCAAGGTGTCGAGGTGGTTCTCTCTGGCCATGAAGTCCCTGGAGAAGGAGAGCACAAAATCATGGAGTATATTCGCCAGGCAAAGGCTCAACCGGAGTATGACCCAAATATGCGTCACTGTTTGTACGGTCTAGATGCAGACTTAATCATGCTGGGACTTTTGAGTCATGACCCTCACTTCTGTCTGCTCCGAGAAGAAGTGACATTTGGACGACAGAGTCAAAAGAAATCTAAGGAACTTGAACACCAGAATTTTTATTTGCTTCACCTTTGCATTGTTCGGGAATATCTGGAGCTGGAATTCCAGGAGTTGAAATTAGATGGGGCGCTGCAGTTTCCCTTTGATATGGAACGGATTATAGATGATTTCATCCTAATGGCCTTCTTCGTTGGAAACGATTTCTTACCCAACCTTCCAAACCTACACATAAATGAAGGCGCTTTGGCGTGGATGTTCAAGGTTTATAAAGATGTTTTACCGAAGCTGGGTGGTTACGTCAATGAACATGGAACAATCAACATGGAGAGGCTGAGGACACTGTTGACAGCTTTGTCAGATGTCGAGTTTCGATTTTTTGAAGCTGAATATTCTGATGCCAGATGGCTCAAATCAAAAACCCTAGATGGCGACCAAACCCCAACATTGCCAGAAAAGCCCAACGTGCTTACAATAACCCCTGCACAGAAACATATCTTCAATCGGATAAAGAAATATGTCACCCATCGCCCAATGGATGAGGCCGGACAGCCCGTGCCGCTCGATTTATCGCCTTCCTTACCGGCGAGAGATCGAAAGTTCGTGGAACAGCTAGCAGATAGCCTACACCTGAAATGGAGCTCTGTTTTGAATCAGCATGAAGAACGGTTCTTGCGTGTCCAGTTACCCACAAATGATGACGACGATGATGAAGATGATGACGATGATGAATCACAGATTGCGATTTTGCGTGTCTTGAAGAAATATGAAAATGCAAAGGTCAAAGAGGTCACTGCTGAAGACGCCCAGATGGCTGCCGAGAAAAAGTATGAGAAGAAATTCCAAGATTGGAAGGATAAATACTATAAGGGGAAATTTGGTTGGGGTTTGGAGAATACAGAGGAAATGCGAAAGTTGACGGAGAATTACGTCCAGGGCTTGCAGTGGGTCCTCTTCTATTATTATCGAGGTGTTGCGTCGTGGCCATGGTTCTACCGTTATCATTATGCTCCTATGATCTCAGATATCCATCTCGGCCTAGGAGCCGATGTGGACTTCAAACTTGGACAACCCTTCTTCCCATTTCAGCAATTGATGGGTGTCTTACCAGACCGAAGTAAGAAGATCGTTCCCGTAGCATTCCACGGTTTGATGACGAGTCCCGACTCCCCCATCATCGACTTCTATCCCAGGGACTTTGAACTTGATATGAACGGAAAAAAGATGGAATGGGAAGCAGTGGTGAAAATCCCATTCATAGAAGAGGAGCGGCTTCTAAAGGCCATGGCAACAAAGGAACATTTGTTGACCCCCGAGGAGAAAGCGAGAAACACTTTTGGTGTGACGCTTAAGTTTACATATTCGCCTGATGTTGAGTTTCTATATCCCAGTTCCCTTCCCGGTATCTTCCCAGATGTTTCTCGGTGTCGCTGCATCGAAAACGTCTTTGAGTTGCCTACCATGGAAGGGCTGGACCCATATGTGGGCTTGGTAGAAGGCGTGAAAATCGGAGCGGAGGCTTTATATGGATTCCCAAGCTTGCAGACCCTCCAACAGACAGGGCAGCTTGGATTCCATGGAGTATGTGTATTCCAACAGGAGAGTCGTAACGAAAGCATGGTCGTTACTATTTCCGACCCTGAAATCGGAGGTAATACTGCGGATGCGAAAACCAAATTAGGGAAGAGGGTACATGTTGGATATCCGTTTTTACAGGAAGCAAAAGTGGTGTGTGTTTCGGATGAACTGTTCGATTACGTTCAAGTTGATGGTGAAGAGCATGTTGTGCCCATCCCACACACTCCAACACAAATCAGTCAATGGAAGAAGAAGGCAGAAAAGATTGAGTCTTATTACAGCAAACGCCTTGGAATGGTTATCGGTGATGTTGAAACGATCGTGCGTGTGGAGATGCTCAAGGGTCTGAAGAAGACCCCAGATGGTGCCACGGTGAAGGAATTTACAGAGATCCCAGGAGTCGAAACGGAATACGCTGCCCAGCTTATAGTTGATTCAGTTATGAGTGAGGATCTCCGTTTCATTGAACGAGAAGCAGTTCCTATTGAGGAAGAGTTCCCAGAGGGTGCAAGGGCATTCTTCTTGGGCGAGTATAACTATGGTGCTCCGGTGCACGTTACTGGACATGAGGATGGGAAATTGTCCGGTCTTCTTTCGGCAGTTAAGGGAAAAGAGCCGGAGTTCGGAAGGGAACATGTCTTGAACGCTGAAAAGCTATCAAAGTATACTCCTTCGTTCGCTATTGCGCGGAACTTGCGGCTCAGCCCTCTTACACTTGCTAAAATCACCTCGTCTTTCTCTGTTAATATGGACGGAACACGAGTCAACCTTGGACTCAACCTCAAATTCGAAGCGAAGAAGCTGAAAGTGCTTGGCTACTCGCGACGAGGAAACTCCGGGTGGGAGTTCAGTGAAAGAGCCATTGGTCTCCTACAGGATTACATGATCAAATTTCCAGACTTCATTGCTGGTATCCAACGGAAACCCCAGGGCGACTTGTTTGAGCCTAGTGATTTCTACCCTGCCGATATTGCAAAGGAAAAGATCAAGGAGATCCAGGCGTGGCTTAAATCAATCGAGTCAAAGAGCTTTGAGCGCGTCCCACTCGAGGCTGAACAACTTGACTCTAGCATTGTACAGGCGATTGAAAAGTCTGCTGATGAATTGTCACAAAGTCGGCCTAGCCCAGTGGCACAAAAGATTCGAGGAGTGCCACGCAATGCACTGTTAAAACCTGCCGATGCAGAACACCGTCTCAACAACCAACATTTCCAGCTTGGCGACAGAGTGCTCTATGCACAAGATTCCGGAAAGGTCCCAATTGCTTCACGAGGTACCGTTGTCGGTCTGACAAGGACATCGAGGAACTTGCTTCTTGACGTCCTGTTTGACGTCTCCTTTATGAGTGGCACCACTCTATCAGACAGATGTTCGCCGTTCCGCGGCTCAACCGTCCCTTCATCATCAGTTCTCAATCTCACGAGTAAACAACTGATTGCACTATCTCGCGCTACTGCGCAGAACAAGGAACAGGCCCGAGAACAACAATTACCTCTCAGGGCTACTCCCCGAGCGATGAGTGGCATGGGACAGCTGAAAGATGCGCCAACTCCACCACCGCTTGTGAACAGCTATCGAGGTGCTGCAACCGGCCAACCCTCCAATGGTAAGCCAAATGGTGCACCAGCTTCTAACTGGCGCGGTAGAGGACGAGGGACCCTACCAACTCGCAATAACGCAACACCTGAGGGTACACATGGGTCCGGCAGAGGTCGCGGCAATAATATTAATTCGCATAACTCACGCAGGGGTAACGGCCCGCCGAGCCGCGGCGGTGGAAGAGGAGGCTACGTAAATGTTGAAAGCATGAATCCGGACGCCGGCGTCGTGAACCACAACCCGAACTTCAGGCCTCGACCATATAATACAGTTCCACCGCCGGCATCCCTGAACCAGCCTGCCGGACGAGGTCGCGGCCTACGGGGCCGAGGAAGGTACGCGAATAGTAGCATGCCCCGAGCTGGGAGGGGAAGAGGCAGAGGCGGACATACAGGTGCAAGCACTGGAGAGACCACAGCCTAGACCTTCCGGCGGCTTGATGGATGTAACATTGTGAGGAATAAATAGCCAAAGCTTCCACTGTGTTGCCGGATCAATGGATGGTGCATTTTGTTTACTTGTTCTCGTAGGTGTTGGGAGTGCCTTCTGCCAACTGCCATGAGATGGCCTGTTGTATATAGCATAACGGACGAGCCAATGACGCCAGCGAGGATGATAATTGGCATCGATAACTAGTTATGTCACATGAAGACATAAATTCAAAGGCAAAGAAAAAGAACTTGGATCAGGATGGACGTGGCAGTCCGTCTTTGGTTTAAAAGCAAAGATCTCCCGTGCATCTTAGTTAATGGCATGAACGCCACCCATCTCACGTCGAATTCAAACCATGCCCGTTCTCCTGCAGCAGTTGACTTGCAGCATCACTAGGCACCGTCTGACGTTCTCCTTCGCCGATCCACAGCTGTAGGCTTACCGACTTAGACCATCGTACATATGTAAGGGCACCCAAAACGGGGCATCAAACTGGCTCTGCCGAACCGCCGAGATCTAGTTATCCCTTCTCTTAACTCGCTGCTTATAACTCTTCGAGCTTGCCCCCTGTATCCGGGGCCTATCACGACGACGACGGAGTACCGAACGGTAGCTAACTGGTTATTTGAGCTGCGAATCTTCCTCAAATACGAGCCATCGCCATCAGAATCTCGATCGTGTGCTTCTTGTCCCCGGTGACGTCACTAGAAGAAGCGGCTTTTTCAGCTGCATATCATCGCGACCCAAAAAACTTTGCGATCTTGACCATGCAGTAGCAACTCCACGCAAGATGCCAGCCGCATGTATAAGATCTAAAAAGCCCCAACCTTCACCGCGAGTTCTAGGCCATGAACTCTGCTGGGGAAAAGAATAAGAAAAATAAGAGTAAAAAAGCGAGAGAGGAAAAAGAAATGACCGATCAAGTTTTCGCCCCTGAGAATAGTCAAAAACGGCTTCCTTATCTTTTATCTATTTAACCGGCGGACTGACTCATTCCGTGATACTCGGGTCGAGAGTTCTGGTTCAGAATAGCCGGGACAGCCTTTGAGCAACGTCTCATACATTCGTCGTTTCTATCGTTTAACTGGTTGTGGCCTTTGTGTGATCCTGTATTATCCCAGAGCCGTGTGAGTGGCCAGACATATCTTCATAGGTTCCACGGCCATCAACAATTCCCCCGGACAGATTCAAAGTTGGAGAGCTCACAATTGCCGGTCTTGAGTTCATGTGCTGTCCAGAGTCGCCCATTATCAAATATATTGTAACTCCAGAGAGTGTCATCCGGAACATATATCCATGATGACTGACCGGTCTCGGTTTTCGGCTGAAGTCCTGTTAATGGTACGAAGAGGTTGTCCGAGCACTCCTTTCTTTTTATCCTCGTCGAAGACTCAACATCGTTGGGCTTTTGAGGACTTGTCATTTTATATATCGTCAATAGGGGATGCTCTTGAACTCATGACTAACATTGATCTCCGTATAGGACGACAGATTAGTGCTCATACACATTCCGTTGGAGCTATATCCTTTCTTCGTGAGTCCGATTCTTCGTCTTCTCTTTCACGATGGAGAGAGCGAAGTAGCACCCAAAAACTCGGCTGGTTTTGTGAATATATCAATTACCCCGATTGAATGCTCCGTAATTTGCTCCCGAGAACTCGCAAACCTCTACTTCGTTCCAATGGTAGAAGGATTTGAACGAGCAGCCATATCGACACATGGCAAAGTTCAAATTAGTTCAGAAGACTATCTGGTCATGCAGGTAGAAGGACAGGGCCTTGATGCTGGCCAACGTGTAGTAGAACTCACCAGTCCTCTTGCAATGGCCGGGATGTAAGTTGATGTCCAACCGTTCCCCTGAATCATAGAGGTGCTGACGTGAAAAGATCCATATTCTTCATATCAACGTATTTCTCCGACTATATTATTGTCCCCAAACACTCGAAACAACAAGTCACAGAGACCTTCGTTGAGAGAGGGTTTAACGTTGAGGAAGGGCCGGTAGATCCTGATAGTAGACGTGGTTCATCCCCAAATATCCACCTCCCCAACTCCAGGCCAGATACTCCACCCCCATGCAGCGTATCAGAGCTTCAGTTACGGGCCTTTAAAACGCTCCAGCAACACAAAGTTCGACCGCAGGCTGATCGATCCCTGCGTCTGGTTCAGTGTGCGGCACATTATAGAGAATACACGGGGACAAAGTCTTACTCTATTCTCCGTCCTAACTTGATATCCGCCCTCCTGAACGACAACCCGCAATTCTTCTCCCTGACAATAGCAGCCACAGACCCCGCCCCGTCACTGCTCCTGGAAGAGCGGCTATTGCCTCGATTCTCTCTTCCGAGTGACCCAGATAGAGAGCCGTCGTCACCAGTGGAGGAAGACACAAATCTATTGCTAGGTTCAAAGGATGAAATCCTAATTGCTATCACTCTCGACTTGCGGGAGCTGCCCCTCGAAGCTGCTGGTATTGTTTCGGGTGTAGCAAGCGCACTGGTTGCAGGAACACGTCGGGAAGGCAACGGTAGCAACAAAGTAAGTAAAATATCATGGATATATTACCACTAAACTCAAGCTGACCGGAAACAGGACCTAGAAACCAGTTTCCTTAGTACATCCCGTGCTGGGAATGTTATTGTCCGGGAGGAAGAGCTTGAGTTAGCAATGGAGTGTTTGGAGTCAGAATTTTAACATTGCATTATATACTGAGCGTTTTTATCTGGGAGGTTTCATGATGATTTAAAACACCAAGCGCAACAATCAGACCTAAAAACCTAGCTCAGGGGTTAGAGCTAGACGAGTGCAGAGATCGTGTATAAAAAACAATGCTCCTCTCTTGAATATTTGTTGATTTAGGATATTTTCGGCAGTAAGGCACCAAGCTATCCATATACCTTGACAGTTCCTGCAGAAATCAATTAGCAAAGTACTTTACCCTAGAGCAACTGTACACTCCAAACATACCGTCGGAACAGCCCCCAGCCCAGGATGAGCATTTCTCATTCCATGCAACGCAGCTGGCAACCTTGATATTAGTGCCCACAGGCACAGTCCGAATAACATTACCAGTCAAGACATCCCATGCAAAGATTGTTGCCGGGGCAGTTCCTCCGCTGGACCTTGTTTCCGGGGTCTCACTGCCACTCAGAACTATACTATCTCCCTTAGCAAAGGTAGACCGAATCCGTAAGTCCTTATTAAAGTATATAGGACCACGATTCTCCTCAGACGGATCAGGATTCCCATCACCAAAACTTTTGAGAACCGCACCATCGTCACGATCGACCATCCGTATTCGTCCATCAAGACATGAGGCAAGCATAGCTTTCCCATCCGCAGAGCAATGTATGCTTGTAACAGGATGGGCCATGACATCCACCTTCATCTCGCCAACTCTTAAATCATATGTGCGAATACGACCGTCGTAGCTGGCTGTGATTATACTGCTGGTCAACATATGGACATATACCGAAGAAACCGTATCGGTGGCTTCAGTAAGTGTCTGTATTGGCCTCGATGTTAGGGATCGTGTATCCCATATCTTCACATCCGAATCAGCACTTCCTGTTCCATGGTAAGGCGCATATTAGCTCAAGAATTCACGAAAGACGGAGGTATGTCTGGGGCGAAGCTCACCAGATATTACCACTGAATCGCCCTCTCCTCCAAATGCAACAGCTTCAACTCGTCCGGCATGGCCACTCCATCTTCTTATAGTACTCCCTGTCTCCACATCCCATAAGAAGACCTGTTTGTCTCCTCCTACACTGGCAAAGCGCGCATTATCTGCACTGACTGTTATGTCTAGCACTGAGTATCCGTGCGCTTCGTATCGTTGGATGGGTGAGGTTGTTATCTGAGGTGATGAGGGAGAAGACTGTGGCAGCGCGCGAGATAGATGGATAGATCTGTCCGAGGAGCCGGTCAAAAGATATGTTCCTGGCGAACTGGAGAATGTAACGGCATTCACAGGGCCTAGGTGAGGCAGGTTAGTATGATCCACCTGTGGCCTTGCAAAAGGCGCAGAATGTCGCAACACCACTCTTGTAGCTTAGCAGACACTTGAGATATTTCCGTACCACTATGAGTTCTAAGAGTGTGAAGAAGAGTTGAAGGGAATTTCGTGGACGTCGACATTTGTCCACCTGTGTATGGTGGTTGGTAGGTGTTGGAGATGTTCTGTTTATCCTGTTACTGGGCGAGGGGAGAAATTGATCGGTTTAGTCAGGCTCAACGCTTTAGCTCACTACCTGGGTACGTGGAGAGATTAAAGTAATTATAGCAACAACATATCTGTGGAGTCGATAAAGTCAATTGTTGGAATTAAGATATTTAAAACTTATAGCAAGAAAAACATGATCTTGGAATAAAGAAGGGTAAAGAAACACATTAGGGTGAAAATGGGTTGGCAAGAATCGCTGGCTCCGGGAAATATAAAAGGGGAAGACGGGTATACAACGACCCAGAAACCACTACATTGCCTGTCGAGCATCGACCGTCCAAAGTAGAATCAAGCTTGGGAGCAGACAGAGAGTTCCTAGAAGGGAAGAAGCCATCCACCCGTATCTCACTAAACCATAGCGGTCATTTAACGGCGACCATGACTGCGAACTTGAGGAGCCTGCATCTGGTCGAGTTCCTGCTCGAGTTGTTTGATCCTAATTGAAAGTCAGCTGTGCATCTAGTAAAGCCGGGCTTGGGTAGAACTAACGCTGCGTGGGTGGTTTCCAAGTCCTTGTTGAGTCGGTCTCTCTCGGCAATGAGTTTCTGCTCCCACTGTCTGAATCGTTGTTCCTCGATCTTGACTTGCTCGGTGAATCTCTTTCGTAGGTTCTCCTCCTCTTCCTTGAACTTGGGGTTGTCGAGCTTTCTTGGTCGGGCCTCTCCGAACTTTCTGGTCTCCATCTGAAGTGCTCGGTAGGCTTCGTAGTGCTGCTCTTCAGTGGTGTGGATGAGATCAAGCATGTGTGTTCGGATGAGGATAGAGCGGAGTTTCTTGAAGTCACAGTGATCTTCGTTCTCAACTTCGGCGACACCCCAGGAGTACTGGCGACCCTTAACGATGTGGCCATCACTAGTCTTAACGTCTTTTTCGGAACCAATGACGGAGAATGGCATAACAGCCATCAAGCTGCGGGCGTGCTGGGCAGCTTGCTCGTCATCCTCTTCGACCGGAGGCTGGTAGATCTTGATGCCCTGAGCTTCAATGACGGCGCGGATCTGTTACACAAAACTGTCAGCTGGAGAAATTTTCAACATCAGGGACGCTTTAAGCAGTGGGAAATGACGATACGATATACTCACTCTCTGCTTGAAGCGGGCAAGATCAGAAGGGCTTAGGGTATCGGCCTTCGCGACGACTGGAATCAAGTTCACGCGCGAGCTGAGACGCTTCATAACCTCGATATCTAGTGGTTTGAGGGTGTGGCCCGTTGGGCGGATAAAGTACAGGCAAGCGTGGACACGGAGATCGATCTTGTCAATACGGCGTGGCTGTTGCTCTTGCAACATATAGGACTCGTGCTGGTCATCCAAAAATTCGATAATGGGCATCCATGAATCACGGTTGTTGACGTAGTCGCCGAAGCCAGGAGTATCGATAACGGTCAGCCGAACTGTAGAAAGAACGGATTAGCCTCGACCCTATATTAGATATGTCAGCCCTCAAACCGCATGTATACCTTTGAAGAATCGCTCCTCGAGCTCAGCCTTTGTGATCTCGATCTCAACGGTCTTGTCGACCTGCTTAGCGTGTCTGCGTTTATGGTCTGCATAGTTCTTGATCGTGGTCGAGAAAAGAGTGTTGATGAATGTGGTTTTGCCCAATCCAGACTCTCCAGCAACCTATATTGTATCCATCAGTCAACATCTCCTCTTGGGTTTTGGTACACATCCTTCGGAGTAAAAGGGGGGGGCGGAAGAGAATAAGTCGCACCATAATCGTGAAGGCGGCACCCCGTTTCGCGACAATCTTGTGTCTGTTGAATTCAAGTCAGTCGACGTTCTCCATGCTCGCAGAAAGAGGCCTCTGTAGTCTCATACCGTTGGTTGGGCAACTATGCGAACGGTCAGCTATATTTGATCCATGCTCCTTACCAGTGAGTTGCGGGAAAACTTACATTGGCGATACCAATTGGCGAAGCGGTCTCGGATGTAGTCGACGCCATTGCGAGGGTAGTGAGGCAGTTCAACCGCAGGGAGGAGATACGGCAGCGGGTGAGGGAGCGTGAGGAGTGTCAAGAGAGAGTGAAAGGTGAGGTTGTTGCTTTGAGCCGCCGTCGCTTTTTTTTTCTGTTTGCTTGCGTTGAACTTCCTTCTTTCCCCTTCTGCCCCTGAGTTGAGACTTACTAATTTGGACAAGGGGGTGAAAAAAAGGGCCCCGACTTTGCGCTAGGCCCGAAGGGGAATAGCGTGCCAGTTTCTCCTTTGGGCGCGGGTTATCTCAGCCTCCGAGATCCGGTTATCTTGATTACATAATATATCAAAAAGATTAAGAAGCAGGAAGAAAGAGGCAGGGCAGTTAAAAAGAGGAAAAAAGTTGACGAAGCTGTGCGCCGGCGAGGATACACTTCTACCGGAGACGATGAAGACGGATTTCAAGGTGAGCAGACCCTGCGCCGTCACTGCTTGTACCAGCTTGCTGATTTCACGCCAGTTTTCAAATCTTCTCGGGACCGTCTATCGCAAAGGGAATCTCTTGTTCACTCCCGACGGCTCCTGTCTGCTCTCTCCGGTTGGGAACCGAGTCTCTGTCTTTGACCTGGTCCAGTAAGTGACGAAGCTGCAGTGCCCAATTGATCCTGTGGCTGTCTGATTAGCTAATATATAGCCTTAGAAACACCTCCTATACCCTCCCGTTCGCACACCGGACAAATATTGCCCGCATTGATTTATCTCCCCGAGGCAACCTCCTGCTCTCAATCGACGAGAATGGCAGAGCTATATTGACCAATTTCTCGCGACGGCTGCCCATCCATTATTTTACGTTCAAATCCGCTGTGAGCGCACTCTCGTTCTCGCCCTCTGGTCGTCATTTTGCCGTGGGGGTCGGCCGGAGGCTACAGATATGGTGCACACCGTCTACTCCAGGCTCTGGCACCAGCGGTGAGCTAGAGTTTGCTCCTTTTGTGCTTCACCGAGATCTAGCCGGCCATTTCGACACAATACAAAACATCCATTGGTCCAGCGATTCGAGATTCTTGTTGACTGCATCAAAAGATCTAACTGCGAGGATATGGAGTGTGGATCCGGAGGAGGGGTTTGAACCAACAACTTTGGCGGGACACCGTGATGGGGTTATTAATGCCTGGTTTTCCCATGATCAGGAGTCTGTGAGTGATATTGGAGAGATATTCAACCAAAGCTACTAAGAAACTAATGCTCGAATCAGATATATACCATTAGCAAGGACGGTGCGCTGTTCCGCTGGGGTTATGTGTCGAGAATGAAAGAGGATGGTAGCAGTACCGACGAACGGTGGAGAATCGTCAAAAAGGATTACTTTTTGCAAAGCGGCTCCAAAGTAAACTGTGCTGCTTTCCACGCAAAAGCTAACATTCTAGTTGTCGGTTTTTCCAACGGAATATTTGGCCTATGGGAAATGCCTAGCTTCAGCCAACTCCACTTATTAAGGTAGGCGTACATTTGTTCCCAATATCACTTCCATCCTAACAGTTTATAGTGTCTCTCAAAGCAACATTGATTGCGTTACTATCAATAGCTCCAGCGAATGGCTCGCGTTTGGCTCGTCAAAACTCGGTCAGCTGCTTGTATGGGAGTGGCAATCGGAGTCTTATATTTTAAAACAACAGGGCCATCTAGATTCCATGAATGCCCTGGTTTACTCCCCTGATGGCCGAAAGATCATTACTGCGGCTGACGATGGCAAAATCAAGGTCTGGGATATCAAAACTGGATTTTGCATTGTTACTTTCACCGAACATAAGAGTGGTGTTACAGCATGTGAATTCACGAAACGTGGAAATGTGCTCTTCACAGCGTCCCTGGACGGTTCAGTACGAGCATGGGATCTTGTACGATATCGGAATTTCAAGACCTTCACTGCTCCTTCACGGTTATCCTTTTCTTCCTTGGCAGTCGACCCGAGTGGTGAAATTGTATGCGCCGGATCCTTGGACTCATTCGACATTCACATTTGGTCTGTACAGACTGGTCAGCTCCTCGATCAACTATCGGGCCATGAAGGGCCAGTATCGTCATTATCGTTCTCGGCAGATGGAAGCCATGTTGTCAGCGCCAGCTGGGATCGTACAGTCAGGATATGGAGTATTTTTGGGAGGAGCCAGACCAGTGAACCGTTACAGCTACAGTCAGACGTCCTATGTGTAGCGTTCAGACCAGATGGAAAGCAGATTGCAGCGTCGACGCTTGATGGCCAGTTAACATTCTGGTCCGTCGAGGATGCTGTTCAGCAGTCGGGTATCGATGGTCGCCGAGACGTGTCTGGTGGCAGAAAGATAACCGACAGACGCACTGCAGCAAATTCTGCTGGCACAAAGTCATTTGCAACTATAACCTACAGCGGCGACGGTACATGTCTCTTAGCTGGTGGGAACAGTAAATATATCTGCCTCTACGACGTTGGCACAAGTTCTTTGATCAGAAAATTCACAGTGTCACTCAACACATCATTAGATGGAACTCAAGAGTTTCTAAACAGTCGAAACATGACCGAAGCCGGACCTCGGGGGTTAATTGACGAAACTGGCGAGGCATCTGACATTGAGGACCGAAAGGATAAGACATTGCCAGGGGCTCGTCGTGGAGACGATGGAGCAAGAACAACTCGCCCTGAGGTCCGTGTCACATCGGTATCATTTTCACCCACTGGGAGATCATTCTGCGCTGCTTCTACGGAGGGTCTGCTGATATATAGCCTTGACGATGACGTGGTCTTCGATCCGTTCGACTTGGATATTTCTATTACACCAGACAGTATCATGGCCACCGTTGCAGCAGCTAAGAAGGTAGCTTTATCCCAACCTTCCCACATTTCATCGGAAACTACCACATCTGACTCTTCATTCCTCAAAGCCATCATCATGGCATTCCGTCTCAATGAATCAGAGCTCATCAGAACAGTTTACGAATCTATACCTCCTTCTGAGATACCCCATATTGTCCGTTCAATTCCCACAGTATACGTGACCCGTCTACTCCGTTTCGTTGCCAATGCAGCCGATGAAACTCCCCATTTGGAATTCAACTTACTTTGGATTCAAGCATTATTAAGCATAAGAGGACGCTACATTAAGAATAATGCAGCCTCTTTTGCTGCTGAGCTAAGATCTGTTCAGCGAGCCATTGATGGCATTCGAAATGACTTGAAAAGACTTGCAGAAAAGAACTCGTATACTTTGGAATACTTTCTTTCAAAGCCCGCCTATGCACCCGGAGCCAAGAACATTACTTCTAACGAATCGAACAGGATGCTTCTGGAGAATCCCAAGGAAAACACTTCCATGGAAGAGCAAGGTGAAAAGGAAGCTAGTGATAGTGATGGGGATTGGATCGGATTGGAATAGAAGGCTAGACACTTCTTCTTGCCTTAATGGCTCCCGAGCGCTGCCACGCATATGTTATTTGGTTCCCGTGCTACGAGTATATAGACCTGGCTCTGTTTGTCTTTGGGCGAAATGGTGTTTTGTGTAGATCAAAAGCATTCTGTAATATCCTGTATGTTTTCAGCTTTCAGCAATGTATTAGACCCGTGCTAGGGGCTTATTTAAGTGTAAAAGACGAATGATAATACATTGATAGATGATATATAAAGCTATGGGTATTAAAGTGTGCCCTTGGCTAGCACGTAAATAACGGGAATCCAATGCATACCGGGTGAAGAAGAATCGACTACCTAAAGCCAAATACGCCTATAAAAGATGCCGAGTCATGACTTGAACGCATACCTGAGGTATACTGATGAATATTCGGGATGGTGCGTTAATCGTAGCTGGATTATCTCCTTCGGTGGCGATCATCGTCTTCATCGTCGTCATCTACTCTCGCTCGTTTTGAGCCTCTTTGACTGGATTCCGCCTCCTGGATACCATATCTTTTCTGCCCACTGGAAGATTGGCCACCAGTAACTTCGGCAATCATTCCGTCGATGCCAAAGGGATCCGCGGTATCTTTTTCAAACTCCACAGGACCTTCGCGAGCCTGGCGTTGAAAATGAAAAATATTAGTCCTGTTCCAATAACCCAACCTTGGTTCGCAAGAACTTACCTCAGCGTCCTCGGTTCCTTTGAATCCTTCCTTAGCACGCCCTAGGACCTCAAAGCGATTGCCTCTGTTTATTCGATCCATTTCTGCTCCTCCAGCATTCTCATCATCATCATCCATTTGAGCACGAGGACGGTATATACTATTAATGGCATCCTGGGCAGCAAAAAGAGGCTTGTCATAGGGTTGATCCTCATTGAAACCACTCTGCAATCCACTGGTCTGATTGAACAGCCGAGAATCGTACATGGTTTCCTTGCTTTGTGTCGGTTTTGCCAATCCCAAAGCAATCTTTTCGGAAATATCTCGATTCTGTTCCCGGGCCATAACTTGAACGCGGCGCTCGGCGCCCATTCTAGACTGACGTAGTTTTCTTTCATCTTCCTGGCGTCGTTCGCGGCGTCTCCTCTCACGTTCTCGGACAGCTTCGTCTTCCTCGTCTGGAGTAGGTGATCTAGAAGAATATGGGGAAGGGCTTCTACTGCCACTGCGGGATCTGGATCTGGCACGGGATTCATTACGACTGCTAGAAGCTCCAGCTCTTGCCTCTCTTGCCTTTTGGGCAAGCTGCCGTAGATGCTCTTCCTTCTTGGCTTTTTCCTTCTCAGCCAACTTTTGTTGCATCTGTGCTCGTTGCTTTACTTCCTCTCGAGCGTGTCGATCAGCAGTGAACAACGCTTCTGCGAATTGGGCAAATTTATCGTTGATCGAAACATCTTGCAACCCTCTGCCATCAGCGGCCAATCGCTTATCAAGGGGAACCGTGTAGCCCTTTGGATTTTTCCAATTTGATACCGGTGGGGGAATCCTCCACGCCTCCTGGTCTTCAGCAGTGAGTTTTCTTGGAGGAGAATGCAAAACTGGCGGAGGTGGTGACGGTGGGCCCCTTGGGATTTTCTTATGTTTAAATTTCGGAGGCTCGAGAGGATCAACCTGCTTTTCCACAATTTTCATAATCCTATCATTCTTGCGGTTGGTATTGCCCATCTGGTTTGCAGGGGTATATCGAACAAATGTAGGTTCGCTCCTCTTGCCAGTAGCGACGTTCTTCGGTTTCTGGGCCGAAACTGCTCCGGTAACTAATTTCTCAAGGGCAGCCTTCGTCTTTTCCATCTGCGCATTGACTTCTTCTTGTGAAGGCCTATCCAGAGAAATTTCCCCCATGTCCACCCTTTGCCGTAACGGGATTAAATCCTTAAACGATGCGTGTACGATTCTGTTCTCGTTATGGCCCTGCTTTGCTATGGAGTCATACTTGACTTTACCCTCAGCATCGACTTGCAGAGCTAAAGCATTCGACTTGTTTGGAGCATCCTTGCGGCCCATATCTAGGGGATACTGGGCAACAGCAATCTCAGGGAATGCGCCGCCGTCTCCAAAATCTTCCAGCGACCGCGGTCTCCATCCTGCGCGTTTCCCATACGGTGGCGGGCCAGCCCTCTGCAAGAATAAGACTCCATTAGAGACGAACGAAGAACAGAGGGAGCCAGAGCCCATGAAAAAGCATGGAAGAAAACCACTTACCTTCACCACTATTTGAGTCTCATCAATCGCATCAGCACCTACTACCCTTGGTCCGCGTCGTTGAGCGTGTGCTGGAAGCTCCTCATTTTCACCTGTGTATTTTGGCGCTGGGAGTGACTTGAATAGCCCTTCGCTAAGGGAGGCCATTGTCTTATAATATCAAATACAGAATCAACTTGAACCAAGATAAAATAATATCCGATATCAAGCTTGATATTTGTTTCTTCTCTTCCAACTAGGTATCATCATTTTGAAGCTTTTCCATCATGAGCGCCGTCGGAAAAATTCCTGCTGACTCATCCACTCGGAATATACTTATGCCGTGTCAGTATATTACGTAATAATTTACTTCCAACGTCAATCACCAAATTTGGTATCAAAGCAGTCGCTGATGACGGGTTGAACAGTTGAATAAGTGGTATACCATGAATTTGAGAAGTGATGGTATACTGTGAGGTGTCTACACTTTTTTTTATCCTGTTGTTATTATACCATTTTATCTGGTTACCCGGCTTAATTCGTGAAAAGTTTAGAATACTCGTGGGTTGTGTTATTCACATTAATAAAGGAAGCCTGCCACATGATGTCCGATCAGAGCTGCTGTGTGACTCGAGCTCGAGCAAGGCTGGGTTTGAAAAGAAAAAGACAAAGACCCATTTAAACCGTCCAGAAGATATTGAAATGTCACCGCGTAATCTCTCTCACCGCTCCCTGATCTAGTGACAAAATTTGCTCAACTCCATGTTCTCCTGGTTTTGTGATTTATGACTCAAGGAAAGATTCGTTAACATAATTCATGTCGGATGATTCACGCTGCTCCCTGTTTGGCGTACCAACGGTGATGTATTAGTCGGGGATAGTCAACTGTCATGAGACACTGCGAACCAACCTAGCTTATGAAAGAGCAAACCATCATGACTCATCGAAGCAGCATTCAGGCAGCCTGGCGAATGAAATAAGGATAACCGGAAGATGAGTATGCCCAATACCCAGGTTGCAAGTTCTCCATAATGTCATTCGTGGTTCGAAGGGTGTAGGAGCCATCGACTTCGCGACACCACCACTGTTGGCCCTCAGCCAGGCGGTAAGGCACCATGCTCTGGGGCCTCATCGCGCCAGTGGCTCTGGCAACTGCAATGTTCTGCGCGTCAACTTCGGCGCGAGTCGGACCAATCCAGGGAACTGTACCTGCTGGAACCTGGTAGGTCGGGCGAAGAGGTGCTGGGGAGATGTATGGCACCTGAATCGCTTGACCTGCTTGCTGTGATTGGAGTTAGTATGTTTACACTAAGATGAAGGTCAAAGACAAGCACAACAACTCAGTTTAGGTAGTGGAATGGTAGAGTGAAGGGGCAAAATGAAAAAAAAAAGATCAAAATACAATATGGCCATTTGAAATATGCTGGGTCAATCCAACCGGTCCAAATTGAATGGTTTGGGAAACAGAATGGGCTGTTCCGGGGGGGCCTCCATTAAGACAACCGTTTGGCAAGACATTGGCGGAAGCTGGTGGTGGAGGAGGAGGAGGCCCAGTGGGATTGCCTGTGCCAACCTGAATATTTTGCTGCAGCTGAGGAGGCACATATGTGTAGACAGTGGGCTCATTTCCAGGTTGAACCTGCGGACAGGTTGAATATCTCGATCGGCTCGGATCGACCGAGCCATATTGAAAGAACTGGCCCATGGCGCCAGCAAAGGGATATGGATATGAAATGACCCCTGGCTCGCTTTGTAGGTGATAGACAAGGACTTGAGATGGCCAGGCAGTATCAGAGGGAACAAGACGGCTGTTGTTGGCTGTGGATAGCAGAAGTGAAGGAGTAGTGAAGGAGAGAGGTGAAGAAGGAGAGAAGGAAGCAGAGAAAGACGTGAGTTAAGACTTAGGCTGCAGGGCTTTTGCCTTGAATTATATCCTTTGCCTCAGTAGAATAAAAGGCGAGCACACACACAGCTGGGAACTTACATTGACAGGGTAGAATCCATCACCAGGCCGTACCATGTACCACTGCCTATTGGGCTTCTTCGCCTCTGGCTTGGGATCGTCCTCGACCACCAGGGCGCGGTAGGGAACACATCCGAAGCACATTCTGAGAGGACGAGTTGGGAGCTTATCACAGTACAATATGAGAAAGGGAGCCTTGAGATGGCTAGAAGGGTAAATTTGCAGAAGAAGAAGAAGAGATAAAAAAAGGAGAAGAAAGAAAAGGATGAAGAAAAAGGTCACCAAAAGATGTTTACATCCTCACCTTCAAGGCCTTACTCGGCGCAGAGCCCTAGCAAACTACAGGTGCAGTGAAGAAGGACATGCTCTATCAAGATGCTTGACATGCTGCTGTCTATCTATTGTAGTGCCATCGACGTAACCATCAAAGATGAACAAAGCTGCTCTCGGGAACTTCCATCAGTAGCCAACTGACACTGTGATGAGAGCCCTGTCATTGTAGTAGTGACACCATGACCCCCAGCATGACAGCCTCATTCTAACACTGCCTGATAAGCCTGGCTGAGCCTTCCGTGCACATGCTTCATCTAGACCTTGAAGACAAGGGAAGCAAAGACGGAGCGGCTCATTGTGTGTGTATTATGTGTGTCCTTGGGACAGAAAAGGGGGGAAGTATCTACATTTAGTTAATATAATTACAGCGGTGAGAAGAGAATAATTGGTATATTTCGCGTGGCAAACAAGGTATCAAACACACCAGGGCGGTGTCGCCCGACAAAGGGTAGTGCCAACAGGTGAGTCCTCATTCGAGGCTCGGGATGCAATAAAGGAGATTGGTTGAGGGCCTGGAGGGAGGGCGAGAGATCCTGGTTTGGACGAGGCTATATCTCGTAGATTATCGAGCGGGCACTCAGGTACCAATAATAGCTGGTTGATATATGTAAGTATATATATGGCAGCATGAAGAGTCCGGGATGTGGGTCTAGATGTGCAAGTCTCGGTTCAGATCATGATCAGGGAGGATTAACAGGCGCTTTTTGTCCTACGCCCCCTGGGGCGCATGGTGGGAACCAAGTGTGGAGCAATCACACTCTATAGCGATAATTGTATCCTGTGCGGAACGAAGATGGTGAAGATGGCATTATCGCTGCGGAGCGTGGTAATATTCAAAGAATCCACTGGAGCACAAGCCCAGATTATACCAGGTGTGACTGCATAGGGCATATGACATCTTCACCGTCTGGTATCTCAACGGAATGTTTCTTCCAGCCAAAGATGTACTGGATACGCAGTATCTTCGGCATAAATGGAGCAGGGTCACTGAAACCGAGGATCTCGCTCTATATACCACCTGTTAGCGAGGTGCAAAGTTAGTCATACCAGCACAGCACATACCTTGACAACACTACGTGGAATGTTCAGTTGTCCTTGATCAACAAGCGCCGCAACTGGAATGGTGACGTCAACCATACTTTCATTGGCTCGTGGGCCCGGCCTATTAACTTTGAACGTCGATTGAGGCGGTATATATCCATACTCGGCATGAAGAATCACCAAGCCGCCCCTTTGTTCTTCCATATCCTGACGTCTGGTGACATGATCCTTCATCAACTCGATAGCTTCCAAGCTTTCCGCTCTCCGCTTAGCCATGAGTCTTTGTACTCTTCTTTGTTGCTTGGCGATTGCTTTCTTCTGCTTCCGTCTCTGCCGTGGCCGCCAGAATCCAAACTCCATAAGGGCGTATGTAAGCCACGGCACCATAACTGCCATGCTAGCAATATCTGTGTTCACCACTTCCAATGGACAGATTGCGATTGGAATGGTCAATTTTTGTCCTAATCGACTCCATGTAATTGAGCACACTAGTCCCATATTACCCTGCATCCCAATACCGAGGCCCATGCGGGTGAAATTGCCAACCTTGCGGGAACCCGATATCATCCAACCTGTGGAGAGGTCCATTGAAGTAGTTGCTTCGACCTCTAGTCGAACGGGTGGACTGTTAATTACCTCCTTTGGAGGAGTGTAACCTTCGTAGCTCCACTGGGATAAAGCAGGCTGTTCGGGTTGAGTTGTAAAAAGATCTTTCTCGTAATTGAGTGTCAGCAGTATGGAGCTTGGCGACGAATGAAGCAAAAGACCCCAGCTCCCGCCGGGCTTAGAATCCTGCATACTTTGCATTCTCCTGCTGTTCTCTGCTGCTTCTTCGTCTTCATCCATGTGCTCATCATGCGTCCCTCCAATCGACTTTTCCGGAAATATTTTGAGCCCTAGTTCAAACTTGCTGTCCGCTAGAAAGACCAAGGCCTTATAATCACCATATATAAGTTTGACCACGGGCCTTAAGGTATTGGAGATAAAAGTTGGCCAATCTAAGAATCCGCTGGACCAATTGCAAAACATGACTTTGCCCTGGCCAACTCGTCTCTGAACCGATACATGCAAAAGAGGCGGGAAAAGCAGGGGTACGTAATTCATATCTGTGCGCACAGTGACATGGAAAGGAGATGTCCCTGGGATGGGGGAGAGGAACTTCTGCACCGTTAAATTGAGTGAGGAAACGGGAAGTAGTGATGCTCCAACTTTGATTGATGAGTTGCCTAGGAATGGGAATAAGAGACGATTCAGTGGGGCATTCTTGATCTCATGGTCCTGTACGGCATGATGTACAGAAGCTCCTAGAGAAAAATTTTTGACCTGAAAAAGATGCGGCAATCCATGCTATTGAAAGGTAAGATACTGGGTTTGATATTTGAAAGACCAAATTCCGGGTACATACCTCTATCTCTCCGTCTTCACCAGTCCCAGGGAGAGGGCCGGCGTGCTTCATCCTGCGGAGATTTCCAGCTGCGCTTGCATGAATTACCAGTTGCATGTCCTCCTCGTCATCTCCAGGGCCAGCGCTCTCTTTCTCCGCCGGTCCATCCTCGTCCTCATCATGGCTGTTTGACGGCCTGTATACAGGAATGGAAGGAAAAGGAATATTAAACCTGAAGCCAAGGGCAAGACTGGATGGCATCAATTTAGGAATCTTGACATATATTATATCTTCCGCTGTTTCGAACATTGTTGCATCGAAGCCAACTTGCATTTCTATCTACAGTTAGGTGTATTAGCATACAGTATTCCGTATACGGGATAGGTTTGCAGAAATACCTTGTTTGAGACCAGATCCTCAAGTACAGAGCGTTCCTTTTCCTTCATCTTACGCACGAACCACCGGCGGAATTGAGCCTGATCCATAGCTTTGACGCCCAATTGCATGTTTTCAGCCTCAGTGAATGCCCCCAGAACACCTCTCTGACCCCATTCTTTTTGTAGGCCTTCCTCGCCCATCAATTCATAGACTACTCGCTTCTTCGGATCTATGAGGGTCTCATAGGCAGTCTGTATCCTCCCGAAGTGCTTTCGGGAAGCCTCTTGAAGGTGCGACGGCTGTTTGTCCGGGTGGAAGCTCAATGTCAGGGTTCGGTAGGCAGAGCGAATCGCAGCATCGGTAGGAGGGGGATCGCGCGACAGGCCGAGAAGGGAATAGTAATCTGTTGTATCAGCATAAGACGAGAGCAAGTCATACTCCCGTTCTATACTCTCCTCGTCGCCAGGAAGAGCTCGAGACCCTTCCCAGGCGCCGTTGTCAGCCATTCTGGTCAGTCAGATTGGGTGGCGGCAGCTCTCAACATCTAGAGGCCATGCAATCCCGATGGTATATCTTTTTATGGCATAGCAATGGACACGAGTAATAATATTCTTCAAGGCCAGACAACCACCTGGAAGTCGTAAACACCGTGGTAAATTGAATATGAGCGTCACGTGGAATCCAAGGATGGACCGGACCAAACCTTAACTCCGATGCTCGACAATTTAGGTAGCCCCACAAGAGCCAACTAAGACTGTGATATAATGTCAGTGACGTTTCCATAAATCGCATATACTGATCTCTTTTCCGAGCATACAAGATCACAGCGCTTCCTGCTTTGGTGGCCCATTTTTGCCTGTGAAATACCGAATTTTGCTTGAGGAGTCGGTGCGGTCCGTGCGCGCAACAGGCAAGGGAGAAATATTTATCCGTCCCGTCATAAAGTTATTGTCGTCACGTGAATATTCAGCCTCATCTATTTCTAGCTGGCATTACTTAATATTGCGAGGAAGAAGCGAACGACGAAGCAGACGACGGAAAGCAGAAGGATTTGCAGCCGTGCTCGCTACTAAGCAGGAATTACTAGTATGGTGCTGCCTGGATGGGTGCCTGGGATGGTAATAGACATGGCTATGTTGGTGTCAGAGTGTGGCATTTTGCCCATAGCCCCTGGTGAGACCACGGGACAGTCCTCCTAGCTTTCACTCTCTCCAGGACGATTTGACTCATTAACTGCTGCCTATACCATAAAGTTCTATCTTCAGAGGATACGGGGTATATAACCATCATATTCACAGGATGCTGTTTTGTCACTAGCCATCTCTCCATAATATGCTGTTCAACCCATGCTCAGCCTGAAAACACTGCCCTTTTAAGTCATGGCTCATCCCAGAGATCCAGGAGATATCCCCCCAACGTTCAGGATAGATCTTTCTCTCCCTCCTTCAGAAAGATACGTTGCCTTGGCTTCTTCGTATCGACAGAGACTAAGGTCACTCATCGACATCTTTGAAGAGCTTGTCAGTTCCTTGGACGGCATCGTCTCCCCGAAATGGGTCTACCGAGTCGCTCCTATTCTGCTGAGGAAACTATATTCCCGCGAGGAGACTGAAGAGATTAAAGGAATATCCAGAGTTACAGGCATAGACCTCTATATTCTTGTATCTCTAAACGTATTTCTCGATCTCCTTATGGGATGCACCAGCGGGGCTGCCTTGACAAAACAGCCACACGATACCGATGCCAAAATGCTTCACTTTCGTACACTCGACTGGGATATGGATGAGCTCCGTTGGCTGATTGTGAAACTTGAGTACGTTCGCGGATCTGAGAGTAACACTGTTATTGCAACAAGTGTAACGTACGTGGGCTTTGTTGGAGTTCTAACAGGTGTGAGGAGAGGGCTAAGCATCTCATTGAATTTCCGTCCAAATCATAATCCAGGCAGGTTTTTGGCAAATTATCGGTTTTATGGGAGCCACCTGCTCGTGCTACTCGGTATGCGACGGTCTATATCATCATTTCTTCGAAAATACATCCTGTCACCAGACCTAGATCATATTCAGAGCCAGTCCTGGCTTGACCGAATACTAAAGCAAAAGAAATCAAGGATCCCGTCAAAAACAACCTTGGACTGGATAGCGGAAAATCTGCCCCGTGTACCCACAACTGCAGCTTACTTGATTATGTGTGACGGGAACTCAGCGATTGTTTTTGAGAAAGATCACAGAAGTGCTGTTATCCAACGGTCCTCATCATTCGTGGTTGCTACCAACAGTGATATAGCGAAGGTATCTCTGGCCGGTCAGAAAGAAGAAGCTGTTGAATATGACAAAGGCCATGATGACAGGATGATCGAGGCTTCCAACGAACCTCTAGATTTAGATGATCTTATTTTCCTCAGCGGCGAACGAAGAGCTCACATGCAGGATGCGTGGGAGAAAAAGGTAAAAGAGAAGCAAGAGAAGCCGTCAACTTCTCACGATTATTCTACAGCCGAACCCATTTTGAGCCAGCTAGGATGCCAGTCGGGACCTACTATGGATTGCCGTCTTGATGTTTTACTTGATCTATGCGACGATAACCAAGTTACAGCAATGCCATCAGAAGTTACTGAATGGATAAATGGATACCCTGTTACAAATGAAATGACTCACTTTGCTGCTATCATGGACCCTACTTTGGGTCAAGTAGCCTGGCTTAGACGGTACCTAGAGCCACCTACCCACAATAATAACAGTTGAAGCTGGACGAGCATTTTTATTCTATTTAACATATCACTTCTTAGCTTCCAATATCACCATTGCTATTTCAATTATGTCCGCTGTCTTTAAATCCAACTACTAATTGGACAAAGCCCGAGTTCGCGACGTTATGATTGCATATTACATACGCTATTTAGAACCCATATAATTTGCAGAACGCACGAATGTTATTATTACCCATCCCCCAAATTTTTTTTTATCTAATTTCCTAATGTACACCAGGCCTCCCAGTACAGAAACAAGAATCAAAGACTGAAACAGCTGTTGGTTCGACATTGCCACCCCCTTTTAAGATATAAATCATAAACCCTATAAGTAAAACCGAAGATAAATCTCAATCGACCATCTCAACTAACTAATCTCTCTGCTGCATTGGGGGATAATTATGCATCATCTTTGAAAAAGGCACATTTGAGTAGGTTGTTGTAAAGGGGATTGTCAATTCTCTTAGTGTAGTAAACACACTAGGTGGAGGCAATACCATCACTCTCTGGATCGCTCCCGATGTGCTCATCAGCAGATGCAGCATTCACCTCATTATCAGATTCAGCAGCACTCTTATCAGATTGCTTACTAACAGCAGTGCTGGAAGTTGAAAGTGCTGGTGGTGGATGGCGACGGCTCCTGGTGGCCATGAGGTTTTCACACCAAGCACCGACTTCTTCAACCGCAAGATGAGGCTCTCGTTTGCGCGTGAGAAGGAAACCTTGGATTTCTGCAGGAGAAAAAACATACTCTGGAAGCAGAGCTGAGAATGAGACCGCCAGTTCGTTGATATAGTCGATGGTAACCTGTTGGGTGGCGCTGATGCCTCCGTTCGCATTTGTACACGGTTCCGCACTCTTCTTTTCCTCAGATAAAGGCTGATGATCATGGGCGATGACAGGCTTCTCGACTTTGATGGTGTTGAATAACTTGGTGTTGAGGATAGAAAGTGACCTCTCTATCTGAGATGTCGAGGCAGACTTTGCCTTGATACCACCGGGTTGGTCGGGGGAATACATTCTAATAAAGATCTCTTTGATCTGCTCTCTATTGGCTAAGGTGAACTCAACCATCATATCAACCCTTCCGGGTCGAATGAGCGCATCGTCAAGTTTATCTGGGTGGTTTGTTGTCATAACAAGGACGCGTCCTTCGTGAGATGCCACGCCATCGATTGCATTTAGGAGACCAGATAGAGAAATACCCTTAGTCTCTTCATCGCCATTGCTTTTCTTCGTCTTTTTGGCGCGATTGGAGGGCTGCTGGACTGCCGTGTTCAGATTGGAGATGACGTTTTCAGTGGTATCGTTAGCTGCTTCAGTCGTTTCTGGAGAAGAGTCCCCGTTGGCAGCAGTACGTGACAGGCCGGCAGTATCAATATCCTCCAAGAGGACTACGCAGCGTCTAGGCAACGAGTTGAAGAGTAAGCTTAAGTCTTCCTCTGTCAAGCTTGGCTCGAGAAGTGAGATGCAGTATATGTCCAGCCCAAATACACCAGCTATAGCGAAGCTCAGGGAAGTCTTTCCCGTTCCAGGTGGTCCGTGAAACAAATAGCCGCGACGATAAGGTATTCCACGATTTGCATACCATCTTGGGGTAGCAGGATGAAGATATTCATTTATGTCCAGCAACAGCTTCGTTTTTTGAGCATTATCAAGGACGACGGTTTCAATTGGTCGAGAGGGACGAGTAGCAGCTCTGCTCCAGGCGTATATTCCTCGTGAACGAAATTCTTTGGGACCTGGCCGGCGGATGGTCGTCTTGCTTCTCTCGCGAGCAAAAGATGCGTCCCTCGCCTCCCGGATTAAATCTTTGATAGGTTGCAGGGATCTTCCAAGTACGGTGATGGTCAGAGACTCATCACTACTAACCATGTTGAAGCCCATTCGTCCGCTCAGAACCTGCTCTTTTTCTCGGGACAGCTTGAAGAAATTTCCCTTATGACGAAACCAAGAGAACTCATAATGTGGTTCGAATCGCGGAGGGATCTTTGCTTCCCAATTGCTGAAGTTCAAAAGTGTGTCTTGAGAGCCTTTCCCTGATACATCTGCTCGAATATCTTCCTCTGAGTCCCAACTCATGTGGCGTTTGCTTTTGGCGCGCATTGACCGGCTGCTGGTGGCGATGGCCAGCTCGGATACCCAGGCTATGACTTGATCATAGATATCGTCGTGAGAAGGGACGGTAATGGAAGCGGTCATATAAGTCATGAGCAAAGAGTAGGCAAATTTATAGCAATATACCCAGGCTGTGGTGAGAGTGAATATCAACACACTCAGAGACACAGCAACGGAAACGTCAAACCCGGTGATTTGGAAGATGAACCCAGAGATGACCGAGTAACCTGGCAAGAGAGCATCGAGGATGTTATTTGGTAGCTGCGTCAGGTTCACTGGGGCAGAACTGTTCCCTGCTGCCCCTGCTGCCAGTGCATTTGGCAAATTGAAAGACATAGCGAGGAGGACACAGACGCGTCTCTATCTCTCAAATTTGCACATAAAAGCTTGCACTAGGCACTCAACCAACTATTTCCAGTATTGGCTCTGTAAGAGAGACGCGTTCGGATAGCTGCTTCTGCTATCTCTGTACCACAGACAGCGTGACAGGGGGGTAAACAGACAAATAAAGAGTGTGGTGTGATTAGGGAGCCAACAGAGAGAGAGATAATGGGTATGTTTGTTGTCTTTATATTAGCAGCTAGTGTTCGCTCAGGCCAGCAGCAAGGGAGGGAGGTGGCCTTGCTTGGAGTGAATCTTTAGGTGCTTCAGAAAGGGATACAGGAGCAGAAATTGGAGCGGGAAGATGCAGATGCACCTTTTCTTGTGGGTTGGTGATAAGTCAGGCTATAGGCAGGTCACGGGCTCAATAGAGGACTTCACGGGATCAGCATAGGGCAGATAGCAACCACAGAAGGACAACCAAATGGCCAGAAATCCAGATAAAAGACCTCTTTTTTCTTTCTCGAGCCTCCCACTCCTTTTTTTTCCCGTTGCTTTGTTCTCTTCAGAGTATTAGATCACACGTGGTATTATCCAGGTCCCAATATTGAATGATATAGCTTTTTAACTCCAGCACCTGATGCATTTGAATGATACGATACTGCTATCAAAAAGAGAACCAAATGACAGAGATGAAGGTATTTCAAGCGAAAGAACCTCGGAACAGACCCCCGAATCCTCTAGCTTATCGACATGTATAACCGTTGAGCCCTTGATAAGGGAGAGAAGCGAACAAACACGATGCACTCCCGCAGTGAAGCACAGAGTGCAACAGTTGCGAAACCAGGGAGGAGTCGAAGACGATGGCAACAATCTCAAAAGACAACACAAAATGTGCTACAAACCAAGCTCAATATTAAAAGAAAAAAGAGGCCAGGCTCATAAAACTAATCCTTTTGGTCGATAGGCTCTCGTTTGTCCCCGGGAGGCAGTGGGAAGAGACAGATCGGAGACAGTAGCGTCAGAAAAAAAAAGAAGGGGGAGTTGATATTAGCACCCCTTCAGACGGATAAAGAGACAGATTCGTGGCAAACGCAGGGCTGCACGCTTGAGGCGGCTTTATGAAGGTAGCTGACAACTACCTATCCATCTGCCTGAGTTCCGTCTTGCCTGGTCATGGCTGGAAATTCGGGAACAGGGGGGAAAACAAAAGAAGGGAGATGTGCTAATATATGTCTGCATTAATAAACGGCAAAACAAAACTTGGAGGCCCTTAATAGGACAAGATTCCAGAGCAATGGTTATAAGGTGGAGGCATCTGTATCTGGCTGCGGCTCACTAGGAAGGACATGGCTCCGTTGCCTAGCTACATGGTTGGTCACCTAGTTAGCGGGCGCCAGGGGGTGGCAGGGTTTAAATAAAAGCCCAACACTGGCAGCCCATGCTCCAAAAAAGTCGATCGAGGTCGGTCTGTGGAAGCAATGAAAATCGATGGAGCGGGAGACCCTGCTGCTGGAACTCACACCGGCCCAAGCCGTGGGCTTCCAGCCAGAAAAGTTAGGTTTCGGCTTGACTGTTTTCTTCCCTCGTTTCTTTTCTTTTCTGGCTGTCATATGATGGTCCTAGGGTGGTTTGGCTGTGAGAGCCATTGGCCGGATCCAAGGATGACTCTTCCTCTTCTCTCCTTGCTTGCGGCGGGAGAGCTTGAGCTGCTTCTGCTGCCGCATGACACGGGAGCGAAGATGTGGGAGCGGAGGATTTACGAACAAACCAAAAGTATAAGCTGGGGTTTGATGCCTCAGTCGTTCCAAGTGACTTATTGGTCCATGGTTGACTCTCTTCTATTTATTTTGTGCAGCGTCATCCAGGAGCACGGTGTTGTTAACCAGCCAGGGGGCCGAGTTAACTAGTTCATAGGTAGTTAAGAGCCCGGGCCCCGTATACGCCGTGTTCTGTTTGACCCGGCTGGAGGGTACCAAAAAGCAGACGTTGCTCCAGCATGCCATCGTTTTCGCACTGGACGGCTCGCCGTATATGTAGAATGATACGCATCATGCATCTGGCACTTAAAAGTGATGCACGAAACCAGCCAGGCCAGCTCCCGGTTTAGCGACTCTGTGAGCAGAGAGGAGAGTGTGGCGCAATATCGACCATCGACACCACGTTCGTATTCATGCCATTCACCTTTCAAGGCAATGCAAGGCTCACAGAGCAGAGAAAGACACCACCAGCCTTAGGCAGGCAACCAGTTTATCAGCTTCCTTGCATTGCTCGCTGAAGTGGAGAGACTTTCTGGAGTTTGTTTTTTTGGCCCCCAAAACCCGATTGAGAGTATCCGTATCTGTATCTCAGACGCCTATCGACAAGGTAATATGCATCTAGATCTGGGGTTCTCGTCTCAGCACGGAGTAGACTCGACTGCCAGGCCCTCTCTAGTATCTGAGAAAAGACGGACGGTTGCATGCTCAGCACTCCCAAGCCTAAAGTTTTAGGCAAAGCCCTTGCCTGCTGCACTGCGTATATGCCTTATTCCATGTCAACTAGTTATTGGAGCGGATCCGAGGTGGAACCAGTGAGGCGTATCTTAGCTGGTTTGTTGCCTAGCTGGAGACGAGAAAATGATGCCGTCCGTAAGAGATAACGCGATTGAATGCCCGAGATGACCAGACCGACATTCCCTCTGCTCCTCCACACACGCCAGCGCACCCCCTTGACGCCGGGAGTTAAGTGGGATACCGTGTCCTGCGGCGCATCTGTTAGATTGATAGCTGGCTCAGTATCGAAAGGAGAAAGCACAAGAGAAAGGGCGCAGCAGAGGCATCCGTCACTTTACGTCATAGTTTCGAGAATCCCAGGGGAATATCAGGTCGCCCTAAGGAGCAAACCGGAGATCCATACTCTGGACTCTTGCTGGAGACCGCTTGTGCTGCCGGCATGGATCGAGTTGATGGATATAACGTCTACATTGGCAGGTTGGTGGCTTGCTTTAGGCCTTGTTGCTTTGAAACATGAGAGAGCAGTTCGCTGGGACCTCAGCCGTCTCACGGTTTACTGTATGATTATATCCAAACACAGTCTGAAAGCGATAGTAACCACAGTGCATGCATATCCAGTCTCTTTGCTCTTCGAAACCAGGACGCCCTGAAAGAGGCCAACATCACGCATGTCATCTCTGTCGTGGGGCCAAAGGAGCGGCCATCGGCGATTAGCAGCCTGCAGACCTACGACGGCATCCGGGGACATCTTACCCTAGACCTCCTCGACCAGGACAAGGAGAACATCATCCAGCATTTTCCGCAGGCTGTTCGGTTCATGGAGGCGGCCATTGCCGATGGCGGCGCTGTCTTGGTCCACTGGTTAGATACCATATACCCGCTACTACCCCTGGAAGATACCTGCATATGCAATATTTCTGACCCTGAGTTATAGCGGTTTGGGAGTATCCCGGTCGGCTACGATTGTTCTTGCATACATGCTCTACCAGGCTCGTCCGAGGTTGGCCCCTGGAGACGCCCTGCTTGTCCTTAGAGGCAGCCGGGCTGGATGCCAACCAAATGCCGGGTTTACTGAACAGCTGGCACTCTACCATCAGATGGGATGTCCTGAAACACTCCAAGACCAGGTATTATATCAACAGTTTCTCAGTAGCGAGACGTGAGCGAGTAGATGGAGGATTGGCCCGTAGAGGATTGGCCCGTAGAGGAGTGCTATACAGGGCAATTGATATTATTACAAGTACTGCGATATCATATACTAGTTCATTATGGTAGAGCGTTGATTTTATGTCATGACAACTACCTCATATTTGACAATAGAAAAGACGCAGACCCAGCATCAGAACCCATTTGAAAGCATTGAATTTAACAGTTTTGGTATGGTACTCAAAGAACAAGATCATGCATCTATGCCTCGTTCAGGAGCTCATGGAAGCTTTCAGGAGCACGCTCAGGTGCCTTATCGGTCTCGATACCAGCTTGGCCCAGCTTCTGTTTTGAGAAAGCAGCAGCATATGGGTTGAGTCTGAGAAGAGCCTGCTTGTTTCTGAGTGGGTTCTTCTTCTGGACACATCCTCTCTTGGTCTTGGCCTCGCCCTTGGGCTCTCTGAGAACGGACTGGATTTCAGAGGAGTTGATAAGGCGGGTGACATCGGAGTTGGAGACAATGTTGGAGGGGAGGAGGAAGTCTTTCTTGAGGGCGGAGGCGGTGGTGGTAGTGCCATAGATCTCATCAAGAGCGCTGAAGGCAGCAGAGGACCAGACAATGAAACGTCCAAGGTGACCACCTGGGGCGAGCTGAAGAAGGTTGAGTGAGAAAACGGAGGAGGTCTCAACACCGGGAATGTTGCGGAAAGCTCTAACAAGCTCCTTGCCATCGACCTCTGGGTTGTAGATGACGAGGGGTCCACGGCGCTGGCGGTATCGGCGGCCTCTCAGCTTACCCTTACCAGCACGGACTTTGCGGGACTCCTTGACCTTGACGAGGTCAGCGCCAGCACCGACGGCCTGGAGAAGGGCAACGGCAGCCTTGGTCTTGGTGAGAGCGTCACCCTGGAAGCACTTGGAGTCGACAACAAGGGGAACCTCAGGGACGTTGTCAACACGGTGACCACGAGCGAAGAGAAGAGCAGGGACGGAAGAGGCAGCGAGGGCGGAGGCAGTAGCAAATCGTCTTTGGCCGACATTGACCTTCTGATGCCACTTGCGCCAGACCTTGGTGGGAGCAAACATTCGTCCAGATCGACACATGTTACCGAAAGCAGCCTGACCAGCACGGTGAGTACCACCACCAGAGACACGGGGGATACGTGCAACGGCACGACCTGCAACCCAGAAGCACTCAATCAGCATTCAATTCGTCCACAGATTTCCTTCAACCCCTTTCCCATCGATATCAAATAAGAAAACCTCAGTTCACGTACCGGTACCCCAAGACTCGGCGGAAGTCTGTTCACCGGCCTTCTCGCTCACGGCATATGGCTGTCTCTTGTTCTTTGCGATACCAGTGTGTACGGACCTGGTCAAACAGTCAGTATATGCGTCCCATCTCTCAATATCTTCCGCATCAAAGGGTGTATATCTCGTACTGGACAATATCGGGGCGGATGGGTGCCAGGAAAACGGTAGGGAGCGGGTGGGTAGAGCCGCTGGGCTTACCATCCGCCGAGATGACGGTCACAGTTGGGCGAGAGGCCATTGTCGTCGACGTGATGCTGCTTGGTTAGTCGGACGTCGTCAAGAATTGTCGGCGTTTGAAGATGTTCAAAGTTCGTCGCGAAGTCGCTTTTTTTCGCTTCACTCGATGTGGGCAAGCACAAAACAGAGTTCAAGCCCTAAGCCCTAACTATTGATAGAATTTAAACCTGCAATTTTGCTTGGCATCGTGTTTTGTTGCTTATATAATATATATTGATTCACGTGACTATGTATTCTCCCCTTTCCCAAAGAGGAAAATAAGACTTCAACAAAGTAATTTATGCTGTGTTGCGACCATTTTAGGAGCTATTGCTCGATATTTTAATATTAACCCTTATATACTGAAGACAAGAAACTAGGTAAACTACCTTGCGAAAAATCCATCAATATTTACTTTGTACAGGTGCCGCTATATAGCACTCGGAGCTAGACTACCAGGCACTCATACTGCCCCGATACCCAGGTATGGGACAACAGTTTCCAAACTGAGTGCCAGCAAGCTTTGGTTCCCAGCAAAATGCGGCCTGCACTCACTATTACTGAGCTTATAATGAAACCATAGGTGTCCTTAGCAACCCACAATACGAGTCAGTGGGTGAGGTACGATGACGGGGTAGCTATACAGCAGAAGATAACAACTGTAAACAGCCCATGCCTTGGGGGTATCACGAACTATCTACAGCTATGTTCGGCCTGCGAGTTCCATTTATCTCGTATTATTTCACTTCCAGTACCAGACATCTAACCGACATTTATTTTTGATATTAAGGTTAGTTAGGCCAGTGGGCAACATGGACTACTTCCTCCAGACTAATCTCGCACTTAAGATATATGCAGTGTACTCAATGCCATTTTTATTTAATGTATCAAAGAGAAGAGTCTTGCAAAATTTCTTTCTATACCAATCCAGTCCTATAGACCCGTGAAATTTATCGAATAGAGCCTTGACGTTGAATTACCATGACGGCGAGATATAATAGTGCCTCCAACGCTCTCCATCAGCCTCCCTAAATGTATCAAGCGTGCCATTCACCCCGTTCGGCCCAACAGACCAAATGCCATCGTCTATGAGCTTGCGCCAGCAATTGAATAAACATTCCAACCGCTGGGGCCGCCAGTCGCCACCACCAAAAGGCTTGTATCCATGCTGAAAGAGGCCCCCCATATTTCCTACAAGAGACCCGTCGCTTTTCCGTGCGCCTAGCCCGGTTTCGTCCCAAACACGCTCCATGAAGTTGAAGGGAAGTAATAGCCGAAATCCTTCCTCCGCGTTGTCAGAGCTATTCCGCATAACAGACTCGCTATAGACACCGGCATTCACTCGGGGCGGAATATTTGAATGGGTATATGATGCACTAAAGTCGTGAGTAAATGCACACGTCGTGCTCTTTAAGTGAACCGGATGCTCCCCAGCAGCGGGGAAAAGGCATACGGACGGTATTGAGTAAGGTGAGGAGCGAGGTAGGCTGGTGTATGGTTGCTCCGCTACAAACCCAGCCTTATCCATCGCGGGCAAGACAAGCCCTGGGGCTATGCGGTGGAATAGAGGCCGTCGCGCACGAGTCAGAAAGGCACGCGCAAAGCCAGGGTCAGGCACTGAAGCAGCGTCCAGGACGGCCGGTGGTACCAGCGGCGGCTTTGAACCATGGCGGTTATTATTATTATCATTACTATCAATCGCACTGCCAGTTGTGCTGCGCAATATACGTGCCTCGATGGTCTCACATAATCGGTCCCACGCGGCAATACAAGTATCAACCTGGATATCACTGTAGGGTCGCCACTCCCAGCACCCAAACTTCTCGCAGTCAAATAAACCTGGCTCGTCAGGAAGTGAGCCTACTACTTTGCCAATAAAAATTAGGTTAATCCAGCTAGAAAGCACTGTCTCAAGTGGGTGCCAGAGCTCCTTATTCTCCTCAATGGGCAACGCTTGGTCATAGGCGTCCATGTGCATAAAAACAACAGCGCGATGGGAGGCTTGATGGTAAAATAAACCACCACCGGATTCAATATTCATTCCACCTTCATATAGGCTCACCAGACTATCCTCTGGCATATCCTTAAGATCGGCCGTGATGTTGTCAAAGAGATATGCTGGACTATTGAAATGGTGAGCATAGAAAAACAGAACTCCAGAGGGGTGGTAGTGGTAAAGGGGCAGGATCGCTGCATCCAGGAAAGCTGCTAGAGACCAATGAAGTCTAGGACGAAGAGACTCTGCAGCAGCACCATAGACAGCAAAATATGTATAGCTATTTCGGCGCAAAAGATCCAGCGAGCGACCCTGGGCCAGCCAGGCGTAATGGACCAGGTAGTTATGTAGAGCAACACAGCGGTCGACGTCCATCCCTTCTGCTGGGTCGCGGGCCGGGTTGTCTGGTGTGACCAGCTGGCCGCTGATATCTGGAAGCTGAGAGACATCCATCTAACTACTTAGCCGCTACTCCGTATTCGAGTAGGAAAACGAGAGATGTTGAGAATTGAGTGTACGGAGCAGTGGCTTCAAGTTCATGGTTAGTACCGATCGTAATAACCAGTGTTACTACCTGTATATACTACCTGGCTTTATTTCACACAACGTCCTGCACGTTGTAAATCTGCTTGATGTCTCAGTAGAGTTAAGGCTATATCCAACTCTATCTTTCGCTAATCTTAATTAGGTTGCAAATAGAGTTTGCCCCATAGCGCTTGGCATAATTTGGATTATGTAATTTAATCAGGCACATAACTTTCAATTCCTAAAGAGGAAGGTCAGACGTCCTTTTTAAATATACAGGCATCGGTTTATCTTCAAATCATGTTGGAAAGTAACAGCAGCACTTCCAGGTGGGATATCCAAGCAAAAGGCCTGGCACTTACCACCATCAAACATTACTATTTCTAGAATATTGGATATACGTCTGCGAGAAGACCAATTGCTCCATAAAAATCGCTGGATATGATTTTTGATACATATTCCGGAGGTATTTCTAAATTTCATAAGTCATGCACAAAATGATTGTGCTGGAGAAGGTAAAAACAACAAAAACACCACCGCCAATAAACCATTTTCCCGTCATATGTGAGAACCCGACCAATGGGCGAACTTGAAAAAATATGTTCAATTTGAAACAAACCCCCCAAAGCAAGCGTGTCAAACGATGCTAAGTGAAGTATCCCATTGCCCGCTCCTTGCCATGTAAAAGGAAGCATCGAAGAAACAGAAAAGATCAGCAAGGGGAAAAAAGAAGGGAAACTGAGAGACAAAATGCCTTGTCAAAAGAAATGTTGGCCAAGTTCAGCTTGCCAAGTAAATGGAAACTGAACATTGGATCACTTTGTGTCATGTAGCTTGTTCTTTTAGACACGGAGTGGGAGATAGTGTCCGCGGCGGCGGTGCATGGGGGCACGCTTGCCTGGAAGAGACTCGCAAGTTACTCCAGCGGGGAGGTTCATGAGGACAGTCCACTGGCCGCTAGCACAGCGTTGGTACTGGGTGCCAGAGCAGCTCCACTTGCCCTCCTCAGTGCATGGTCCAGCATGGGCAGTGCCGTTGCCGGGTGGGGTTGGCATGCCGGTACCGGTTGGGACAGGTGCAGTGGGAGCAGTTGGGTTGGCAGTTGGAGCTGGAAGGAAGACACCGCCGTTTCCAGGGCCAGAGTCACTGTTGGCTGGAGCAGTTCCGGTGGGACCAGGAGCATAGGTTGGAGCTTCGGTTGAGGATGGGGAGGTTGGAGCATAGGTCGAAGATGGAGCTGGAGCGCCTCCCTTGTCACCACCGTTGCCACCATTTCCGCTGCCGCCAGATCCGGCCTTGGGGGAGCTTCCTCCCATGTTGGCGCAGACAGCATCACCCTCCTTTTGGAGGCGGTTGGGCATACCGGCCTTCTCGACAGAGTCACCGCTGGCTGGGAACATAACATCCATACCCTCGGCAGTTTCACAGTAGGGCTGGTTACTGAGCTCGACGTTGGCGATGAAGATGTTTGGCATATCGGCGCGCTTGGAGAGGGGGGTAAAGCTGCGTGGGTCACGCTTGGGGGTAGGCTCCCAGCGCTTCTTGGAGCCTCCAGTGACTTTGATGGGGGCACAGTTCATGTACATCTCACGGTTTCCGATGCGGTTGAACCAGGTCCAGGCAAGAGTGTACTCGCCAGGGGCAATGCTAGATGGGATCTGGAACTCGAACTTGGATGCTCCATGTCCGTTAGGGTCCTCTGGAAGGTTTCCATCGACGTTGGCAGGGCAGCCTCCAAGGATAGAGTGGATGACCTTGAACTCAGAGTTCTTGGTTGGCTCCTTGTCAGTGGTAAGACTGACCTGGCAGGATCCGCCTCCGTGGACAGCAGAGCCCTTGAAGGTCAGGGGAATTTTCTCGCCAATAGCAAACACGTTCTTGCTGGAGTCGAACTTTCCAGGTAGATAGCTGCCACCAGTCTCCTTGGACGCGGTAAACTTGCAAGGGTAGTCAGCTCCGCTTCTGAGTAGGGGACCGTTGTCGAGGTTCTCGGGGTTGAAGGGGATTGGGCTCTCCATGACCATATGGGCGTTGGCGAGGCCCATGAAGGTGGCAGCAGCGGCAACGAATGCTTTAGAGTAAACCATAGCTGCGGTGTTTGTTGATGATGTTGTTTGGTCTTCTTGAAAAGAGTGGTATGGAAACGTTCGACACGATAAAACTTTGAAGTTGTTAAGGAATGAAGGTGATCAAAGTTGACGATGAGGCTTTATATATCCTTCTTTCAATCACTTCGTGCCAGACGACGTAAATGTAAAGAAAGATAGCAGCTCTGACGGAACTTTGTCGACAGTTGCAGATTGCTAATTGATCGAACAGTTAGTGCTAGCTCCGCGTAGATGTCACTCAACTTTTCTAGAAGTGAAGTTCGTTTTGGTGGAAGAAGATGGATGAAGTAGAAATCTCCCGAAGAGGAAATTCCCGACATCATCACCAACGAGCAACACCAACAACACACTCCGGAACATATCAATAGCGACAATAGTAACAACAACAACCACCACAACAACAATTGAGTATGTCTCACCTCGAAGATATAATTCAGCTGGGAGAACCCGAACTATACGATTTGGACGCAAAGATGCAAATGCTTTTTTTGGAAAAGGAATGTGATGTTCTTCTGCAGTGCCACAGGCAAGCAGGTAAGGAGTGTGTATAAGAAAGAAGAAAAAGGGGACTGGCCCTAAAAGGAGAGAATCTAATGAACAAGAGTAGATCGAGTCGAAACGTTCCAGCGTGATGGAGAAAAGAAGAAGAGAAAGCCGGAAAGACAGAGGAGGAGTGACGGTCTTTAATAGTTTTTTTCTGGTTCCGCCTGCCAGTATATGCAAGCCCATCGCGAATCCATCCAACTGCCGAAGTCTGCCTGTTCCACAAGCCCCTGGTGCCTTGGGATTCTCAAGCTGACCTGTACGATGGGCCATCCGACTGGCCTTCCACTCGCCAATCCAAGACGTAGGTACATGAAGACGGCCACGACATGCACATGAGAAACCTACACTTGAAACGCCCAAGAGGGGCCTCTGGAGGAGGAGTTTTGGCGCCCTGAATTCTTGATTCCTGGGGATAAACAGCGGGATTGGCCCTCTCCTGTCCCCACGCAGCCACACGCTAGGCTTGCTCCGAAAAAGAAACCACGAAGAGCCCCACGATGAGTTGCGGCACCAAGCCGATGATGGCAAAATATGTCACACAACAGCTGACGAGTGTGGCCCAGCACCGCGGGATCACTATTCACGCTTCCTCATCGGCTGAGTCGGTAGGTTCCGTATATCAATTAGTTACTGCGATAGAATCCATCGTGATGAACAAAAAGGAAAGAAAAGTAGTTTCTTTCGCGCCACATTGGGCGATTCAGAAGCCCCAAGAACTTGTCAGTCTTGTCCAGGGTCAGAAACGTTAAGTGAATGAAAAGTGAAAAAGCTTGCATGTGGTGGTGTTGGGCATCGCTCTCTCATTCGCTTGTTCAGTGAGGAAGGGCCATTTTCCTGCCGCTGCTGTGTTGCGTGTATATGCCAGGGCGAACGGCTTAATCTTGCCAGCAGGAGCCCTATCATCTTTCGCCTGTGGAAGCATCATCTAACACATGGATGGTGTCTGGCCTCGCAGAGGGTCCATATTATCTGCAATCCACACTGCAAACGAGCAAGACGAGCAACCAACTCGATGATCTCAGGCGAATTCGGATGTCTCCTAACCGCCAACGACGAATGACGGCTAGGATTCCCCGCTCCTGGCAGCTGGGCATGGTTGTTGTCCTTGATAAAAGTCCAATCCGCCACATGGATTGGTGGAAGATCCCAGCAGAGGCCCTTGCCAGATCTTCAACTGGCCGCTCGCTCTTTTCCGATCTTTGCAGGCGATCCACCCTTCATTGAGGGCGCATGCCAGGGCGAATTTCTCATTGGTTTATGTATTTAAATGGCTTGTGAGAGATCCAAGCCCGTTCAGGGGTGTACAACCACTCAGATGCATCTGGAATGAAAACCTGAAACAGCCTCCGTAGTTGGCGCTCAAACGGGGACCCCCTGCCCACCACCATTTATCCGAACATCTAGAGGAGACACAGATATAACGGCGCGAGCCTTGGGAACCGGGGTATTCTGCACTGCTATTCAATCCTAACCGCCGACTTCGAAGCGATCCCAGACAGAACTTTCACCCTTCTACATGGAATCCTCCAGAGTATCAGTGCCCATCCAGGGTTTTATGTGGGATGGCAAGATCTACGTTTGCGTTTGACCGAAAAATGGCTGATCCGTGGCTCAGAGGCAAGTCTGACCACAGCCAAACCCACAGGTACGGCAACACCCACAAAAGCGACCGAGAACCGGCCATCTGACCCGTGTCTTCCTCTCGATGGTTCTATCGATGGCTCACAAGCCTCTGACGTAGTTATTCTGCCCCATCCATTTCGGGAAACAACATGAGATCTCATTTCAGTTGAAATTTGGAATTTGGAGAACGGGCAATCTTGCGCTGAGGCACGCTGTTCGATTTGTGTCGACTGTTCTAAAATTATGACCACCCTGGACCATGACTCGGCGGTAAGACAATGATCAATGCTGCTTTTACAGGGTCAACCCCTGACGAAATGTCTGAATATCTACGGAGCACTCCGTACAGTACGTGCATACACTTCATGGTGGCATTTGAAATGTCTGCCTTACATTTCCTTCACAAGGTGGGTTGCCCTGAATGTGATCCTCCGAGGACTTTGCAGGTACATACACACGGCGCCAGTTAAAACAGACAGGCAGACGGGGTGTCTTTTTCCTTGTCTGAGTCAACGTAAGGCTCGCACATGAAGCCCAAACGGCTCCCTTTCTCATACAGTGCATTCGCTACTCAGTACATAAGCATGCTTCAGCTGCGTTAAAGTAACCAGCAATAGGATGTTAAGGGCTATGTATAGAACGACAGAAACAATATTCAGCAGCAAATAAAAGACTTTGAAATGTATCAACCTGCGAAAAGTTCCGTGCTTCGTTTGACGATTCCGGATACTCACGTCTACTCAGTCTTTATTCTCGTCTAACAGTTTATGACATGTTTCATTTTATAGCCAAATAGCGTCTGAGTTCCTGGCTCTACCAGTGATGAGAGGCGTCTTCCGTAGTATGCTGAAATTCTCATTTCCACCAAAGTCTGGCGGGAAGCCATACATCGTGGGAGAAGCCTTTTGGTTCTCGTGAATTCGAAACATATTCCCCCAGAATTGACGTGACTTGGAGTATGTGCCCCGTTTCAAGTGAACATTCTGGCCCGATGGTTCTGAAGAGAGTTGCCACGGACCCTCGAATCCACGTCTTTTATGAAGCAGGGAATGGGCAGTCATTTCCGTGCTAGGGGGAAAGAAACACCACGTCTTCCCTTTCGACTACATACACGTTGAAGCGCCATGGCAAAGCACGCTCTGTATCTGGCGCAGTTCATTTCTTTCCTTTCTTCTTCCCTTTCTCTGTCGATTGAGCTTTTTCGAACCCTCCCTTGACCAACGCATCCCTGGCAGCAGCGTTGATGATTCGAAAACGATCAGGCCCAAGTTTTACTCCGCCATACCATCTTGTCACAACAACCACAACGTCCCAGACATCCATCAACTGCATGAGATGTAGCAGTCTTCCGCCAGCTGCCGTTTCGCCGTCGTCATCAAAATCTTGAACAACAGTGTCGCGACCTGGCTGTTGTTGCTGGTCGTTTGAAGATTGCTGGGTTTGCCGGATGCGCCATGCAGTGATATTGTGGGTTGCAGACGCGACCTTCTTTTCTGTAGCAAGGAGATGGTCAAGATATTTCTCTGCCTGCTCCTTGGATTCTACCGTCGCTGCTCGCGCCACAAATACAGATTTCTTCTCTGTGATCGGATCCGATATCACCCACGGCGGCGGGGTAGCCAGTCCAAGGGAATGTATGTCCTTCTCTTCAAGCATAGACGTAGACGGCTCATCTGTTGGCGGAGTATTGTCGTTCTTTTCTTTCTCGTTCTGTACCGATTTTGTTTCATTAAACCGCTCCTCTGCATCGACGATCAAATCGTAAAGGCAAACCGACCCTTCCGTCCATACTCTTTCAACAGAGTCTGCTAATATATCCGCATATCTCTTCCCTTCGCCTCTCGCTCCGCTGGATGCAGGTCCAAGAACACGCGGAGGGGTTGTTGGATAGTTGGAATGAAATCCTAGCAGAAATGAGACTGTCTCGTGGTTGGGTATTGTAAGTATTATCGTGTGCTTTACGGCCAATTCGGCGTGCGGAGACGAGGATGTAAGTGTTATCGTAGACGGGTCGTATATAGCATTGACGGCATCGATCTCTTCGGCCAGGTCTTCATTCTCAAGTATCCGATCTTCGATATTCATGGAGTGTGAGTGCTTGCGAAATTGTTGTCCCCGCAGTCAATCGATGGAATTAACGTTGGCAACAAACACAGTCGTTTGGTAGGAGGATGGTTAACTAAATAATCAACCACTGAATGCAGCTCCAAGAGAGATATTTGCAAAGGCCTGGTTATCGGTCGTGTCCAGGTGGTAAACTCATTTCTTGTCTCTGATGTGTTAACATCAAGTAAAATTGCTATGGAGCTAGAAACTAAAGTGTTCTAAGCCAGGAACGACGTCATCCCAAAATTTTAAGTAACTCTTTAGTTAACTAATTTAACTACTAGTTAACTAGTTACCGAGCCCCTAATTAACACTACCCGTCAGATGTAAGAAATAAGCTGTGTTGCTTCTATATAGACACATAGTCAGTCCCCTGTTTAATAACTTCATCAATCCAATCCTAAATGCTGCTGGCACGTCCTAGGTTTATACTCCATGAACGGCATCCCTGCAACGGGAAGAAGATGTTACAGAAACCTGCTATTATAATATTGGTAACATTGCTAGATAATGCAACCCAGATAGCATTAGACAAGTGCGGCATTGAATCCTGCAAATGGAATACAAGAATGCACGGGAGCGTAAAAGTCGTAATTTCATTACTCTAATTAAACTACTGTATCCTACAACCCAAGACTTGTAACATCTTCACTAGTAGGCCACCAATTATCCTCCTCTAGGAGATCCGCTTCTACTTTGTATGGTTCCTGTCGGGAAATGCAAGTGGAGTATGAAGAGATGGAAGATGAGCTTGGACCCTCATCCTCTGATGTGTCGCCAGTTAAGTCAATGCATATAGGCTTTTTCGGCCGCAATGATTGATTCTTGGTTTTGCGGGGGGTCCGTAATGGATACCTACGGCGCTTCGGTCTGGAGACAATGTTGCTTTCCTCACTGCTGACCTCGATTGTTTCTTTTGGAGCAATTTGAGGGATCCTAGAGGTCGATGGCGTGACCGGCTCGTTCAGACGTCGGGCCTTGCCGCCCTTGCGAGGAGATCTAGCTGGTCCGCTTTCCCTATTTCGAGCTAGAGCTAGTGAGATATGCCGATGAACACGACGTTGACCATCTTGATCCAGAAGCTGTCTTTGAGAGATTGGCGGGCCATCTAATTGCTCAGCTTGAATGGCTGGTTCCAATGGGGTGTACGGTATCTCATTAGGAGACGTCCCTGGTGGCCGAGCCCAGATGGCGTAAGGCCCTTCATATAGGGGGCCTTTACCAAACCCAAAGATGGGATGACGAGTGAGCTTCCCAGAGGCCACCAGTCTCTTCGACTCCAATATACCGGCCACAGATTCTTCGCAGTCGTTATTGGTTTGGGTATTCACTTCAGCGGCATGGTAGGCTAGATCTAAACCGTTCTCCCGGCTAAAAGGCGCTGTTGAGAGGATATGGACAGATCCACCACTATCACCAATTACTAAATTCGTGTGGTCTGGAGATAAAGCGCCGGACATAACCCCGTGATTGAAAGTGGCAATATCCTCGAAAATTAGATCGTCTGCAGACCGTCTTATGTCCCACGTTTTAACAACTCCATCCGAGCCTCCTGTAAAGAATGTAGAACCACTCCACGTTGCCAAACAAACGCCGGTATCATCCTCTTCTTGTGTAACAGAGGTATCCAATTGGTGAATGGGCTTCCCATGCCCAAGTTTATGGAGCACGCTAGATGGGTTACGGCGGTCATAAACGTAAGTCAGATTGTCAGTACAACTGGCGGTGACATAGTTATCGTTGCTCGGACAGAAAGTAATTTCATTAATGTCCAAGGCCGGGCACTGGAAGGAGCTGACTTCGCAGTGTGTCCTCAACGGATCATAGAGATTAACTACTGACCGCACACTGGTCAAATTCGAATTAGCAAGTTGCTGGGGTGTCGAACACCCTGCAATGAATAGTGGTTGATTCCGGTGCCATTTGATGTCCGAGATATGAAATGGTATTTTCCACTTATCAAATCGGCAGACGTTGGATGCTTCGACCTGCCAAAGGACAATTAATCCACACTCTGAGGCGGATGAGTTTAACCGAACGAGCTTTTGCGACATGCCTGCAGCTAAAAACTCACTGCAAGAAGGATTTGTGCCCCATGCTAACGAAGACGGGGCATATCCTTGATATCTTTCTAATTCAACACAAGTATGTGTGCCGTTTGACATTGGAGACCAGATCCTGACTGGGGTGGTATCTTGACAACCAGTACCTACAAGGCGGTACTGGCAATCAGAAATGGCCATAACGTCAAGCTTCTCAGGGTGGAATAGCTGCTGGATGCAACCCACTTCCGGTTGTGTGTCCCAAACCCTTACGGTTTTATCGTAGCTCGCCGTATATAAGTATTTTTTAGACCACTGCGCTGCACTGATTGTCATGTAAAGATCCGGGTCAAGGTTGTTGTACGAGGCCTGGTTGGTAAATTCCCCTCCGGAGATGAGAGGACGGGGTATTCTATGGTCAGGTAGCTCTCTTATAGAGTCCGTAACTAGATCTCCCAACAGTAGGTTGTTATTGCGGTTATACTGCATGTTGTTTTCCTCACAGTGTGTGCTGGTACCCGCAATGAATTGTGTCCCATCTGGCGACCATGACAACACCAAGACGTCGTGTGAGGCGCCTTTCCAAGTTTTCCATAATTCCCATCTCCTAGAATGCAGGGTTCGTAGACTGACGTTGACTGGGTCCCGTCCCCGATGATTTGTGAGACCCAGTTGCCGAGATCTTAGCATTGCAGATGGCAACTTATTATCTGAGCTGGCTAACGGTGTTTGTGGAGAGACTGAAGAAGCGTATACAACCAGGCTTGAGGGCATGTTGGAGAGAGACTTTGATTGTGCATCGGAAAGGAACCGCATAATAGAGTCGGCTTTCCTGCGATGCAATCCCTTGACAATATCACATTCTTGAAGTATAGAATTGATATTAGCACGACCAATTTTGGCAACTGTATTTTTACACCCTTCTGGCTGATGAGTATCTCTAAGTATTTTCTCAATTTGCTTGAGTATTTTTTGATACTCCTTGGGAATCCCCACGTGGGATAGGAATAGATGAGCTGGATCAAAACCAGGGGGTAGAAGGGTAAGCAAACCTTTTAACCTTCGAATCCTTTTGGTAATCAGTTCAACATCAAGAAATTGGACAGCATGAAAGAGATGATCCTGAATAGGAGTCTCGTCCTCTGGTATCTGATGCCCGCAAAGAAGGGTATAGATTGTTTTCATCTCGCTTGTAGAGAAGTCTACATGGCAAATGAAGCTACGGTACTGGTTGTCTCGCAGAAGTAGCCTTGGGTGGTTGACCCGTTGATCCGCTAAGATATATGGAAATTGAACCAGCGGATCCTCTTCGTCGAGGCACGAAGAAGAGTTTAATTCTCGCAAGATACATAGTTGTCTCGATCGATATAAACATCGAGGAGGTATAATGTCAACTCGTTTCCTAGCCAAACTTGGGACCTGTGGCGAGTATTGGAGGTCAACAGGTTCTTCAGGGGCCGTCGGTTCATAGTCATCTTCGATTTCGGCAAAACCGGGGGGTAAGTCATAGTAATTGGCTGGCTGTTTTCTTTCACGGCGAGACCGCCGCTGTGGAGTTGAATTGTTATTCCTTCTCGGCATGTTTAGTGGAGCTGGTGGCCTTCCTCGTGGTCGTTTAATAGGGATAGTAGGATGAATAGGATGAATTTGGGCATTACCGGGCGGTTCTGATGAACGAGAGCAAAGAGAAACGGATGAAGGAAGCGTCCATGAGGTGTGAGGTGAGCACTGAGAGTGGGAGGAATCAACATTGGAAGATTCCGGGTCTAAGTTGTTATTATTATCTTCCTGCGTTGCTTCGGGCAACAAAGCCCGCATGCTATTAGAGCCATCTGAAGTTGAGTAGAACACATCATTAGCATTATTAGCTTCTTCTGACCGATTATGGTTGTAATTTCCTGAGATATCGTTCTCGATTATGCCGGGAGGCTCATTTTCCAGGTTATCACTCTTAGCTAAGGCAACCCCCTTGATAGACGCGGTACTCCTTTCGGGGGACCATTCGATAGAAATATTCTTAGAATTGTCTGTCGATATCGATGGAGCCGATTTGGCCACTTCACAAGGAAAGTTCTGCCTATCAGTTAGGCATTCAGCCTTTCTCTTTAATGGATTTGGCTCTCTTGGAGTCGAAGGTGAATTTCCCCTGGGTAGAAATTGTTCAAGCAATCGCTGTAGTTCCGGCTCGGGGTCAACATCATTTTCGTCATCATCGGAATTGGTTCCTAGGACCTGGGAAATCCGTTTGCTTCTCCGAGGCAGTGATGTTTTACCAAGCTCCATAGGCTAAGCTATGCAGGATGCGCCTTTCTTCTCAAACTACTAGTTTTAGTCAGTCATTAAGCGCTAACAAGCCCAATACAAGCTTAAGGCACCTTACCATCTATATAAGTATATATATGTGTGTGTATATATGTATATACTAGTTTCGATACGTGAGTCTTCACATCCAAAGTCTTGCATAGATGCAGTAGCAAGTGAAAAAAAAGGGATGATCTTGGATTGATAAACGGAGTTTTCCGAGTTCAGATGAAGATAGGATATCAGGCAACTGGAAATACTATCCCCAGTCAATACGACAAGCTTTCCTTAGCTGAAGATGCCTGGAGAGTAATAGTAGGGCATATGGGGAGATAGTATGTGCCTCAAAACCAAGTAATCAGACCCTATGCATCGAGACGGCAAATCCCGCTATATAGAGATTTGGCTTCTGCTAACGGCTCAAGAGTAGTTAGTGAGTATCGACTGTTGTGTCGTGTGGAGTCGCGTTCGTGCAAAGAAATTGAGTCGCGATTTTCAATAATCATCTATTCATTACGTAATAAGAACTACTCGCTGCGCCGCTTTCTTCGTTTAGTTACGGTTTACTTGAGTACCGGACCGTAGCACCATAGAAGGTATATATAAAGACAAGTAAAGAGGAGAGAGTATATGCAAAAATAGACATATCATACCCACTATAGGGGGGAAAAAAAAATAAAAATAAAAATAAGGGACGAGGGAAAAAAAAAAATTCGAACCTGGCAGGACTCGAACCTGCAGCCTCCTGATCCGGACTCAGATACTCTACCATTGAGCCACAGGTCCAGCTTTAACTTTGACAGTACGGGGTCCATGCTTATATAGGGGACCAACTGGTAATTATGGCAGTTTCCTTCCATCACGTCAACGTACAAGGAGGAAGATGTCCGGCGAAGGAGAAAGGGTGTTGAGGTTGAATATTTTGTCTAGCTATATTAGAGGGATCTGTGTATTTGTACAATGGGGCTACGTCTTGCTCCTTGGCACTCTGGCTCTTTTACAGAGCTTGTCAAGAAGCCGCGGAAAAAAATGCCTCCTGCTGCTTCTCAGGGGTCATTTACTTCCGGATAGTTCGTCGGCGGAGAGCAACCATGCTGTCGTAGAGGACGTCCTTAAAGGCAAACAGGAAGGCAGCAGTTAGAACACTTTGGCTGACCTTAGGCCCAATTCCTACAATCAATCATAGGGTTAATTAACACTGCCCGCTGCATAGGATCAGGATATATGATTTTAAACGCACCTTTATACAGACCAGCCCACCCTTCCTCCTTGATGATCTTCTTGAACTTGTCGTTCAAACTCTCCTTTGGTCCCTCCTTGTTGGCAACATGCATCCGGCTCTTGACGGTGATGTATGGGTAGGTGATGGAGGTAGCTAGGAGCTTTCCGAGGGCGCCCAAATAGAAAGCATCTGTGGCAGTCATCTTTCTCCGTCGCTCAACAATGTTCTTCAGCTGCTCGAAGAAAGTATACTGCAGAATAGGGTTGATGACCAAGATAAGAGCCGGCAGAACTCCAGCGAAGAGCGCCGCTGGGCCCTCCTGGCGCAAGAGGTCCTTCAGCGTCTCGATAGTCGTCTTCGCCTTCTTGTCACCGCCTTCAGTGGATGATCGCTGAGCCGTCATACGGGTATTTACTACCCAAATAGGGTTGGTAATCATCACCGTAGCGCTGCCAGCCAGTGCGCCAGCAATCATCGATTCCGCGGTTGTAAGCTTCTTCGAAGCCCGGCCGGCTCTTGCAGCGGCTTTCTCGAATGCAGCGCGAGTCCATTCGTACCAATAGTAGTAGACGAAGTTGGTAACGCTGATTCCAAAGACGGCGGATTCTAGGCCAGAGTAGAGCCCCCTGATGCCTTCTCGCTTGATGATATGGCGGATGGCCTCGATCGTCGAAGAATCAGCACGCTTCGATTCGACCTGCGCACGGGTAGAGAGTGTGATCAGCGGATATCTATGACCATAAAAGGCTCTAGTTAGCGCATTCATCTAGTAATGACGGGTTAATATGAGAGGAGAGTTGGGAAAATCGCACGTCAAGATCATGGACAGGATTCCACCACCAGCGCCAGCCAAAGCATGCGCAATATTGTCCCCCTGTTGCGCAGCAATGGTAGGCGCAGGCTTAGATTTTTGAGCTACAGGAGTAGCAGCTGCTTGAGACTGAGACATCTTGTATATGAAATATATGGTATATCGTCTAATTGATTGAGACAGATGCTGGGCAGGAAGGGTAGTAGTTGAGCGCAAAAGAAAAAAAAAGTAAACGATCAACAGCGAAAACGGCAGAGAAAAAAGGAAACGAGCGAAAAGGGAGACGCAGTTATATAACTAGAAGATCGAAAGTGCCAAAGGGCGGTCGAAAGCCGGCAGAGAACCGATCGTGCTGTGTTCTGCGTCTCCTTGTGATTTTTCTCATCCCTGGGACGAAGAATCTCCGGGTGTTCATCATATGACGTTTAGCCGCGGTCGATTTGCCTCGGCTGTTTCCCGAATTGGACACCATCAGTTTTCTTCGCTCCATGAATCACGGAGTTCCTGTTAATACATTAAAATGAATATAAAGACAAATAAATACATAGATGTTTCGCTATGAGCTGAATTGAATCAAAAAAAGCCAGCACCAGCCAGACGCCGGCGATGACAATCATTTGTGAACCTCCCAATGCCCCGTAACTTAGTGCCTGAAAAAATAGATAAACTGCCACCGTAAAAGAAGGGAAAGATCATTAAACAGGGGACCTAGCCTCCCAAGGCTTGATCCTCTGTTCCCAGTACTCTGCAATGTTTTCCTTTGACTCCGTCTGTATACAGACTTCTGTCACTTTTGTGATTTCATCCGTATTCTGTTCAGGGGGCTGGACGATGGCCTCCTGACTGCTCGCTACTTCACTATGTTGTTTTCGTTTATGCTTGTGTTTTTTGCGGCCGGCGCTATGTTTGGATGCGTTGCTGTATTTAGACATCGGGTAGCTATCGTCGCCAGTCATGGTCGATACGCTATAATCCTCGCTAAAAAATTTCTTGCTGGGACCAGAGCTGACCGTGACTGTCGTTAGCGATTTTGTCTTCGTTGCATATGAGGATGAGTGAGAGTCGTCTCCGTATGAGAACCATCCAAACCCATTTGAGGATGCTATGCGTGTGAGGTGTTTGCCTAGAGGTCCGAGAGCGGGTATCGAGGCCGTAACTATGACCAGGTAGTGCTTTAAGGATCCCCACATAGCCAGGTCGGCCATCTTCCAGGAGTAGTCTGAGTCATTCCCAATGCGGTAGATGTAATAAGCCTTCATAACAGGTGCGACAAAGGCACTTTGCAGATTTTAAAAGTTAGCACCTTCAATAGGACGAGTTCAACAGGGAAAGGGTGCGAGGCACATACATTAAACTCAGCGACAAGATTAACGAAAGTGTGATTTTAGTGCGAAGAGGCATTCGGAGTTTGGATATCACAATTACAGGATATCCTGACAGGATAAGATCAGATAAACAACAACATGCTACAAACGGATATGTAGTTAGCATAAAGCCCAGCCTCGGAAGGAGAAGGTCCATCTAACCGCTTTGAAAGTAGGCTGAGGTCTTCACAACGCTCTTTTCCCAGCATTTCCCTCGAATAAGTGGATTCCATGCTGCTTCTGTAGGCCTGCACTGGCCTAAGATAATGAATACGTCCACAGAGTTGACAAGCGTGAGAAAGGTTATCCCAAGGTAGAAGTAAAGGGCGTGACTTTTTGCTTTGTCCACGACACGCAAGAGCAACAACGCAGCAGACACCTTTCCCCAGTTCACGGCTAAATCATGCATAGGCCCTGAAAGCCAGAAATATTTGGTAAGTTGTATAACTTGGCTTTTCGTGAGGTCGGCCTGGTGAGTGCCCAGTCCGTTATCAACGGAGGCGTTGACGAGAGCTGAATGGGCGCATCCGAAAATCTGGCAGTAATGAGTTAGACCCTACTCCGAGTTAATATCAATAAAAAACACAGAATCGTACCAGTGCCGGGAACATAAAGGCATCGTCCCATCCGAAAAGTTTGGTAAGGCAAGTGCGCAACCAAACCCGAACTGCAACCACCAACGTCGCTATCACAAAGGAAAGCCATGCGGCACCGAGGACCATAGGCCCTTTATCATCGCTGGATGACCCTTGGCCGATATCCCAACTTGACTCCATGCTCCTCGATGAATCTCCTTGTTTAGTTGTTGGGACTATCCGGCCGGTTAGTTGGGAAACCTCACCCAGCGGATCTCAATTCGAGAGGCTTGTTAGGGTCCCATCAGTTGTAGTCAAAGGAAGAATTGGAGGTGAAATTAGTGAACACAGGAGGGTATGGGTAGTGCTCGTTTCAATGATAAAACGGTCTGACAACAGTTAACCGTTCCAGGGCAAACGACTTTCATGGCGTAAAAATGCTTCTAGCCTTTTCTCTCGGCGAGGTCGGCAGCTTGGTAGTCATATATGTCAAAGGAACGCCTCTATTAATCAAGCCTTCCCATGACACAGGAAAAGCAAGTTGAAATCGACAACACCATCACCATCATGCAGACCTTGACATGGATGCATAAGGTTGAAATCATGAAAGCTTGCGAACACTTTCATTTTTATGATGGCGGACCGCTATTGGATGCCAGCATCTCCCGCTCTTGGGAGTTCCTCGACTTGCCACACCTTCAGGCCAGTTAAGATGGCCGTGGCTGCCAACTATGCATGCTTATACTTCGCCCGGCCGTCCCCGTCTCGAACTGGAGCCGCGTTTTAGACGGAAGCTTTGAAACTGGGAGGGAACAAGGGACATATATTGGGGCGGGCTGAGGAGAGACGCTGTGGCGCTGGGTTATGGACATGCTATGTCACGAAATGGTAAGCCAAAGTGTTGACCTGTACACGCTTGGCGTTACGCTATCCTGGACTTTGCATATTTTTAAGGTAGATCCCAGTCCGAACTCTGCAGCATAGAGTATCGAATCGATCTCTAGTATCTCGTGCCTGCCGCGTTTCCCAAGCCCTGGATGTCGGGAGGTCTTATCCATGCATATATGCCGGGGCACATATATATATACGGCGTAACATAATTTCTCTCCCCAGTCTTCGAGAAGATCTGTCGAAGAGTGGAGGAGTTCAGCTCGCCAAAGACTCAATTCTTGGAAGGAGATGCGTGTCAATCGCTCGTGTTCATCTCTTGGATGATGAGATTGGGGACATCAGAAACGAAGCTAAGATGACTTTGACAGGCAGGTTGATGTTCGTTCCAGGTCTACCCCCGAAGGAATAATGGAAGCTGCTTCGTACCCCGTACGGAGTACTTGTCCTGTCAATCCGGGTCGTCCTCAATATCCTTTGCCGCCATGGCTGGCGCTGTGCGAACGCTCAAAGCCCCTAAAAAAGAAAATGGAGAAAGCATTGGCACGAGGCCCAAACGCTCGCTAGTTAGACGTATCGGTACATCTGGAGATCACCGCCTCCGCCTATGTGAAGGATCAGGGCGCCGGAGCGAGGGCTTGGACTCAGGAGTCCTTAGCCATCTGTTTCGGAGTGAGCATAGGTGCCAAACGGTCGAAATTACGGCCAAAAATGCCTGGCTAGCGATGTCGGCATTGCTTTTTCGGTCTGAGAATAGATAAAGATAACCTCTGCGGATATCGGGGGCTGGTGGACTAGTTCATCAGCACCCAGACTGAGGGACCATCCTCACTGTGGACCAAGCAGGGACATCGGGTTGAAACCTTCAAGCCGGAGCTCTAGCCCGGCTGCTTACACGCGCCCTCTGCTTTTTCGTTCTCCTATTCTTAAGTTCTTAACCTTGCCGATTAAAATATGATCAGTTCCTCGAGGTGCCCTCCTGACAAAGGCCCATGCCCAAAAAGATTATATATAGTGTTCCCCTGCGGGATATATCAAAGCGCTCCCATCTCTAAGTCTTGACTGTATATCACCACCACCACCTCCCAGCATTCGATGTCGTGAGGTTGAAGTCGCGAATAAATAAAAGGACCTTATTGGAGGCAGCCTCGGCACGGAGAAATATTGACACGTGACACTTCCCGATTCGGATAATTACTAAGCGCCGATTGACGCCCAAAAAAAAGGGGGGGAAGGAAGGAAGATAGACGATCGAAGGAAGAAGATACAGGTAGACAAAGAAACAGTTCTTCGTCTTCTAGTTACTCTGTACAGATGGCTGCACTACGGGAGGATATGCAGGAGGGAAAAGCGGGGAGCGCAGGAAACTAATGAAAACATAGTTCTAAAGATAGCCTGGACGTTTACGGAGTACAGAATATATGTAGGTAAGAGAAGGGAAGAGAATGGAACATGTATACGGAGTAAAGGGGAGGAAAAGAAATAATGGGAAGAGATGCTTCATTCCAAATCAGCTGTGGTGGTAGGGCCTGATTAGATATTTGAAGCAAGCAGGTGACGGGGAATTTATAAAATAAAGAAAGGAAACAGGTGATAACGAAATAAAACACACATACACACACACAAAGCCAGAAGTACGGGGGAACGCAGCATTAGGTTTCTTTTTTTGTCATAAGACGGGTAGGTGCCTGGCATTCCCGTGGTGGTCAATGAGCCGTGGCACGGGGCGGGTCCGGGAACCGGGCTGGTGCTATGGGAGGGGGTGAGGAATCAAATTCGTCATGGTATGGTACGCATGGTGGCACATCGGTAGGTAGAAAGGTAGGAATGTAGCTGGATAGGTTATGTATGTAAGACAGATCCGGGCTGGATTGCAGAAATGAAGGGGGCAAAGAGACAAAGATAAGAAAAAAAGAGGAAGAGAGAAGAATAAGGAAATGGAAACCAAGTGTAAACAACCCATTTAGAACGACATTAAATTAAACCCCACCCCACCCAATTCCGGTTGAAACACTACTTTCATGATGCCAAATTTCACGCCAAAGGAGAAACATTAGGACAGATTGTAGCGTGGGAAGGGAAGCAAAGCCTAGCATAACCACGGCACCGGTCGAGGTGTAAGGAGTAAAATATGGAAGGTAATTTAGCAGCATGAGCTGCCGGAATTCGACTGGACACCTTGGCCCTGGCCAACCTGGACAGTGGGCTTGTTGTTGACGGTTGCGGTGCCCATTCGTTCCTTGATCTGTCTGGCCATGGTCAAGAAGGCTTGCTCGACGTTCGAAGCATTCTTGGCAGAAGTTTCCAAAAATGGAATGCCGAGACTATCAGCGAATTCCTGTAGTTGGGACACATTAGCAGAGGGCTTATAAGTTCGCAGATATGGCGGGGGGTGGTAATACGAACCTTTGCAACAGTGTATTCAACGACCTTCTTGTCTTCCATATCACTCTTGTTGCCTACAAGCAGCTTGTTGACGCCCTGTGTGGCGTAACGGTCAATTTCTTGCAGCCACTGTTTGACGTTATTGAAAGAGTCCATATCCGTCACGTCGTAAACCACGCAGATTCCATGAGCGCCTCGGTAGTAGGAGGATGTGATGGTTCGGAATCGTTCTTGGCCAGCTGTATCCCACTGTAAAGCAATAGAAAGTTAGTGACAAAATACAAGTGGCATTAGTCGGTGAAAGGCAGCAGGCAGCAGGCTACGTACGATCTGGAGCTTGACGGTTTTTCCATCCAGTTCGATTGTTCGGATTTTCTATTCTTCGTTAGAATACTCATCTATTCCGCTATCAGGTCAAGTTCCCACATACGAAGTCAACACCGATAGTAGAAATGTAGCTTTCTGTATAAGTATCATCTGCAAATCTGAGAAGCAAACAAGACTTTCCGACACCGGAGTCACCGATGAGGAGGAGTTTGAACAAGTAGTCGTATCTGGTCGCGGGCAAGCAGGTCAGTATAATATCAACTGTATATATGCATGGTGGCGACTGCAATATTGAAGCGGGTATGTATGTGTTTTGCCTTATTCGGAGGCTTGGGTGTCGTCAGCCGCGGGAGGAAGCTCTATAATAGTCATCCGGCGGTTAGCTCAGCAATATTTCCATCGGATAGGGAATAGTCTAGGGTTCCGCGGGAGGACAGGGAGTTGCTGGTAGAAATAAGGGCACTTACTACTCAGGAGTCATTATGAAGGCGACAAGGTGGTGATGGGATAGAGAGAGGGGGGAAAGAGGCAAAAGACGACGTCAGATAGCTGGCTGCTCTTCGGCTGGAGCGTCGAGGTCGAGACGGGCGCGGTGTCAGGCTGGCGGGCTGGAGATGCGGTAGTCAAGCAGAGTGCTGGAGATGCGAGTTTGCTGCTGGTCGATGATGCTGCCGTTGCTTGCTTTGCTCTGCTTTGCTGGCTTGAGAGGCGGAAAGAAGAAGAAGAGAGCGAGGTGAAGGTTGAAACAACGTGATACGCTGCGATCCATGGCAGCGCTAGGCTGTTTTGGGAAGAATACGGCGGATGTACCTAGAAGTATCTTTACATACACTTTTACGCTGTCAGGTACTCAGCGGTACTACTCTCTGAGGCTACAACAACACTTGACAGCATAAGCCAACGGTGGATACACATTACATGTATATTATGACGTTAAGATACATAGAGATTTGGTTTTTTAGAGCTGCTCATGTGCTCAGTGCCAGTCGGGTGGCACGAAGGAAAACGAAGGAAATGGCATCGGCGGTTATGCGTATTTACAAAGCTGGCCAGACCATGTGATGTGATGGCTGCCCGGGTGTTTATACATAGCCACGCTGGGTGAGCCACTCAAGGATAGCCTTCTCCTCTCTCTCGCGGTAGCTAGCGTTGGACTTGATGGTGTCCGCTGCGATGACAAGTGCACGGTCGTAGCCTTCCTGGTCCTTGTCGGAGAAGAACTTGGTGATGTCCTGTTCAACTTCTTTATCGGCGTACTTGATCAAGCTGAGACGCAGGAAGCGCTGAAGCAGGACCTTATTGGCACCCAACTTCTCCTCAATACGGTTCCAGTTGGCTTTGATAAAGTCCCACATGAGGTAGCGGCCCTTGGGGTTAGCGGCCAAGCCTGACCCACCGGTGTGAACATCCTGTCCAGAGACCTTGGACGAGAAGAGGAACTCCAGGAATTCCTTGATGAGCTCAGGGTCGGTGGCACGGGAGAGAGCACCAAGGCAAATCTCCTTTCCATCGATGGTTGTGTTGGTCTCGTACTCCTTAACCAGCAGATCATACTCAGGGCGACCACCCTCTCCCATGTTAATGGAGAAGACAGCAGATCGGAGGTTGGTGTGAATGGCAGATTTATCACCATCGGCCCAGGCCTTGAAACGACGCTTGGCTTCGGCAACGGTGCTATATTATACAAGTTAGAATAACGGTTTGTGGCTTAGATGGGTGCGACTGGCGGCTTACCCTTCGTGGCCAGAACGTCCAGCAGCAGTAATGAGGATCTGTCGGAGCTGCTTGGTCAAGAAGTCGTCACAGTCCTTGAATTCCCAGCCGATCTTTTCAGCAGCAGGAGTGACGAGTTTGCAGGTATAAGCCTTCAAGCCCTTAGAGATAGTCTCGTGGGTTCCAAAGATGGATCGCAGGTTGCCAAGGGAAGTCATGATTTGAGCCCAGACACTGGAAGAAGTTAGTAAGGGCGTACAATAAGGCAAAGGGGTTTATCATACAGGCAGTCAGCTTCGTCCTGGAACTTCTCGACAAGAGCGAGCAAGGAGACGGTGCTTCCCTCACCAGAGACGGCCAAAGAGGCAGCATCACCAATCAAACCGATTCTGTCCTCAGAGCTGAGGAGGTTTCTGCTGTCACCGAACTTGACGAGTCGGTCTTGTGGGTAGTTAGTGTGGTAGAAGCCGCACTGATCCTTGTTGACCTTGTAGAACTCGCTACAGTTGATGTCAGCAACCGAGTCAGACTTCTTGGTCAAATTGCGGACGTTGGCACTCTCTGCCTTGGGGCCAGATTTGATGCCGAGTGGAATCCACCACATGGTTTCATCCTCCTCTGGCTTTACATCGCCCGATGCAAGGAATCGTCGTTGGTCAACATTGATCTGGTTGGTTTGTTCAGTGACGTTGACAACGGGGAAACCGATCTTGCGGATCCATGGGTCCTAATATAACTTAGTATGCGTTGTCAAATAATAAGCGCGGCAGTACAGGACGAACCATGAAAGAAGTGACATCCTTTCCAGATACTTCGCTAAGAGCAGACCAGAGGTCGTTGGTGGTAGCATTGCCTTGAAAGACAGTCAGAATTCATTATTCTAGTAATGGCGGGACCTGAAGTTTGTTACCATATTTATGGGTCTTGAGGTACTTGGCAACACCCTTGAGGAAGACCTCCTGGCCAAGATGGCTGCTCAACATACGAATGACGGAGCTTCCCTTCAAGTAACTGATGTGGTCGAAGATCTGGTCAACTTCAAGGGCGTTTCGTACCGGAACTTCGATGGCATGGGATGCACGGAGGGAGTCGAGTTTCATGGCTTGTTGAACACTCTCAGTCTGTAAAACCGTTAATATGGGGGTCATCAAAATTCAAGGTACCTCTACGGTGACGTACGACGAACTGTGACCAGACATTCCATTCTAATGGCTTGTCAGCTTTGGATATATTTCCATGAGTACTTGGGGGTAAAACTCACCTGGGTGGAAGTGATCTACGGCGAGCCACCCGACCCAGGTAGCGAAACCTTCGTTGAGCCAAAGCTCATTCCACCAGTCCATGGTAACGAGGTTACCGAACCATTGATGAGCCAATTCTATGCTTTGATTAGTAAGATGTGGATATGGGGTACGGGAAATGGGGTAGAAAGCATACCGTGGGCAACAACGTAGGCAACACGGTTTCTGTACTTCTCATCAGACTTTCCTTCCTCGAAAAGGACAGCGGTGGTTCGATAGGTAACAAGGCCCCAGTTCTCCATGGCGCCCATGGCCTAGTCACTGAGTTAATTTACCACCCGTAGCAATGTATAAAATGAAGGGCCGCACTTACAAATTCATGGACTGCTAGCAAGTCAGACTTGGGAAGAGGGTAGTCGATCTCAAAGACGTCGGAGAAGTAGTCCAAGGTCTGGGAAGCACATTCCAGGGCAAACTGAGCCTGCTCCTTGAGGCCTCTGGTGGTATAAACACGGACTGGGATACTGGCGCCGTTGTACTTGCGCTTAGTCATCGTCTCGACGTACTCGAAGTCACCTACAGCCCAAGCAAGGAGCTATAATACAACATCATTAGCAAACTATCCCGTTCTCAAGAAGATATGTAAATACTTACATAGGTGCTCATAATGGGAGTCCGCTCAAAAGAGACAAATTCAAGGTCAGGCTTGCTACCCTCACGCTTGCTCTTAACAGGCATGTTGCTGAGAGCTGTCAAGCCCTTAGTAATTTCGATCTCAAAATCAAAGGTGGCCTTCAGATTAGGCTCATCGAAGCAAGGGAATGCCTGTCTGGCATCACAGGATTCGAATTGGGTGCTAAGCATGTAGTGCTGCTCTCCAACCTTGGGCGTGGCAGGTCCTGGAGTAGCTGCCGACTGGTATCCAGCACGGCAGAAACCAGCCATGTAGTTGTTGATAGTTCCGGTGAAGGAGATGGTCAGCAGCATATCTGCCGGCTGTAGCTCGCTGTCAAACTTGAAGATGGCACGCTCAGACTTGCGGTCGTATGAGATCTCAGTGGCCTTGCTGGAAGCACTTCCTATGCGGCAGTCAGCACACAAATGTCAAAACACACTCAATGACACGCGGATCTGAGGAGATATACCATCTTTGGCAGAGATCTCAGCCAACTGGACGTCAATTGCCTTGACATTGACAACAATCTCCTTGGTAGGGCGTGTGATCTTGGTGTCTATCTTGACAGTTCCCTTGTACCCCCAGTTGCCGCCGATGGTGAGATCGTACAGCGAGACATGGTAGTGAGATGGCTTAGCCCTGTATCTGTATCAGCAATGCTCCTCTCTCTATATTTTCTGGCATAACGAGGTCCGTCCAACTCACACGTCTGGCAGCGTGTCCCTGTCGCTCGGGTTCATCGTGCGGAATTCGGCAGAGCAGGATCTTTTCTGGAGTGGAATAGCTAACCCGGCAGACTTACGAGCAGCAGCCGGCCTGACGGTGGATAACGATGCTAGTGGACGAGCAGGAGAAGAAGAGGAAGAAGTTGAAAAGGACGAAGAAAAGGAAGAAGACGGAGACGGAGACGGAGACGAGATCAAGAGGGGCCGCGGGGACAGGGAAGAGGCAGAAGAGAGGGGCAGCGCGGCGGAAGAGAAGTAACTCGCAGGGCGGGCGGCATGACGTCGCACTCCATGTTTAGCCGCAGCGACGCTTCTTCCCGCGCGCCCACCGCAGCGCAGCGCCAGCGCGACCACCATCACCATCACCACCGCCGGACGGGCGAGCGCAGGAGAGGCACGCGACCTATAGCAGGCTGACGGGCAGCGAGACAGCAGGTGGGATATAAGTAGCTATATAGGCCGGCAGGGGCCGTTTGAAGGACGAGCTTCGGTAAGCTAGCTCGTTCGGCTATCTTGGCCCGTTGGCCGTTGGCTATGTGTATCTATTCCCCGTAATTATAATAGTTATGCTAATAATTGATATAGTAAGACAAGAATAAGAAGAAAGAGCGAAGCAAAAAGAGCGACTGGGTGGTTATATGAAAAAAGTCCGCCGTTCCCAGACTTGAAGATACGAAGTTCAGAATAAAAAAAAAAATAAATAATTTCGCCTAACCCTGCAGCCGCGACTTGCTGCAGCCAAGGCGCCAGAAGGAGATCGACTTCACGCGAGAAGACTTGATCTCTAGCGCGGCAGCGTCTCGAAACAGTCATCCCCCAAGAGAGGGCTTCTCAGATGGCACGCTCGGATGAGGAGTACAGCGACGCAGCGTCGGTAGACGACCTGGACGAAAACCTCGAGGAAGAAGACGAAGATGAAGATGACATCGTCGACTCTCGGACGGCCAGCAGTCGACGGAGGGATCGAGACCGAGGCGGCAAGAGCAGAAAGAAGAAGAAAAGGAAGCAACGTGGAGGCGCGGAGTGGGAGGTAGCTAGGACGTGGGAGACACTGGTAGAGGGTGCGGATGGGACCATCACTGCCACTGTCGACGGCCTTCTCGAAGCCGACAAGAGGAAGAGGTGTGTTTTTTCTTCTCTACGCTGAGGAAACATGGGCTGCTTAAGACAAAAGAGAAGATGTTGATAATTTGCAGGTTGCTCAAGGATACTACACCGCTACAGCGAGGTATCATACGGCATATGATACTAGTCCTCGACCTCTCCTTTGCCATGGCGGAGAAGGACCTGCGTCCGACCAGATACCTTCTCACTCTCAGATACGCGCAAAAGTTCGTGCAAGAGTTCTTCGAGCAGAATCCCATTTCGCAGCTGGGCATCACGGGCATGAAGGATGGTATAGCCGTGCAGATCAGCGAAATGAGCGGTAACCCAACCGAACATATGTTGGCTCTCCACGCCTTGCGGGCAGAAGACCCAAAGGGCCTACCAAGTTTGCAAAACGCTCTCGAGATGGCCCGAGGATCTCTATAGTGCGTCCTACTATTTTTTTACCCATCGATAACATACGAAAGCTAACATTCAAACAAGCCACACCCCATCCCATGGCACCCGAGAAGTTATTATTATCCTTGGGGCTCTCCTCTCATCGGATCCGGGTGATATTCACCAAACGATCACTTCTTTGGTGGCAGACAAGGTACGGGTAGGCATAATTGGTCTAGCCGCCGACGTAGCCATATGCCGTGAAATATGTGCCAAAACGAACGATGGCAATGACTCCAGTTACGGCGTGGCTATAGATGAAAAGCATCTATGGGACCTCCTGCTAGACGTCACCACTCCACCGGTAACGTACTCGCAACGCTACTCCTCTAACTCCTTGCTCATGATGGGCTTCCCTTCACGCACCGTAGAGCCCTTCCCTTCGCTCTGTGCATGCCACTCCAAACCCGTTAGAGGCGGCTATATGTGTTCGCGGTGTGGCAGTAAAGTGTGTTCTTTACCCGCCGAATGCCCAACATGCAACCTCACACTCATCCTCTCCACCCACTTGGCGCGATCATACCATCATCTTTTCCCATTGATAAATTGGGTTGAGGTTCCGTGGAAAAGGGCCTCTAGAAGTGTCAGTTGCTTTGCTTGTGGCAATCCTTTCCCTGCTGTGCCTCCGCGGGATAAATGGGACATGCGAGATAGGTCCATCAAGGGCATGTCCGTCAGCAGCAGGTATGAATGTACAGTTTGCCATCACCACTTCTGCATTGACTGCGACGTCTTTGCTCACGAAGTTGTACATAACTGTCCCGGCTGTCAAAGCGGCAAACCCCTAGATGTGGACTCTAGCTCTAACCCAGCAACAAAACCCCAACCTCATACAAACGGACACTCACAAAACTCCCAACCTGCCGACAATGGTGACGCAATGGATACCGGTTGAACGGACATTTTGTGCATTCCACTATCTACTCCTATCATCGACGCAACGACCTGATTGACCTGTGTATTATACTTTGCTCCTGCCATCGTTTTCGAAACAAGCATCTTGCTCTACAAAAGCAAACTCATTCAAAAGGAATGTTATGGCGTTTTTGGTTCGGTTGGCTTTTTGCACCTGTCCAACGGCATATCAATACCAACTTCTAATTTAGCCAGTAGTGATTTGAATATATCAAACTGCATGTTTTTTGTTGTACAGGGTCAACTTCAGCTCTGTCTCTTATGTGCTCCGTATCTTTAAGTTTGTACATGACTCGCCGCAGCTCGTCCATATTAGCATACAGGGTACCTTGCAACTAAAGGCCGCCATTTTCTCTACCATCGATGATTCTTCTAGTTTTCCCTTACCATTGCGTTCTTTCTACTCCGTATAATCGTTGATTTTCCATCCCTGCACCTCGAGCTAGGCAGTTCCCAGATAAGAAGGTTTGGCCATTGCAGGCACAAACCTAATAACGGCGCTAAATTATCCGCTCCGGGTAAAATACCTATTCGTAATATTACTGTAATATTCATACAGCTATCCTTGCCTCGGCCCTTTATTCAAACGTCATTTCTTTACATCTCCTGTTCAATCGATAACTAATTCACTAGATTCAACATTCATTATCTATCTCAGCCCTCGAAGGAGAAGACACATATCATTTGCAGGGCGGTAACAGCATCAACCAGCTTTTAAACACCTTTATAAGCTGATATCCAAGCCTACACGGTATATATAAAGCTTAACTACTCACTCTGCGATGGCTTCCCCCGCAATAGCATCTGCAGATCCAGCTCCGACGAGCTCAACGTCAGACTCTACAGATATATATCAAAGGCTCTCTTCTTACTCTTTTACTGAGGATCCAGAGTTCAAGCTTGGCTTAGCAGTTATTCTTGGCCAGCCAGGAACTCCCGCAACAAACGAACAAGTCAATAGAACTGACGAGCTTGTTACGAAAGCGAAATGTTTCTACTTCTCAAAGTACGTCTCACAGAACTGAGCAGATAATGGGTTATACTGACATATACTAATTATACTAGGAAATATGCAATCCAGCCTCCAATTGATTACACTTCATATCAGCATTGGCTTCATCCACAGTCACGAAACGAAAATATACCCATTTCTTCAACGTCAGATAACAACGATGGTAATGAAGCAGCGCGGTCGGAGTCAGTCTCTGTATCTACAGCGCCAGAGGAGAGTAAGTTGGAGGAGGGACAGCCTGTATATCCGTCATCATTTGCGCGGATTGTGGAGCTTATAACCACAGGGCAGCCAATACCGGGAATCCAGCAGATACCCGATACTGTGTTGACCGGTCAGGAGACTGCTAGTACGGCTCAGCGGAGGAGGAAGCCGTGGGAAAAGGATGAAGGAGAGCAAAACCAAGAATGTAACCAGAAAGAGGGTGGGAGGCAGAAAGATGTGAATCATAATGAAGATGGGATATCGACTGATGACGCCCTTAAGGATGGTAGTGGTGCTTAGCCCCCCACTAGGCCAGACAGATCCTAGAGTCCTGGATACAGCTGCCGATGGGTCACTATTATGAGAGAAGGAATACATGACGTGTAGTGTTATGGTTGTCCTCTCGGCCACAGCCCAGGTGTTGAAGGCCACAGTAACTGCTAACTGACGAACGCATTTTGGGGATTTAGCGGACATAAATGTCTATCTTATATACGAGCATTATTTAATTACAATGCGTATAGACGGCGGCTTCAGTATTTCTAATATCAATGATAATAAAACGTTTTGGAATTTTCGCAACTAGGTGCTCTCGAGGCTATCATACATGAAGTTATCGAATACAGACATAGCGTATCAATGACCAAATAACTCCTTGACCTCCACAAACCCGCAATCCATGGAAGTTTTTCTTGGGCAGGCTCCCAGCGGAAATAGAAAAGATAAATGGCGAAAAAAAGGTAGGAGAGGGGAGGCTCCATGACGATAAGAGAGCGTGTCTGTGAAACAGGTAGAAATAGCACCCTGTAATTCACCGAATACAATATGTTGGAAACTGAACCGTTGAGGTAAACCAAAGCACCAGGTAGCTACCCATGCCTATTTGGATAAGTTCATCTTCACAGCAAATATGACAATTTAAGAGAATGAAATAAGGACGTAAGGTAGACCCAGACAGGGGAGAAGCATTTGGAAAAGGCAAGAAAAGCAGAGATGGATAAAAAGAGAAAAGAAAAAGAGGAATCAGATCGGATGTTTGTCAAGGAACCTTCAACAAACCAACGTGCAAATACGAGGAGTTAGGGCTTTGAACCAAGCACGACATCCTCGCACCCGAGAATCCTAGAAAGAAGGAAGATAGCTGTAAATTAGACTCCGATATGAGTATCACTTTCGTTATTCGCTATAGCCGAGCACTGAAAGTTTGAGTCATGCAGTATGCTATTAGCAAATGTGTGGAAATCTGATTTAACGGAATGGAGGATAGTTGCTGTTCCACTGACAGCTGCGGTTATACCTAGCACCATTCATAGAGCTAGGGCCGCGGTCTTCAGAAGGAGAATTAAAGCGACTAATTTGAATACCTGCACCTGGCCCGGGGCGAGTAACATGGTTAGGGTTGCAGCAAAGCATGGCCACACGTGACCCAAACTTGGAACCTCGGAGGGAGACCATATGTTTGCTAATGCGCCTATGTTAGTGAAAATCAATAGATGAAGGGTTGTATATACACCAACCGAATATGACCTGCAACTAGCTCACGGTGTTGGTTCCCAGCATTGAGAAGGATCCATTGAATCAAGTAGTTTCCGTACTGATCTCCGGCAACTGGCCCACTGGTTAGTACAGAAATTGAAGATGAAGAGCTGTCCAGGATCTGACGTACTATCAATCAGAGGCATACGGGGACGGTCCGGACGACCAGTGCAGACTCTGGTGAGATATCTATCAAGGAACTCGGTTCCACCAATCTTCAAACATTTCTCTACAACTTTGGAGGCAAACTGGTCCATGCTGTAATCGGTGGCCCAAATCAGAATGTGCTCAATCGCACGGCTCTTGTCGGGCGGGGCACCATGTTCACAGATGTGTTGAATGCACCAATTGCCAAATTGACCATGTGCAAGTAGGTCAATTTTTGCAAGAACTTCCTCGATTGCTTGACGCTTTGAAACGATTAGCATAATACAGAGATATTCGAGTTGTACCGTCGTACCTTCTCATCCTCGACACAATTTTCAAAAATATTTTGGACAACGAGGCTCCCGGTCTCCCCCAAGGCAACTTCATGCCACATTCCCCTAAGTGCTTCGTTAACTTTAGTCATAATCTGTGGCGGTTCACCGCTCCAACGAAGTTCAAAAAGTTTCTGCCACACATGACAGGCGTATCTATGAATCACGGTCTCAGGAATACGGCGAAGTAGCTCATGTACCATAACTGCTTTGTGCTCTTCTGGGACACAATCGAATGCTTTCTGAATCACATGGCAACCAAAGGGGTCCATGCTTAGACTCAATGTATTGCCACGAATAGCATTAGCAATAGATATAACTTGTTCGGGGGTACCGTGCTCAAAGCAACGTTGAACAAGGAAGTTGCCAAATCGATTGATCATTAATGGGTATGCTTGGTTGGCAATTGCCTCAATAATTTCATACTTCTGTTCGGATGTGCCAACCTTAAGCTTTTGCTGAAGGAAAATGGACGCCTGTTGATCGTTGTTGCAAACAATCTTGTCCACGATGTACTTCCAATCGCATGAAACACTTTTATCTAGAAGACGACGATAGTTCAATGGTTCAAGTGGAGAAACATAAGTGGAAGCGGCTCCGGAAGCGGCCTAAAAGCAGAGTCAGCTCTAAAGTTGAAGCTCGTAACGGTATTTTCAGTGCTTACAGAAGGTGCCCAGGATCCAGGGGTAGCCGGGTAAGCATTAAACTCAGCTGCCATTGGGGATAGTGGCGTGCCAATTGGGCGGGGCTGATACATGTTCACAGCCGAATAGGTAGTCTGTGGCTGAAAATTTGCAGCCTGTTGCTGGGTAGCTGGCCGAGGGATAGAACTAGCAGAAGTCAAGGATGGGGAAAATGTACCCCATGGCGAGGTCTGCGGGGGGAAGCACGAGGATCCACGACTAACTTGAGTGGCTCGCCGACCACCGTGTCCCTGAATTTGAGGGGCTGGTTCCGTTGAATAGTGGTTATCAAACCCATATGGTGGGTTTGCATGTCCTGGAAACATACGTTGGTTAATAGAAAATCCAGTATTGGGGTTATATCCCGGCTGACTAGGGCGAGTTCCCCAACTGCGGGCAGTATCACTGTTAATACTAGATTCATGCAACATGAAGTCACGGCTGATCTTGTCTGCATTTCCAAAGTTATTCACTGGTGGTTGCGATTGAGCATTCCATATGCCACGAGCTCTATTATAGCCTCCTGCAGAGACAGCCTCTGAGATATCAGAGTGAGCGTCATCTTGCATAGCCCATTGTTCTTGACGTTGATTGAACTGGCGGGTGGACGCATTGAAGGCGTTCTGCAGGCTGCTAATTGTCTGCTCAGTAATCTCACGGCCGCCAAAGTCAACTTCAGACGGAGGTCCCATAGCTTGATCCAGGGTTTGTTTGATAACACGGGTCTGAGCAAGCTCTTGCTCTTGTAGAGCAATACGAGAATTCGCAGCTTCCAATTCTTGCTGTAAGCGAAACATCTCCTGAGTGTCCATCACTTTTCCGGTGTTCACGGTATTTTGCCAAACGGTCAAATTTGGCTGGCTAGTAGGGGCAAGCGGGATGTGACCTTCAATTGTGGGAGTTAACTCCGCATGGTTTACATGAGAAGGGCGACTTTCTCCAGATGGCTGTCTCGCCAAACGCGGCTGGGTATCCATAGTTTTGGTGGCCGGGTCACCAGCTGAACCACCCGATTTACCGTCTTTTGGAGACAGCTTTGCAAGAATTTGGTCCATGACAGACTGAGGAACGGAAGAGCCAGGTTGATCAGCCTTCATTTTCTAAGTAAGTTAGCTACAGGCTTTGAAACCATGCAGTGTGTACGTTATAAGCTATTATTCATTCACCTTATCATCCCCGACCGGAGGCGTGTTTTGAATGTTCCCCAGTTTAGACGAGACAAGGGGGTTGGTTCCAGTGGTAATCGAGCTCAAATTCATCGTTTCCTATTGCCAAGTTAGAAATTGCCTCCTATGTCGATGGCCTGAGTCTATACACAACAGAGGTGCCAATTAGAAGATACTTACCGAGCCTAGACGCCCGTGTGATACAATGCTACCTGTAGGGTCAACGTGAGCTTTGCACTGAGAAGATGGCTTTTGAGACGCGATAGAAGAGATCATGACTTTGTAAGACATGATAATGACCACTTCAACACACTTTTCAGACAAGTAAGGGTAATAAGTAAACAAATCAGTAGATAGGATGAGATCCACAAGGAAGTGATCCAAGTCCAGCAGCTCAGATGCGTTGGGAGGGGCAGGATAATATGCAAAGAACCGAGAAAAAGCCACCCACCAGGCTTTGATATCGCAGGAAACTGGCACGTCGACGCGTGTGAGAAACTGTAATCAACGCAGCAGGGAATCGAATGAAGCTGTAGAGGCACAGTAGATGAAGTGAAACCAAACAAGTATGCTGTGAAGTAGATGGAAGAAGTTCAGGTTGAGAAAAAAAAAACGAAGAGGAAGACAGAGGAAGATCTGGAGGAGAAGATAAAACAGAAAGAGCCGACTAAAAGAGAAAGTATGAGTTGAGATCAAGATACATGGAACAAAAATAACAAAGAGAACGAGAAAGACCGACTGGCGAGCAGCAGAAGGCGAGGTTGAGGTTGAAGAGAGTGCGATGTTGATGTTGACGTTGATTTTGTTGATGTTGTTGTAGCCGAGAAGTTGAAGTTGAAGTTGTCGTTGTGGGAGGCCAAAAGGGGAAGGGCGGTGGCAGAAGGAAATAAGGGCAAAGTCAGCTTGCTGCTTAGCCGCTGGTCTAACCACGCGGCGCCGGCAAGCCCCTAGGGCTATGGAGAGCATGGGTATAGTACACAAACAGATATGACGACAAGGGTTATATAGATGTATAAGGGTATAAGGGTATCACAGGAGCAGTGGGCATAGCAGAGTCTGCATTTGGTGGACGAGAGGCACATATATCGCTATATCATTGTTTAAGGGCTGTCTATTGTATATGTTAGGAGCCCTACACTGTACATGGCTTGTATGCCACATAGACAGCAGGCCTATGCCTATCTACTCAAGCTCAAGAGACATAAGAGGCCGCAGAAACTTTCCACTCAGAATCGAAGAAGCCAGCGGCATAGAGAGAGCCTTGTCCCTTCAATGGGGTCCCCTTGTTGACAACCACGAAGTCAGGCTGGCCAACTCCTGTGAGGACAGGCACCAGGCGAGCAGCCTGTTGAAGGCCGGCCATGTCGGATCCCCAAATAACTAGCTCTAAACGTTCATTTACCAAGGGGCGTATGAAGATAGCACCGAGACCCGGCTCAAAGGGATAACTTGTTGTTCCCTGGGAAGTCTTGATATCCAGTGATCGTGCTGATATTGATATAGCAGAGTCGCCCGCTGTGTATCCATTTGGCTGAGCACCGAGCAAGATGACGACATTGTTACCTGCCGGGCTAGTAGCGGTCGTGGAGTTGGCAGTGGGCACAGCATACGAAATGATGCAATCGGCTGACAGGTACTGGAATAAATTTCTGCAAGTTTGCAGGGCGAGATCTCGAGTTTCCTGAGCTGCAGCGGTCACAGTAAACGGCGCTTCTGTGCGGAGGAAAGCATTCACACCAGCCTGTCTGCCATATCTCTGTGAAATAGTACGCCAGGAGTCACCACCCGATGTCCACTTCCCAGCGGCATCTTGTGTGTACCATGTTGTCGTAGAGTTGCTAGGAGTGACTGTAAATCTAGAGCCATCTATCTGGATATACAGTGGAACATGTGATCTGATTGCACTGGTCTCGAGGTGGAAACGGCGGATATTTCGTGTCTTTAACTTCCAGACTCCGTCATTGGCCATACCTCGCTCAACCTCAATAGAGCCAACTCGGTCAGGGGTATGTGATTGATCAACATATATACCGCCTCTGGTACCCATATGACCTGCAGGTGGGAGAGTGACCGAAAATCTTTGAGGAAGAAGGTCAGTGGCATTTGGGCGCTGAACATATGTACGATAGAAATCCTTAAGGAAGTCGGAAGTCATAATTCCAGTATACCAGTGGTTTTTACCTGGCACTTCATGATACTTTGAGGGTGAACCGCTCTCTTGCAACAACCTATGCATCAGCCGAGAATGGTATACAACCACATTATCGTCAGAGGCACCATGCTGTTGATAGACCGGAATTCCAGCAAAGTTATCAACTAGAATCTCATGTTTAAAGTCCTGGCGCGCCCGATAAAATGTAGATGCCAGCAATGAGTCTGTGTTATGCCACATGGAGTATGGAACATAGTCTATCAAAAGATTAGTCATGGAGCAATATGAAATGGGGAGCATACATACTTTCTATCGAGGTATAGCCTGCAACAGGTGCTGCAGCAATTATTTTATCGGGATAATGTGAGATGGTATACCATGTTCCCTGGCCTGTTTCTAGTTAGATTCAAATATTAAACCAAAATAGCAGTCCGTACTTACCGCCGTTTGAGTGTCCGGCTATAATCCAATCACCGTCGATAAGCCCGACTCCTGTCCAACCACTGTACTTAATGTAGTCGTTAAGTGCCCGGACTGAGTGCTGTAAGTCGGCAAATCCCCAAGTATCTGAAGACAATCTGTTAGCCGGGAATTCAACCACCGAGGGATCGAAACCTACGCCAATCATCTCCACTCCAAGGTGTCACACCGCTGGGAAATAAGGTCCATGCACATATGTCAGATACACCATCAAGCATAGTGCGAATTATCTCATCACTTGCAGCTTGTCCCGCTCCATGGAGACCTAGCAATACTGGAAGTTTTGCGCTTTTGTCTTTGTTGCATTCTAAGGATGTAGGAGGCCGCATAGTGGCATAAGAGACTACTCCTCCTGGCAGCATGAAAGTATTTTGTTGAACTTCTGGCAGCTTTCGCCTTGTAAAAGTGATGGTCATGGTCTGCGTCCTCTGAACGCTGGAGTCATCAGGGGTGGTATACTCGAAGTATAAAGACACCGAGGATGGAACATTGATTTTATCTTTCGCCTCAATTGTAAAGCCAATTGCGCGAGATTGTGCTTCCTCAAGCTTCACATTGTTGTTTAACATTTTCAAAGAAAACCGGGCGGCCTATAAGTCGTTAGCTGTGATAAGAGTATAGCATGGATGATCCTAACCTGGGTGCTATCTTCCTTGATGCCAACCACATCAACAGGATTTCCCATAGTATTATGGAGAGTAACGGAAGCATGCGGGCTAATCAAACGATTTTCAACAACATCCGCAACGAGTATACTCTTTTTGTCCACAATTAGTGTTTTAGACAACTCCTGTGCAATGAGCGTAACATTGATAAACGGTTCGCCAACGGCTCCAAGAGCCCTGACATCGCGGACCACACGAAGGTCAACAGTGTGAGTTCCAGGGGACAAATCCAGAAGAAGTGGTGCTCTGCGGAAACCAAAAAAGTCCCCGCCGAAGTATGATTTGTTGTCAATTCGATATTCCCAGATCCTATCCGTATACAAAGCGACCACGGAGTTGGATTTAGAAACAGTCAATGTTCCACGCGCCCAGGCTTGGTACTGCTTTGCATCCCAGCCGTAGACTTCTTGAAGAGATGTCAAGTTATCCGGGGATAAATTGATATCGAGTATAGTCTCCGGAGGGTTAGCAGTTGAATTGACATGCGTCGAAGCCATTGACCAATTTGCAAGACCGTTAAGTGCCAGAGAGCTGTCAAAGCTGGCCTTTGGGTCATATTGCAGCGTTTGGAAGCCACCATATGCTTCCAGTGGGTCAGCACCCCAAGATGATTCTAAGAAACGATGTTAGTGATAATGTTTAGGCACAGAGTTAAATTACGTACCCCTCGTTCCTATTTCAAACGGTCCAAGAACCTGCCAGTTCTTAGAAAACGGACTTTCATTAAGCTGTAGCTCGGAGCCACCGTCCGCTGAGTTGGTTGCATCAACACCACGGCATGTCAACAGTGGGATGCAGACCCAAGAGGCTATCTTGGAGTACTTCATACCTCCCGGATACAATAACCCTGTTTGACTGGCAAAATTGTTGACTGTTTGAGTATCTGGGATATGAGGTAACAGATCAGTGAGACCTTGGAACCACTGAGAGCACAGGTGGAATGTCCAGAGGACAAACGATGGCATTATATGCATTTTCACCCCGTAAGTTAGTATCGTCTGCTATTTGATAATTTCGACTTGGGCTGGCTAAATGACGCCAGGTATCACTGCGTGGTCAAAATATTGGGAGCTTCGTCAAGTCTTTTGTGACAATATTTTGAACCGGACAAGAGTTCAAGCCTCGATTCGCCTTGGCTCGAAGCACTCCCCCTCATTATGACTGCGAGGTTGGGTGGTCAGCTGGATGAAGCACTGGAGGATTCGCAGACAAAGCCGAAGGTTAGCCTTTTTGGCCGAAATAGCTTCGTTCAACGTCAAGAATCCAGATAGGAAAAGTCGCCAGCTTCTGTTGGAGGACCAAGCCCTTCACAGAAAGTCAACCAAGCTGTAGCGATCGCCGTATGAGATCACAACTCCTGAATTTTCAGGCCAGTTTCTCAGGCAGGGAGAATCCGTAGACAGCCCAGTCATGACTCGGTGGTACTGTACACAGTATCAAATTTTGGTAGTCTTGCGTTCCAGGCTGGTGGCGTAGGAGCCGACATTACTATGGGGTATAACACCACTTCCCAAATTGTTTCCTAGTTAACTTGGTGATGCTTTCCTTGCGGGGTTCACCGACACTCCGCCAGCCGTCTTAGTAGGAGACTATTTCATGGCTGCATATCTCATGTCTAAGGAGCTATCATTGGTCCCCTGTCAGGTTGAACAAGACAGAGGTCATTCTTCGCTCCCATGGAGAACATTCTTCGGGTGGCCGGACGAGTGAGAAAGCGAGAATGGCAGGCTTTGTCTGGCGAGACTTCCCGCATGAAGTTAGTTTTGGTAAACCAAACATAGTTACTGGTGGCGGTATGGAGTGGAGGGATGAAGTGTTGCGACCTCGGGTGGTTTTTGCCCCAAGAACAAGATCCAATGGAGGCTCAAAACTTGGTTTTGGGTTGGAAGGCCGCACGTCACGTGAAAGGTAGCCGCTGCTTATATAATCACCCTCATTGAGGCGGCTATAAATAGCAAGGGCGGCTATCAAAGTACCAATAGGCGCTGGACAGCAGGGTGAAAAGTAGGACGGAGCCACATCAAGTAGGTAGATGTCAAGGACATGAACAGGAGAACCTCGGTGGGCTGGGCTGGCACTCCCCGTCTAGATAACAAGTATCTTATCGCATGAGTGTTCACGTGATAGCCTAGTAAATCCATTCCGACGGAGGGCTTGTTGGAGCAACTTGAGACATGTCTGGGTTTATCTCTGTATATTCTCGTATCCATCTTTCTCCGCATCTGTGAGGTGTATCCCCATCCAGGTCTTTTTATCATGTTCTTCTCGCATCAGATCTTTTACGCTATCTTTAATCCATACCTTGCGTCCTTGTATTTATCGATATCTGCTGACTCATCCGCTCGCCCGTGAGTCCGCAAAAACACGTGTTGTCCCGGCCAATCAAGGGTGCCGCTTGATCTGCCTTGTACACGCATTCCTCTCATCCCATAACTTTTTTCAAGCCGAGCAAGCAGCGAACAAGTGGTGATATGTCCAACCACAGCGCAGCACCAAATCGACCAAGCTGATAATGAGCGTTACAACGCTTGTCGATACACGGCAGCAGAAGTCCTCAGGCCTACCACCCTCCTGGCCACCTCAAATGACCGCCGACACCTCTACGACCGAGAAATTCCCTACTCTGGGCGATGACGACGCACTGATTGAACAGAAGGGGGAGAGCGTTTTCTTGCCATCCACGATCAAGTACGCGGGGGAATCATTATGGCAGCCACGGAAGAGCAGGGCCTACTCACGGGGCCCACAGCCTTCCGAGCGTTCGCATCGTCCCCGGAAGAGTATCAGCGAGGCTCTGGGGTCATTCAGGACTCGGGGAACTAGCGTCAGCGTCAATGCCCAGGAGCTGGCAGAATCGTTAAAGGCACCAATTTCTTATAAACTTATCGTGAGTGTGGCCTGAGGAGCTTGTGAGGAAGGTATGATGACGCTCCATTGCTAATTGATTGGTCTCCAGGGTCTTTGCTTGGTCTGGTACATGACATCAGCTCTCACAAATACTTCCTCGAAATCTATCCTCATGGCACTTCCAAAACCTATAACGCTTACGATTGTTCAATTTGCATTTGTATCAACATGGTGTCTGTTTCTTGCATACCTCGCGTCCATCTTTCCAATGCTAAAAACTGCTGTTCCCGTCCTCAAAAACAAGATCCGTTATCCCTCATACGCCATCATCTCAACAGCGCTACCACTGGCTGGATTCCAATTACTGGGCCACATACTCAGCTCTATGTCGACCTCACAAATACCCGTATCACTCGTTCATACAATCAAGGGGCTCTCTCCGCTTTTCACCGTCCTCGCATATCGTATCTTTTTCCGCATTCGATATGCTAGAGCTACGTACCTCTCTCTCATCCCTCTCACCTTGGGAGTCATGCTTGCCTGTTCAGCAGGGTTCTCAACAAACCTCTTTGGGATTATCTGTGCCCTTGCAGCAGCTCTTGTTTTCGTTGCACAGAATATCTTCTCAAAGAAACTTTTTAATGAAGCTGCGCGTGCGGAGGCAGATGGCCAATCACCAGGAGACACAAAGCTAGATAAGCTCAACCTTTTATGTTATTGTTCTGGTCTCGCGTTCATCTTGACCCTACCGATTTGGTTTCTATCCGAAGGCTATCCGCTAATGATCGACTTCCTATCCTCTGGCTCTATCAGCCTATCAAACAAGAAAGGTGCCCTTGATCACGGCCCATTGATGCTGGAATTTATCTTCAACGGTGTTTTCCATTTTGCACAGAACATCATGGCATTCGTTCTACTCTCCATGATCTCACCAGTGTCATATTCTGTTGCTTCATTAATCAAACGAGTTTTCGTCGTCGTTGTTGCCATTGTCTGGTTCGGCAACGCCACGACGCCCATACAAGCCTTCGGTATCGCCCTCACTTTCCTGGGCCTATATCTGTATGACAGGAACAAGCAGGACGATGCAGCAGATCGACGGGCCAATGCGGACCACTTCCACAAGAATAATACCATACTGCCTCTCAACACTGCATCCAACGGCTCAGCCAAAGTCTGGAACTCCAACGGATATACGTTCCCTCCCCCCTCGGTGGGTGGTTTGGGTATCCATCCTATGGACGTCAATGGCAAAAAGGAAGATGACAAAACTAACGGTGTTTCGAGGAGGAATAGTATGGCTCGCCCATGGCTACCACCAGGGACTAAGCAAGAGTCTACATGGCAACCTGGTGATGCATCCTCCACGCCCCAGAATTAATATATGCTCATGCTACCTATCATGTTTTTCTTTCTTTCTTTCTTTTTTTTTTTTCCCTCGTCTCATCTCTTCCTCCGAAGGGTTCGTGGAGTTTAGAAGGGATTCGGGACATACGCTTTTTCCCCCTTTTATTCATTCTTGTTAATACTTTATTGCTTTTTTAATTGCACGATACGGCGTCCTGCAGGCGGCGAAACCCAATGGCTTCTCTCTGCCGTTTTTGGTAATTCGGAGGATTGGATAGAATTTATATACCTTACAACCCCGTGTTTTGTGAGTGAAAAATAAATGAATAACATCATATTTGTGTATACTTTAAATCATCTCTGTCTGGTTTGTTAATTGATCTGTGTAGCATCCGTCGGTAAGGAACTGCTCCATAACAAGGTTAACAAGTAACCCTAGGGAGCTCCAGCTACGGTGCAGGATCTGCTCTCGGATCACACTGTAGAGGAGGAAGGGCTGGCAGCATCTCCTGAGAGAGCATACCCTCCACCTACAATAATCTATGTCCGTTAAAAATGAGTTGGAGAAAAAAAAGAGAAAAAGAAGAAATGAAAGCGAGAATAGGTACAGTTGTCAATTTATGTTCGCGGAGCCTTAGGGGGGGTGAATGTTATTCCGCTCCGCCAACTTCAGCCAATGAGATGCAGAGGATTTGAATGAAGCCAGAGACGAAGCAAAGGAAGCAACAAATAAAGTCGAAGCAAGGACGTCGAAGTCTTCATTGCATCGCTCGTAGCAGTCGCTCCGTCACGCAAGCCTTCACGGTCCTCGACCCTCCCTTCATATCGGTGTTCTGTTTCTGATTAGGCTGTCTCTTTCTCTATCTTGCCAGCTATGCGGCCACAATTGTTCCGTGTCGCCGCACGATCGAGGAGATGGACGGCCCTCAATTGCTCCCGTCCATTCAGCACGACGGGTGCTAGGCAGGCGGAAGTCGAAGTCACAATTGGTCGGTAGCTAATATCGTTGAATTACTGGATACTCTGCTAACTCATTATTGATGCTTTTAGATGGCAAGAAGGTATCGATAGAAGGTATTGCGCTTACCCCCACGGTTCTTCCCAACGACATGCTGACTAGACCATTCAGCTGGTTCGGCACTCATCCAGGCCTGTGAGAAGGCTGGTTCTACAGTCCCTAGGTACGTTATATCAATAATGCTGTTATTGTATCTAGATTGCTAATTTATCATTGTAGATATTGTTACCATGAGTAAGTTATACTTAACCAAGATATTACTGAGAAAGGAACACCGCTGAAACATCTCCCAAAAAGGAAACTATTGATTGCAGGAAATTGTACGATGATCTATCTAATTCTCTAATACCTCATGAATTGTCTTTAGCTTACAGTTATCTGTTTAGGCCGAATGTGTCTTGTTGAAGTCGAAAGAGCCCCCAAGCCAGTCGCTTCATGTGCGTGGCCCGTTCAGCCCGGAATGGTGGTCAAGACGAACTCCCCTCTAGTACACAAGGCCAGGGAAGGTGTTATGGAATTCCTACTCGCAAACCACCCACTCGATTGTCCCATTTGTGACCAGGGAGGAGAATGTGACCTCCAAGACCAGTCAATGAGATATGGTGCTGACCGAGGAAGATTCCATGAAGTTGGAGGAAAGCGTGCTGTAGAGGATAAAAATATTGGTCCTTTGATCAAAACTTCCATGAACAGATGTATCCACTGCACACGATGCGTTCGTTTCGCCAATGACGTGGCTGGTGCGCCTGAATTGGGAACTACTGGACGTGGAAACGACATGCAGATCGGGACCTATCTTGAGAAGAACTTGGACTCTGAATTGTCCGCCAACGTTATCGATCTATGTCCAGTCGGTGCATTGACTTCCAAGCCATATGCCTTCCGCGCTAGACCTTGGGAGCTTAAGCATACCGAAAGTATTGACGTTCTTGATGCCCTTGGTTCCAATATCACAATTGATACGCGGGGAATGGAAGTTATGCGTGTTCAGCCCAGGCTAAATGATGACGTTAATGAGGAATGGATTAACGACAAGACTAGATTCGCATGCGATGGTCTCAAGACCCAGAGACTCACGACTCCTCTCATCCGCCGGGATAACAAGTTTGTTCCTGCAACTTGGGAACAGGCCCTGACTGAAATTGGAAATGCGCACAAGACTCTAGCCCCTAAGGGCAACGAATTCAAAGCCGTTGCTGGTCACTTAATTGAGACTGAATCTCTCGTGGCCATGAAGGATCTCGCCAACAAGCTTGGGTCCGAAAACCTTGCGCTTGACCAAGCTGGTGGCAGCCAGCCAATCGCCCACGGAGTCGATGTTAGATCTAACTACCTCTTCAACTCCAAGATCTTCGGAATCGAAGAAGCTGATACCATGCTCCTGGTCGGAACAAACCCTCGCCATGAAGCCGCCGTTCTCAATGCTCGCATCCGCAAACAATTCCTCCGTTCTGACCTCGAAATCGGCCTAGTCGGCGAGTCCTTTGAGAGCACCTTTGAATTCGAACATCTGGGAACTGATGCTGCTGCCTTGAAGGCTACCCTTGCTGGAGCATTTGGAAAGAAACTCGCCGCTGCAAAGAGACCCATGATAATTGTTGGAAGTGCGGTAGCAGAACATCCTGATGCCAAGGCTATATTCGAAACAATTGGATCTTTCATTGATAAGAATGCCGCTACATTCATTACTCCAGAATGGCAAGGATACAATGTTTTACAGCGTGTTGCATCTCGAGGCGGAGCTTACGAAGTTGGTTTCACCACCCCATCTGCTGAAGTGGCCAATACCACTCCCAAGATGGTATGGCTACTCGGAGCTGACGAGATCAGCGAAGCCGATATCCCCAAGGGTGCCTTTGTCGTCTACCAGGGCCACCATGGTGATCGTGGAGCACAGCTCGCCGATGTTGTACTGCCAGGTGCCGCCTACACTGAAAAAAGCGGGACTTACGTTAACACTGAAGGCCGCGTCCAAATGACCCGTGCCGCCACCTCCCTTGCTGGGGCCGCTAGAGAAGATTGGAAGATCATCCGGGCAGTCAGCGAGTTCCTCGGTGCTCCATTGCCATATGACGATGTTGAAATGCTTCGAGACCGTATGGAAGAAATCAGCCCAGCCCTTCGAAGATACGACATTGTTGAACCATCCTCTCTAGGCTTATTGAGCAAGATCCAATTGGTAGACCAGAACCGAGGTAGCAAAGTAACTGGTACTCCCCTTAAGAAGCCAATTGAAAACTTCTACTTCACAGATGTTATTTCCAGAAGGTACGTCATTACCCGATCTTCCCATTCCTTATGGTGTCCTCGTTCTATGCCACTAACTTACCCGCTTCCCAGTTCGACAACTATGGCCAGATGTTCTGCTGCCAAAGAAACCGGAAACCCAGAAACCAATTTCATGGCTCCTGGCGAGAGCTCGGCCACAGCCCAAGCTGTCCAGGGCTAATCTAAGACCTATCTACCTGTCCCTGTCTCCCTCTTCACCTGTCTGTCCCCTCCAAATATTCCCATGCCATGCCAAAACAACCTGATTCCATGTACTTTCTTGCGGTTCTAGGCGTTTCCTTCTCCTTTGTCCCCGAATTTCTTTTTATGTCTATATACATATTCTACTTCCTTTTTACATCGTTCTATCCTTTTTTTATCCCGTCTTTGTGACCTGTAGCATCACCCACATATATGTCCTACCTTACCATCTTTTGTGCTTATCGATGTGGATAGAAAAGTGGCTATTGTTTTGTGTGGCAAAGGGGAGGGAATGGGCTAGGGTAGCCGATACGGAAGGGGCTTGTTTTTTTTTTTTTTTATACAAGTTGGACTGATTAATTTAGAAATAACCCTGTACAAGAGGAAAAGTAAGACGAAACGACTACTATTTACTCCATCAATTCATTAATCATATATGTTCCATGTTTGAGATCTAGCCTTCTTTCAAGCAAGGTGTAAGGTAAATACCAAAACGAAAGACGTTAGAGTTCATCGTCCTCTGAATCGGTTGCACCACCTTCAGTGCTTTCAATAACTGGTTTTTGAGCAGCTCGTTTCTTACTGAACGGCAATTCTCGCGGAGGGGGCGGCTCTGAGATTTCGAGATTTGCGGACAGTTCAGGCGCGTTGCGCGTCCGTTTAGCATCTTGAGCGACAGCAGCTTTCGCCGTTCTGGGAATTGTTTCCGCCCTTCCTCCCTTCTTTGGGGCAGGAGGGCGAGGAGGTACCTCATCTTCTATTTCCGATGCCGTCTCATCCTCGAGAGGTTCTGGTGTGTCCTGCCTTTCATCTGTGGTACTGCCCTCGTCTAGGGTAGCAGTAGCATCTTTCTTGTCTATATCCATTGCATCAAAACCGTCATCACTTTCCGATTCTTCGGGCGGAGGTTCGTCTGCTTTTCGTTTGGATCGTCTGCTCGTGGCTGATTTGCCGGTTGCCTTCTGTGGTGCTTCCGTTGTTGCCGCTTCTTGTGCTAGTTGCACAGTTACATCTCGTTAGTGTTTGAATACCCGCACAAGTAGCATAACAGGTATTGTAAACCAACCTGTGTCTGGATTCTCTTTGGCTTTTGTTAATAGACGCTGTTGGCTTCTAATCTTGGATTTTTTCTCATTTAGAAGACCAACGAACTTCCCGATTAACTGTTCGTCGTGTCGGTTCTTGGTTTCAATGAAATCTTCCAACTGAGCTTTCAACTTATTAATTGTGTCTTCAGCTTCGCGATATTTTGACTGCAGGTTAGAAACTTGCTGTTCTAATGCCTTCGCCTTGGATACGGCCATTCCGGTCCATTCATACAGTTCAATTGCTTGCTCATCGTCCTGTTTCAAGACCACAGTTCCTAGTTTTTGCTAACACACCGACCTGTTGTTAGTAGCAGGCGTAGAAGTCAGATAAGCCGTTTATCAGGGCATACCGTGATTGAGTCAATCCGTTTTCTCAAGGCGATATGTAGTTCCTTGTTTTCTTCGTCGCCATCGCCTTGCACTGCCGCCAGGACTTCTAGCCCGGAGATCCATTCTGCGTTTGCACTGGATTCCGGTATCCGATCAAAGGAATAGGAGAGGATTCCAGCCCACTCATCGTCATCACCCCGGTAGTTTTTCGCTCGTAGTTTCTTGATTCCACTCGAGGTCACTAAGATTCATATTCTGTGAGACAACGTTGCCGCAATGTAAAAGCAATTTACCATGCCAAAGAAAAGGGGGAACAAAACCCACGGGATCCAACATATGGGGTCTCTCCCTCGGTCCCAACAAGCTGCAAGTCCAAGTCAGAAGCTCCAGACTTTGATACCTTGATCAAAGCATAGTCGCCAGAACTATCACTTCGAGGAATACGAAGGATACTATCCTGAGACATTGCTAACGGACTGCGAAAATCGCCCAACGCAGTGCAACACAAGCTACCCGATCAATAAACCAAGGGAAATTGAGGTTGCTAACTCCAAACTTAAGAGAAGAATAAAGGTGTCGGATGAAGTCGTTCGTTTATAAAGTCGTTGTAGCTGCTGCCTAGAGTTGCGATAAGGACGGTCACATGACTGATATCACCAGCGGCCCGCCGACGACGCCTAAGAAAGAACGAGGCGATGAGAAAGCTCGACAGAAGCCAGAGAGAAGCCAGAAAGAAGCCACAGACGCGCCAGGAGAGCAGAAGATAGGTCTAGAGTGCATATATTGGGTGTTATTTGGGTACATGCCAGCATACATTCGGTGAGAGCTTCGCAGGGACATCCAAGTCGTCCAATTGCCTGCGGACAACGCTGACACTTTTAATCGCTGGCCAGCACCAACCCCTGCCCAACCCTGCCCAAGGAAAAATCAGCCAGTGAGCTGTGCTACGTATTTAGCATCCTCCCTGTGATTCGGCCTTCCCATCGACTCCCCAGCTCAAGGATTAACCGCTACTGCAAGCTCCAGCGCCGCCGCTGAGCTCCCCTGGAGCCAAGTGTTGCTGTCGTCTGTTGTCGGCGGCTGAGTCAGCTGAGCGCGTCGCAAAAGCGCGGCCTTCTTAGCCGCATCGCTTAGCTGTCCAGAACCAGCTTAGGCGCCTTCTGGGCCCCCAACCTCCCTTCTTCCTCTCCTTCTCGCCCAAGGTCTGTATCAGACACGACCGCAATCTTGTCTGAGACACCCTGCCCTCCAGCCCCTGATATTTCAACTCCTTTCGCTCGTTCCAAGGGGCCCCTCCCCCTTTTACTCAATCGTCGACGCTCTCGCCACTGCTCAAACCTGGGGGACAACGATCGCGTGTGGACCTTGTTTCCTTCTTTTTCTTCTTCTTTTTCCTCTTCCTTGCCGCGCTCTTTTGCGAACGCAATCACGATACTCGTCGACCCATAACTCTACATCCACCTCTCCCGTCATTTACGCTTTCCGACATATAATAATTTTTCCAGAAGCCACAATTGAACGAGAGGGAGCCCCTTCCTTGGGAAACTCTTCGCGAGTTCTTCATGAAGCCTCCAACATCTTACCGGAAAATTCGGTGGCCATGGAGTCCAGTATGGACGCTTTAATCATGCACAAACCGAAAGAAACAGAGGTTGAATGTTGGGATGATGATGAGGACTTACACTGTGGTGATGGCATTCAGTTACGCACAGTCTCTGCTACCACGTCGGTCACAGGGTCTTCCGTTCGCCCGTCAGGCCACCGTGACTCGATCTCGTCTCGCCGTTCTTGGAGGTCAGACCGTGATTCGAACCTGGGTGACGATGAAAGCTGGCAGTTATTGCTCAATCCGAGCGATGACTCGCCTAACCAGGACGCAATCGTGTCAGCCAAAAATGCTGGGATACCCATTCCGTCCGACATACCAACTTCTGCATTACTTGGAGGGTCAATAAAGAGACTGGGTGGCCGGAAACAGCGAGCAATTGTGGGAGACGACTGGCTAGAGGATCTTGACCTTTCAGCTTTCGAAGCAAGGCCCAAGGTCAAATTATATCACGAAACTACAGCGCCTGACTCACTACTTCACTTGGACTCTTTACCTGCTCCTAGCTTTGACAAACAGATAGATACCCATCCATTTGTTCTTCATGACCTTGTCAAATTCCGTGACACAGAGGAGGACATGTTGTTTGGCGACGTTTCCACCATCAAAATTACCAAAACTCGATCCAACCAGGCTACAGGCCCACCCTCGCGGCTAGATTCGCGAGAAAAGGATGACGATTTTGAATCTGAGCTAGTCTTGCCGGAGGATGGTACACCCCTACGCCTGTCTCAGCGTCGAGATATGTCCCTAACTTCCGATTTCCTAGCCGACGATTTTGACACTGAATGGGCAGAAGGCAGTATTGGCGTCCGTTTCGGAGGCACCCGAAGAGATGGTCGCTCCAATCGCAGCTCTTCTGTTGGAGCACTCAGCCCGAGCATGTCCAGCTGCCTGACTATCGAAAGTGAAGACGATGGTATTGATGGTCTAATCCTTCCCGATGGCCCCTTGGACCTTGAAAAATCACTTCAGAAACGGGCTAAACTACAGTCACCACCCCCTAGCATTCCAGAGACACCTACCGAACAACAAGTCACTCCCAGCAATAAAGGCCCTAAACATGCGGAACCAACAAATGATGATTTCTTTTCCGGCATCGAAATAGGGGATGGTGACGCCTTTGACGCTGGGAAGCTAACCCTTAACCGGAATGTCAAACGAAGAATTGAACCACCATCAACTCCCCCTCGACGAGGAGCAACAAGCATTACGTTTACCAACAAGGCTCCTGCCACTGGGACTCGAATACCCCGACTCTCTGCCCATGAAAGGCCACATTCTACCTACCTAGAACCTGTTTCCGAAAGCGGTGCCCCTGTTTCCCAAACACCAAGGCGTCCTCACTCCCGCTTAAGTGGGCATGCAACCCATTCATCATTAACGAATATTCCCTTGTCGAACTCCTTAGCGTCAAGCCTTTCACCACCAAGTCGACGAGTAGTTGCGGCCAGGCCCCCTAAAGAGGTTTTGCGAAGTGACCTTGCGAATACCAACACTCAACTACTCAAATCCAAACGTTCAGCTCCCGCCATGCGCCCATCATCAGGGAGTACCGCTTGCCAAACACAAATTTCACCATCTAGGCAGGCAAGCTATAGTAAACCAGCGCCCACATCCCGCCCCAAAACACCAGTTGAGCGTCACGCAACCGAGTCTCGTCTCCATTCCCAACGCCGACCTCAGGTTCCCTTTCTCCCTGCAGGTGTATCTCCTAGCCAATCTCACCATGTCAGTGTTAAATCTAGTAGACATTTCCGTCGAACCGATTCAGAAAGTTCGGGGGATATGCTTATGAACCCAAGGTCAACATCCAGGTCTTCAAAGCGGACGCGGTATGACAGCTCTGGTCGCCCTATTAGCTATTCTGGAGATACTATTTCTGCTACCGCAAAGCAAACTATCACAAAACCCACCCGTCGGAAGAACTTTGGTGACGGTACGGAATTAGACATTTTTGATGACCTTCCAACTTCAGCATCTCTAGAAAGCAGATTCATGAAAGCCCCCATCAAACGAGGTGCCCCCCGTTCTCTACGAAGCAAGTTAAGCCAGTCACACATAATTGCACCAAGGACAGATACCCCGGTCCCATCTACAGGGCCCACAAGTCCACCAGTGCAAGATTCAACACCTCGATTTGCACGAGACACCAATGCATCCAGGAATGCACGTGAGCAACGCATAACCTCAATGGGTAGCAACCTGCATCAACTCACTTCTGTGAACGTCAACTGGAAAACCCAACCTGCCACTCGGCCTCTGGCGAGCCCTTCTCTCCCGCGGAGCCGTCACGGTCATAAGCATTCCCTCAGCCGGCCCCATCTCATCAAGCCAATGGGCAATGGGGTCCACGATGCTAAAAGTCAGTTTTCCAATACATTAGATTTCTTGCCCTTCAGTTACTGACGCAATTTTACAGATGTCAAAGGTATGCAATATAATCCTGCACTCTACAGATGGGAAGGCAATGAGAATGCCACGGCCGCATTCGATACGCCGTCTACGCCTGCGCCTTTGAAACCGTCCCCTGCTCTGATCTCCAATGTTGGAGGAATTTCAGGGTCCCAGATGGTTGGTGGAATGGTATTTGATCCCCAACGAATGTGCTGGCTTAAAGCTCCGAACTCCCGACCAAGCAGCAAATCTGGGCCTTCCCTTTCCGTTGATGAAGAGGAAGACGTCTTTGCTGGCCTTGATGATCTCGAGGATCATCCACGAAAGTCAATTACAGCTGTCTCCAGCGCCCCGTCCTCCCCCAGTTGTGTCGAGGGAGACGCCGCCAACCTGGATGACAAAAGCGGAGGTGAGTCATCAGACGAGTGGGCGATCACAGAAGAGTTTGATGTCGGGCCTGAGTTTATCAGGCGACAGCGTGCTGAGGAAGAAAAATGGAGGCGAAAAGTTGGCAAGTGGATAAATGAAGACCGAGCCAACCTGGGGGATGAATGGCGCTGGGCCATTCGTAACCTAGTCTGCAAGGGCAAAGTTGGATGAAATGACTTGCCCAATCTGTTATATCCTGCTCTATTCACATACCCTTTTATCCTATATCATGTTATATTTTGGAAGTGAAGGCTGCTTCGATGCTTCACATTACCCAATACCCACGATAGAATTGCGAAGCGACGTTTTATGTTGTGTTGTTTCTCCATCCTACTATACCTCTCATTTTCAGGTATACATATGCATTTTGTTGCAACATGTTATCCGGCGCATGGCTGCGATACAGACCAGCCAACTTCGGGTCGGGGGGTGGATGCGGCTTTGGTTTCCAACCTTTTTGGTCTTTTGATCTTGTTGTTTGCTTGTCTGTTGAATCTTTTCACTGGTTTTCTGTTTTTATGACGATTTATCACGAACATCTCCATTTGGGTGGGGGTTATATACGGGCAAGATAGAAATGGATTATTATCCGTTTATCTCCGTCGTGTTAACCCCCGTTAATGACTTGACGACATATATCAATTAGTAGGAGTTTAATTAATGATAGCATTTTCTGAGTTCTTATTTTCGGTCGGCTGTGCGCTACAAAGCGATAACCTACCCATGCAAGCGAAGTTTATTACTCGGCCGGGTATTAGCAGCTCCTTAACAGAGCTGTTAAGAAGGCGGAAGTTATTTGCAGTCATATATTAACACTCAATTTGGTTTTTCGTGCCTCTGTTGTGCTTTTGGCCGTTATGTCTCGCTCGCTGGAGTGATCCATATAGGACAACTACCCAGCAGCGGACAATAGGGTACAAGGCACCTGGACTGAATGGGCTTGCACTGAATAATAGTCCGGCTATTTCAGTTGCTCAAACAAATGACCATCGTTTAGACCTTCCTAGCCTATATAGCACGAGTATGGGCTTGCG